CGCCTAGAACTAACGTTACGCACAGACGAGTGACGCGAAATGACAAAAGATACTGGCATATACTTTATATACCTCCTACCTTGTCAGTAAGATCGTCGATAAAAGGGATACAAAAAATGTTTAAAATTTCAGAAAGAAGTAAAATCAGTAAATTCATACGCGACGATTAGAGGTGACGTCGAACAATCGGCGTATGTATGTGTGCGTAAACTGTAATTAATTGCTACTGTAATACTAGTAGCAAAAAAATATAAACTCTTACTCAATTTGTTTCACAACTGACCTCCCCTCTGTCGTGCATTTCAGTCATGGTAGCCTTTACCAATCTATTCAGATAGTCATTGAACTTACGCCTTACACTACTCGAGTGGAATGTGTAGAAATATTTATTTTGTTTCACGTATTTAATTTTGATTTTGCTGAGAACCTTCAATTAAGATGACTTCGTTTCACTATTCAAGGAACTGGATGTCTTGTGTATGTTAGGTTTTTATTCTATCACTAGCCCATTGACTTTGCTAACTACTTTCACGTGGTTTTACCCGCTATTTAGCTCCTTAAGACCATAGCGTGATGTGTAGTTCCGGAGATCAAACAAACAAACTTTTCAGCTTTAAAATATTAGTGTATATAATAAAATTGAAATTGTTTCCGACAGAGCGAGGAGCTGAGACAACAGTTGGAGACTGAGCAGCATTACTGCTTCGTGTACAAGAGCCAGGCCAACGACATGCGCCTCATGCTGGAGGAGAACACGCGCGCGGCGCGCGACGCCGAGCAGGAGCGCTCCAGTCTGCTGCATCAGCTGCAGCTAGCCATCGCACGCGCTGACTCCGAGGCCATCGCCAGGTCTCTACTCTCTACTCACTCTACTAGCGAAACACTATCCATTTACTATTAACCCATTAGAACAATATTATTAGGTATTCTTATAAAAAAAAACATTAGGTTTTTCGTGTCCTGGGTGCATTTACAAACCATAAAATTTAACATATACATCACACCCAGACCCGGAACAACTATTTGTGGATAACACAAAGAGTTTCTTCCGTGCGGGAAACGAACGCGTGGCACGTTGCGCGACATCCCAGCCACCGCGCCAACTGTGCAGTCAGAATTAGAATTAGAAGAGAAATAGAATTTTCTCTAATATCATTAATAAAATTTCATGCAATATTTTATCAACGAATTCTGTAAGTTAGCACTGAAAACAAATGCAGGTAATTATTTCTCAGAAAAGTGCTGTGGTACACTTTAAAATATTTTAACCTCTGACGGTGACTCACTTTATTTTGTGTTTCAAAATAACAATAGAATAACTTAACTCAGTTGTCGCAGTTTATATCGATAGAGATATTTTTACAATGCAAATAATTATCATCTTATGTAATTTTTATTGTTAAATTTAAAGTTTTTTTTTATGAAAGTGATAGGTTTTAATTATTCTATTGCGGACCATTGAGTGTGCCGATTAAATAGAAGATAATAATAAATAAACCGTATCCTTTGTATATTGCAGGTCTATAGCTGAGGAGACGGTAGGGGAGTTGGAGAAAGAGAAGACAATGAAGGAGCTGGAGATGCGCGACGCCATGGCGCAGCACCGCAGCGAGCTCAGCGCGCGCGACGCGCTCGTGCAGGGACTGCGCGACCGGGACCACGAGAACCGCGCCACCATCGACCTGCAGCGGAAGGTACGCCAATACCATTTTAATTTGTTGAGGGCTGATTCTTCAATAGTCAGATCAATGTTATCTGAGGAATAAAATTGTTGCTGTCACTGTCTTATACAAACATTGTAACGCGACAGCATCATAATTATTCCCCAAATAACTTTTATCTAACCATTGAAAAATCAGCCATGAATAGTATTATTATATAATAAGTATCACCATTCAATCCATTCTTTGATAAAACAAGTAGTTTTGTGGTTTTAGATTGCTCTTTCCCAAAAGCCCATCTTTTATATACACTATTTATTACATAATTATCAGTAGTATGGTGAGTGTACTATAAAATCTCATGCTTACAGGAGGTAGACGAGTTACGCCGCAATGGAACCGCCCTGGCCGAGCGCGTAGCCACGTTGCAGCGGCTACAGGAGGAAGTGGATCGACTCAACAAGAAACTTAACTCCGAGATCATGCTCAAGCAACAAGCTGTCAACAAACTTGCTGAGATCATGAACAGGTTCGACTTCAGTTAACGTAAACGAGCAATATCTAGCTGTAACCTCAGTTACCCGCCTTTACTAGTGCATATTGAATAGTCAACACCTGTAATAAATTTCCAAATATATATATTTTTTTTGCTTAAAATAATACAAGATACTTTAGTTTTAGGCTAGGTTCCAATGAAACAGTAGTTGTATCAAAAATAAAGTTTAATTAACGCGGACGTACTATAAATGTTGCAGGAAAGACATGAACCCGGCAGCGACGAAGAACAAGAGCAAGATGTCAGTACGCAAGGACAAGGACTACCGCAAGCTGCAGCAGGAGCTGACGCGGGAGAAGGAGAAGTTCGACCAGCACATGTCCAAGCTGCAGCGCGACCTGCAGGACTGCCAGCAACAACTACTCGACGAGCAGTCCACGCGCCAGCGACTCGCCATGGAGGTACGTCGCCTCGTTAGACTACATCATACTATATACTAAGTCAAAGACAATCATTTATTCCTAATAAACTATAAATAGGTGCTTTTGAAACGTCAAAATAGAAAAATAGTAGTCTGCCAGTCTGTTCATCAGTTAAGCTAGGTGCTCAAAAGAATTATAGGGGCGACCTTAGAAACTTATCAGCCCTAAAGACGACTGACTCTTAACCACTTTTGAGTAGATGATAAATGAAAAAAATTATGGACGCATATTTTTATGTTTATTAGAGGAAAAAATAGAACAGAGATTATGAAATACTAATATTATATTCGCTCCAAAACATAAATCTGTCTACCTACCAAGAAGTGTAAACGTGAAACTAGTTTATCTTACGCATTATATGTTTTTATTTTTAGGTTGACAGCAAAGACGCAGAAATTGAACAGCTGAAGGAGAAACTGGCAGCTCTGACTAGTGAGACAGCGTCGCAGTCGTCTGCCGACGCGGAGGACGGAGAGACCGAGCAGACACTGGAGGGCTGGCTCTCCGTGCCATTCAAGCAGAATATACGCCGCCATGGCTGGAAGAAACAGTACGTCGTCGTCTCCTCCAAGAAGATAATCTTCTACAACACCGAGAATGACAAGCAGAACACCACGGATCCCGTCATGATCTTGGATTTGAGGTTTGTAGGAACCTAATACATCAAACTATTCTTCCTTCAAATATGGAATTTGGTATTTTCTTCTGTCAAAAATAAGTCACTTCAAGATTTCTTCTTCTTATAGTTGGTCCCTCAAGATTTCAATACAATTAAATATTCAAAAATAATCGTACTTTATTGATGGATTTGACGATATACAACATTTAAAATTTTTATTTAGATAAAAAGTATGCTGTTTGACCCAAAAATATGCTGACATCACATTTCTGGTCATCATAATGTTCATATCATACGTATTCGTTTCTGACATTTCAGTAAAAGTATTGAATTTGACTAGTTCTCAAATACGGCATTATGTATAAATTTTATAATGTAGGAAAAATAAAAAAAATGCATATAAGTAATATGAAATAATTCCCCGCAGTAAGGTGTTCCACGTGCGCTCGGTGACGCAGGGCGACGTGATCCGCGCGGACGCGAAGGACATCCCGCGCATCTTCCAGCTGCTGTACGCCGGCGAGGGCGAGGCGCGCCGCCCCGGGGACGCCGCCGACACCCCCGCAGAGGCAGGCGACCATGCCGGTAACTACTATTCTAATAATACTATTCAGTTATTTATGTACTGAATTGAACTGCAATCTGAATAACTCTGTCATAATTTGCTTCTTACTAAATATTGTAGAGAAACATGTCTTATGGGGATTTAGAGTTACTTTGCTGTCAACCACGTTGTTTTGCGTGGTTCATGCATTATTTCTCCATGTCCTTGAATTCTATAAAAACATTTTTAAAATGCTCAATATAAATAGTACAACTGCCTCAGAAGTTCTAGCAGCATAAGTGAAATATCACGTATTCTACTCTAGTATAAAAGTCGACCGATGTTTGTGGCGCCCGTCACTGGATGGCGTAGCAACGGGTGCATTCCTAATATAGGGTTTGCTGCAGATTATATAGAAAGTTAGTGCATATATTTACTTGCACTCTAGCACTATGTCGCAGTCACACTGAAGATATGGGCTTGCACCAATCACTTCATAATAAAGGACAACTCAGATTTGCACAAACCCACGATTTATAATCGTATTCAAATTTCGTTAAGTTGCGTTTCTTTTTACGTAAATTGTCCCACATAATAACAAGTTCAAGTGCTAGCTTTGCCAGAATTCAGGTGACTGCACATCATGTTTCACAGCAACTAGAATACCTAAATCCTATTCGCTTTGGACGATATCATTTATATAAATAGCATGTTTAATGATTTAAAACCAAAGCATGCAAGCAAGCACTCATAAAAGGCGATGCAATGTGTTTAATAATTCTTTGATCCATCACTTTTCTGGTATGGAATACAGGTTGGGACAGAGCGTGGTTATAATGTTATCGGTTTAATAGTTGCATTTTTACGTAAGTTTGATAGTGTGCAGTAGTGGTACAAGCGTGGTGTGTGTGCAGGTACGACGGTGGCGCACAAGGGGCACGACCTGGTGAGCATCACGTACCACATCCCGACGGCCTGCGAGGTCTGCACGCGGCCGCTCTGGCACATGTTCCGTCCGCCGCAGGCCTACGAGTGTCGCCGTCAGTATTTATACTATATCTTCCTTTACCCGTAGTTTGCCTGGAATATTATTATGCCTGCTCCGTATTTTTGATTTTATGTATTTTAAAGTTCAAGATGATTGGTTCAAAAAACATGACCATCATCAATGATGTTGCCCCACACTAGAATTTTCTCCTGTGTCGTGGGTGTATTAATCAAAAAAATAAATTTCACCTACATCACAACTAGTTCTGGTAATTTATTTTCACAGTTTCCTTCAAGAGTCACGGAATAACGTAAGGTACTCATTATTATAATGATGATTAAAACGTGTTTATTGCGCAGGATGCCGCATGAAGATCCACGCAGAGCACGTGTCGGAGGGCGAGGGCGCGGGGAGCGCGGGCCCCGGCGTGGCGGCGTGCAAGCTGCACGCGGACCGCGCGCGCGAGCTGCTGCTGCTGGCGCCGGCCGCGCCCGAGCAGCGCCGCTGGGTGGCCCGCCTGCAGCGCCGCGTGCAGCGCTACGGGTACCGCGCCGCACACACCAACCACGACCACACCAAGCTCTCGCCCAGGTACGCACACTCCAACATCTCAATGCATGCCCCTACCGCGACCGATCATTCATCAATTTTCCTTCTTGACCATGTTCCTCCGCTACGTCACACGGTTTACCTTATTTTGAGAACCTTGTTGTTGGTTGGCAAAATTGATTATAATATCCGACTTTAAAAATGAGACGATTGAATGTCGGTTCCAGGGACTCGATGCGGTCTAACCTGAAGTCCGCGTACATGAACGCGTCGCAGCGCAGCTCGACGTTGCCGGCCAACGCGTCGCTGCCGCGGCAGTGAGCCGGCGTTGCCAGGTCACTGCGCGCGCGCCCTCTACGGTATTTGCTAAATAATAAACATTAAAATTGACGAAGTACTGGCGCCCCATTACTAAAATCTCTCATTTTGCGTGTATCTGGTTTTGATGGTTATAGTCTTGACTCGCTTTATTCGCCGCGCGTTGGTTTTTTACTAACACTATTTTCGAACATTTTATTCTATGGGACCTAGAATATAATCTGTTTATTTGGGAAAACTAATAGAAACATGCTATCGTACTATAGATCGAGGTACTTTTCATTAAGTACTCTGGATACGTTTCTAGAAAATTAATTCATCGAGTATTGTTAAGATGTGAATAACGCTATGCATAATTCACTGGCATTTGATCTGGCATTTGACAATATTTACAATCTTTTTGAATCTTTCAGAATTTTTCTATCCAAATTTCATAAAACTTGTAAATTAACTAGTCTTAAATAAGTTTAAGTATTTTGTCCAAAATTTTTATAAGATTTCGGCATGATTGCTGTGATAGATATTGAAAATATTCATATTTTGTACTTATCAAAAAATTGTACCAACATCAGATAGGTTTTCGTAAAATTGTTTTTGAATAAGCTGATTGTCATGATGAAATCTCACAGAAGGATGCAATGGTGCTATCGTGTGCATCGGTTGCAAGCTAATGTAATGTTGTGTGACATCAGCTTGTTAGACAAGGGCTGTATAGAAGAAAACTAATATTTTCTTGGTTCAACAGAACTGGGTCATGTAAATATTAGTACCGTGTTGATATTATTATGTTTTGTATACTTATATTGCGATCTCGGATGCTGACTTAGGCTGCGTTCGATGGACATGTTGCGTAGTTTTTGAGGACTCGGCGATGTTAACAAGCTTGTGGAGCTAAATAGCAGAATATACTAATATGGTTGATCATTCGCAGCGCCAAGTAGTCCATACGAGTTTTAATGTGACATAAATTGAACTGGTTATTTTCAACAATATTTTTGTACAATTTATTGAACCAGTAGAGCATTTTTATTATAATGTATTTTGTTACGTTTTTATTTTTATCAGCACATAATGTTTATCTTTCAGTATGTTGTATATCGTATACTATTGTTGTATATGTATAGGTATCGTACGAGAAACTGTTACTGAATCCGTAATAATAAGATTTGATCTATCCTGATAAAAAAACAAGCAGTAATGAGTGCCTCGGTAACAACAAGTAAACATATTTACTCTGGGTTTGCACTCATACCAATACATTTAGATATACATGTGGGAATTGATCCTTACAGGAATTGACTTACCAATTTTTAAGTATCGTATTGTTAAAGTATCTAGTTAAACATATATCATGTTAATCGAAATATAGAAAATTATACAAAACGATTCAGGGGACCCTTAATGTTAGATTAAGTACACAGTAAGACATTCACAACGCGTAAGGGTTGCAAATTAACGAAGAAACCGTGCCATAGGTGTTTGTTTTTAGTGAATTGTCTCATTAATATAATTGCTCAAGTGAAATACCTAGTTCTTCTACTAAATTCTGGAATGTTACTTAATTATGTAAGACTCTTAATGGGCTTCCTTGAATCACAAGATCAATTTAATCTAGACTAACGTGTAGTGAACTGCTGAGCTTATTACGAAATAATTAGATAAAGCAATTTGCTTCATGAAAGTTCGCTGAATATTTTTCTTTAACGTTTGCGACACCAACTGTACAAAATTTTCTCTTGCAAAGTCGAGCTGAGAAATGTAATTTTGAAGCAATAACTCAGTGTCTTATATTTGTTATGGTACCATTGTTATGTGCCAATCTGCTGCCTCATTTGTTAGAACACCAGTCGGCTCTAAAGCGTGAAGCCTTCTATTTAACTTTATATCTTTTACAATATATCGTTAGGCCTAAACACATGTTATTAGATGTATCGTGTAATTAGCAAATTTTGAAACACCAATTTTAAAAATAGGCCTTATAATCTCGTGTACAATAAATCTCGTTTAGTTATGAGTATAAAGTACAAAAGTTGGAATTGTTCACAACTATGCTAGAGAGTGTTTTTACTGTTCCGGAAACCCGAGCCTTGGGCTGGGAACGTTTATATAAAACAATAATATTAAATCTGAATTTCATACTGGTAATAATGGGTTCAGCAATCTCAAGTTTCTGCATCGATAAACGATAAGTGACGTAGAGGGATAGGCGACCGATTCGTGTAATGTACGAAGGCTTTGGATAGCTGTGATAAATAGACGTGTCTTTGTTGGGAGTCCAGTCGGATTGACAGTTACCGACTGCCTGGTTTCTGTTAAGTGCTACGTCTTCAATACAGGGGATAAAAAGACATTAAATGTATTTGTATAATAATAATAATGAAGGTTGTATTTAATGTATTCTGCAAATTACCTAAATGACTACCGAAACTTAAAGGGAGTCAATTGTCGATTTGGACTGGACTGCCGACAGCCGTGGTGCTAGAAGGAATCAGGCCTCCGACGCATTGTTGTTACTATTAGTTCTTGTTAAATATTATAAAATATCCTGTTTAATATTGCTCTACACATTGTTTACATTCCTGCAACGAAAACTATGTTGAGTTTTGTTTTCCTTAGTTTTATATTGACTCAAGTTCTCTGTTCTATCGCATATCCAGTTATTGCTTTGTTTTTCTTGTAGATGTAAGTTTGGAACAATCTCTTCATTCATGTTGACATGTGAATTTAAAATTGTACGTACTTAAAAGTTTTTAAAAATTGCAATTAATTACGTCGTAGTGTTTACGCTTATTTTTGAGATGCATTTTATTTTTATTACGGCAGCTTATGCATTATAATGTTCGTGCACTTCATTCCATATTGTTTCATGAAATGTATTTTGTGTTTCATGTGTTCGGTTTTATTATTATTACCAAAGAAGTTTGAAAAATTACAAAAGAGCTGTTTATTTTGGAATATTAGCTTCCGTTTTCGTTCCATGTCTCGTCATTAATATTAATTCCATGTAATAATAATAATATTGTTATTTACTATGCATAATTCTGATAACCTGATTTTGCTATTTAGATGACATTTTTCGGGAGTATTTTTCCCGACAACCGTATAGCCTTATAAGTCGATGCGGTTCTAGAAATACTCCCAAATTGTCTTATATAACAATAACTGATATAATGTAAAATCATTATGTAAATTATTTATTATCGAATTAAATCATTTATTGTAACGTTTTATTTATCTACTAAAATTGTAAGTTCCTAACTAGCTTTTCATATTTTGTAAAGTTTTTTTTTCAAGTAGCTTTTTGCTGATAGAGGACATTTCGTATAATTCATCGTATGTTTTTATAAAATATTATTATGATATTGAATATAATATTTGGAATATGGTTTGATTCATTGCTGTAATGTAGTGGAGCGTGGAGTGTGTCGAGGATACCACCCATAGCTCGGTAGACATGCAATACTAATACAACGTGCCTTAGCTACGGCTCACCCCATATCACATAGGGTTATATTATGATACCTGTCATTATTATAGTGTAAATACGCTTTCAATTCAACCGATATTTTATGGATTTTGAAAAACTTGTAAATTGTAAAGATTTTTATTTTTAAGGTAATTAATGCCCAATAGCTAGTAAGTACTATTTTTAAAATAAAAATAACATTTTAAAACTTATTGTTTTATTTTACTTTCTTAAACATTTTATTACTTAATATTTTAGTTCAACAGTTATTTCATAAATTCTTTTTAAGTTATGTGAAATTAAATTAAAAAGTAGTGCAATAATAATAATAACTATTAAACGTAATATCAGATCACGACCTGTGCACCAAAATATTAAAGGAAAAAAAAGAATTCATTATTATACATACAAAGCATACCAATTTCGTTACAGTTAAAAGGTTATTAAATTATGAGAAGGATAAATTCGTGAATATCATTCATTAGTTTCAACGAAAATATTACCGGATGTCATAGAACAACATGAGTTAAAAACCGAACAATAAAATACGATGTTAAAAATATCTTTTATAACAATTATTATTAGTCTTCACTACTTAATACTGTTGTAAGAAAGGTAAAACTGAATTACACGTCAACTGCATTTTAGCACCGTGGGAAGTGGTAAAAACCATTAGGTTCACGGGTCGTGACCTGATGTTTCAACAAATTACATTTTTTTATTAACATTATGTAAATTCTCAAAATTCATTTTTTTGGTAATTTTAAAATAAAAAAAATTTACAACGTTTACTTGCTCATTCATTCGGTAATACATGACAGTCGGTTTTTTTATAACCATTTAACAAAAAAAATTAATGCTTCAAAATAATCCAACCGACTTCTTGAGATCCTTCTGCTTCCAACCAGGCAGTGACCGAAACTCACTGTACGGCATGCTGAACGTAGATACGAAGTCGTCGTGAGTCAAGTACAGCTACAAAATAATTAATAATATTTTGTGATATTAAGTTCTAAAGATTTTTTGAACAAATTGCGTACTAGTTAAATTGCAGTTAGCTATATTAATAATTAAAATATTTTGAAATAAGAAAAGCAACATTTTAAAATGTTTAAAATGATACTTCGAATAATTAAGTATTGTTACCTCTTTGGTTAGAGGATCGACGTCTGGTGGTAAGTGATCCTTAGGCCCCTTCAGAACTGCCAATGGATATTTCTCGTACTGATCAAAACGATTAGCACTGTTGCCGCTTTGTATTGCGCTGTTTCCACTTTGGACAATAGCTTTGCCTTCTAAAGCACTGATGATTGCACTGAACGTTTTATGACCCTGGGATCAACAAAAAACGTAATTAACAAACATGGCATCTGTATTAAAAAAACATTATTCTGCAAAGTTTTACCTTCCACATGGACTGCTTCCATAGAGGGAAGAAACCGGTGAAATGTGGTGGCTCACGACCTTGACTCAACGCCAGTATTGGTGTGCATGCGTCTCGTGCCGCTGGATCTGAACACGGGATATGTATACTGAATAATAATATGAATGATAATAGAGCAGGTTCCTTAGTTGAAAATAAATTTTATCGACTTTTACAACATATTAAAATAATTAAAAACATCTTCACATTTTCTTTAATTAATTTTATGACATACTACTTTAATTCTGTCTTGCAAATCTTAAGAAATAATAATGCTATTTCACGCTAGACAAACATGATGTTATAACACACGAACTGGTACAATATTCATAGAGCAATAAAAGATTTATTTTATGACGATTTGAGAGTTGGTAATAAGTCTAGTATAGAATTTGACAAGTTGGAAAGTACCTAATTAAAAACTCATATACTCAGTTGCCATAAAAAAAAACTCCTATTATACGAGCTCAGAGGCGGGGTAAGACGAGGGCGACATGGGCCACCGCCTTCGGCCTAGCCGTTAGGCTGACGCCCGCAGTACCGCTCTAGGGCCTAGCGGTACGGAGGGCGTGTTTTTCCCAATTTAAAATTAGGTCTTGCTCACCTTGTGCTAGATAGGCGAGTGCTATAGACCGAGGATCCTCCTTAGCACGCGGGCAGCAGTGCTGACCGAGCCACACGAACACTGCGTCATGAGCGTCCACCACACCCACCATCTCGGGGGCCAGGTCGTACTGGCTGAAGGACACTATCTCCTCGACTGCAGAGGTAGGAACAAGATAATATGATAATTTCAATAAACGCAAAAAGTTAATTGATCTGTCAGCTATGTTGTGACTGCAGAAACTTTATATCCAGCTACAGTGTACATTGTATTGAGTTGGACCCCAAATTAAGAAATATATTATATTTAAGAGTTTAGGGCTGACCTGGAAGTTTCTACTTCTTATTCCTATATTAACAATGAGAGGACTACATTTTTATTTCCTAGTAGAGCAGATTCACATCTCTGGTAAGTATTAATCAAAGCGTCAAGTTTGATCTTTGTACTCACATGAATAATGGGCTGGTACCCCCAAGGATACGTAGAATAGACGCGGTGGCAAGGGACGCTGTACCTCATTCAATGGAGACGGCACTAGTAGGTGACGACGATTGCCCAGCGCTGCCCAAAAGTCTGGCTTCTCTTTTCCTGAGAATAGTATGTTTTATTTTATTTTATATCTAGTTTTGTATTAGTTTGGGATTTCAATTATTTTGTAGGCACTTTTACTCGAAGTTTTTTTTTTACTGGGAGGAAAAATCCTCCCATTAGGTAGGTACTATTCTTGCCTAGGGTATGGCAAGAGGGAGTGTCAGACTCTTACAGACTAACCTCCCTCCCAACCCTTCTCCTGCTCCAGGACAAATGTGGCGGTGTGCACACTGCACTGATGCATTGTGTTCCTGAAAAGTAGTCAGTACCTTGCATGACAAGCGTGTGTTCAGTGGCGGCCATGTTCTTGGCGACCTCTCGCTCGTCTCCCGTGGCGCTGGCGGCGCACCAGACCCAGGCGCGCGCCGCGTCCCGCAGCACGTAGCACGCGCCGCCGCCGCCCCCCGCGCTCTCGTCGCGCACCTCCACGCCCCGCGCCTCGCGCGCGTACTGACCCGACACCCGGATGAGCACACGAGATGGAGCCAGCACACGACGCCCTGTGGCTGAAGAGGATATGGTATGTCATGGAGAAGATCAAAAAGATAGTGTGAGTTAGGAAATTAAGAAATACTTACGATCATAATCCGTGGCACTTCCAACATAAGTGATCATCCGACCTTTGAAGATCTGAAGGAAGTGCGCAGGTTCTTTTCCTTGATACACCCATGCCTGAAAATTGTGGTGTTTCTTCGTTACTAGGTACATAAGTATTTGACGAAAATATATTTTTCAAAATAATTTGACCAGTTGAATACTTAGTACTCTTGTATTCAAAATTCCTTGAATTAAAAATAGTAGGTACCTACTAAGTGAAGAAAAGGATAAAAAAGAGTTGTAATACCTGTACTGGAGACCGCCCTAATTTGGTGTAGAGGTCTTTGGCTTCTTTCGCGCCCAAATTCCTCAGATCATTGGGCGAAGAGCCACCCTGTAGGTAATGTTACATCGTTAGTATAACAACCCCAAAGATTGTTTGAAATCATTACAAGGGAACACTTAACGCTCAACATATTTTGCCACGTTGCATAACATCGCGTAGGTATAGGATTGATGATATAGAAGTAGTGTCAAGGGCGGATCCACCGTTGTGGGCACGATGGGCATGCCCACAACCTTATTACACTTGTGATTGGAATAGGTTTGGATCGAAACTGACTATAAGAAATTAGAAGAAATCTGTCCGACTTCTTCCTAAGTTTATTTACATTCCTAAGGCTAAAGTCCTGATGCTTAGAAAAAAGGAAATCTAATTCATAAGTTCATAAACGATTTGCATGATTGTTAATGAGCATGTCCATGCTCCAACTCGTACTTAGCCGATTTTCTAGTAGCTGTGACCACAACCTTTTTTGAAGTCTGGATCCGCGCTTGAGTAGTGTAGTGGTTTTGTTGTAAAATAATTATGTGAAAAACATGATGCGTATCCAACTGTATCGTCATAACTCTTCTGATAGCAAACATGAAATTAGAATAAAGTTTAATTCACCATCCAGTAGTAGAGAACGGTCTGGTCGCCGGTGGGCGCGTGGTATGTGTAGAGCACGATGTAGCAGTCCCTGTCGTAGAAGACGGCAGCCTGCGGGCGCTCGACCTCGGCCAGCGCCTCCTTGTTCACGTCCTCCGCGTCGCTCTGTCGCCGCCGCACGCGCCACACTCGCAGCGCGCCCGACCCGTCGTCCGGCAGCTGAGCCTTCATTCAATCGATATTCATTGTTACCTTATATTCTTGCGGATTATTTTGGCATCATTTGAAAGTTTTAATAGAATCACAATGATAATATGACTACCTACTGAATTTATCAATATTGGTCAGGGGCAGAGGCAGAGTATTTCTATACCTAGTTATCAGCTACCAGTCCATAGCCACCCATAACCATATTAATTTAATTTTCTACCATATGCACAATAGTCCGGCAACGCACCCGTATCTTCTTTGGTGTTGCGGGCGGCGCTGATTGCTTACCATCAGGTAATCTGTCTGCTTGTTTGCCGATCAATTCCATAAAAAAATATCGGGGATTATCCTTTATAGTGCATACAGAGATAATGTCTCATCACATTTAAATTAAACTGGTCAACGGGCCTCTGCGAGTTGGCTTCGGCCCCTCGCACGCTTTCCAAAGATCCGGGACCCTGTGATCCGCGAAAAGAAAGACTACTGGATTTTAAGGTCATTTATTTAATTGTTTACCTCAGCGGCGAGCCAGGCATTTGTAGCGAGACTGACGGCATCCAGTCTGGTGGTAGCAGACCGAGCAGCGCGGAGTCTGCCGTCGCGCCTTGCATCACACCAGCGCCAATTGTGGAACAACGCTGCGAACTCTAGGGGCTCCCGACCAGCGGGGGCCGCAGACACTGGCACCGTCATGCGACGTGCTCGAGCAAGTCCCCGCGCTGCTGCGAGAGCTCCACGAGCTGCTGCAGACGTAGCAGAGGGACCCACCCATGCCCACACGCCACGACTGCCGCTGTCCACTATGTATACTCCCTAAAGTAGAAGAAGATAAAATACAAAATGAAAAAAATGCTGTGAAAATATTACCTTTTCGAGACGACCTAATGAAAATTGTTGCGGTTTATGTCATATTTAATTTGCGTTAATGTTAGGACACTTACATCGTCAGCCAGATCTTCTCTGAACAGTGGGGCGCGTTTGATTTCTTCCAGTCTTGCGGCAGGTCGTTGAGAGGGCACGGTGATAGGTGCGACGCGGGGTGGCTGTGTGGCGCGGTAGAGGCGCGCAGGACGCGGCGGGTCGGCGGGCGGGGCCGCGGGGCGCAGCGCTCGCGCACGTAGCTCCAACAACGCGTCCAATAGTGCGCGGTCGGACGCAGGCAACGTTTGCTCGTACCCATCATGAGCAATAGCGATCCGACGCGCCATCATGCCCTTGTCCGCTCCACGAGCCATCCGGTATGCTATCTGTTTATGATTTAAATTGCGTCAGAGAGGTCGTAATGTAGATTTTTTAGATTCATGAAAAAATAATTTCTAATTAAATTTCAGAAAATTATCAATAAGGATATCTGAAGTTTTAATTCCGCATAACTACCCTAAGCAACGAACCTTGGCTCCAAATATCTTTTCGACGAGGTTTGCGGTCCGGCCGAGCCACAGAACGAGGAGAGACGAGGTGTCGAGGACGAAGACACCGTCGGTAGCCAGCTGTGACCACGACACCGGCTCTAATTGCACCAAAACTGGTCGGCGACCGCGCACTCGATACAGCCGCGCACTACCGTTCAGGTTCGCCGAGCCGCTTCGAAGGATTCTGTTTAAAAATAATAAAATAGATTTACATATTGGCAAATGTTGTACATAACAACTAATGGAAGACTAATTATGACACTGGCTTTTGCCGGTGGTTTCATTCGCTTCATGATCTTTTCCATCGAACCACGTAAGTAGAGTACTGAGAGTTGCGCATGAATACCAACAAACAAACTATTCAGCTTAATAACATTAGTACAGAGATCTTAGCAATTTTTAACTGCTAAACATTTTTTCTCTTAATCTTGCTGAGGTTAGTATATTGATTTACCTTATCCCATCTCTAAAATACGACAAGAGTCTGGGGGTTTCTTTGGTGACAGCCTCTCGGTGTATGACGGTAGGGGCGGCAAGGTAGGCTGCGAGCTGGATGCCGCGACGCAGCGCAAGTCCTGCCAGGGCTCCGCTCCGCTCGCCACCCCAGGAGTGTATGTGACGCTCCAGTAGCTCCCCATTGCCGTTCTCCTTTATTTCTCGGCGCTGGCACATAAGTATACATTCAGTTACATTGACGTAATCGATTAGACTTGGAATCAGCCTAGCATATAATTATACACCCATGGCAAATTGATAAAACGTTTAAAGTAACAAATGATTAAGCATTTTAATTAACAGATTTCGGGTACACAGAGATGTTTTATTACTTAAACTTAGTACCGATTTGCTAACTAAAATAAACTTAGTAACGATTTGGTTCCAAAAAGTTTTAAAACTTTCTTAGCAATTATGTAAAATTTAAGTAAGTAACTATTAAATTACTTTATTCATTTTGTAATAATGGTGTAAGTACCTAAGGGTTCTTACCATTATTATAAATTACAAACATAAAGTGTCTCCATCTCAACTGTTTGCCTTTATGACTTGGTACTTACTATGACATCAGGTCCAGCTGGCTGTCCAGGCAGGGAACAGGAGTACACCAAGTAAGCTTCAGCGTCGTAGAACGTGCCGTAGTGGGTGCGTGGCAACAATTCAGTGCTTGATTCCTAAAAACCGATATAATTGAGTTATACCTAACATACATTATAGTTAGTGTTAGTGTTAGTGTTATAGTTATACATATAGATACAAATTACATCTTGACATAACATCTTAGAATTTAGTGATCAATTTAAAGGCACATTAGAGCCAACTCATTGATTCAGCAGCAGTCAGCAACCTTAATCCAATAACTTTGTCTGTTCAAAAAGGTCAGTGATCTGGAACCTCAACTAAGCGCCAATAGCTTACAAAATAAATAGAAATCAACATTTACAATAGTTCTGGCTATTAATCTTGATCCAAATCGTTGGCTGTATGCGCGGGCGCGTCTACCGTTATCACAGAAAAAAATAAACAATGCAACATTTGTATTTCGTAAACGATATTTTAAACTGGTTTAATTTAGTCAATCAAAGCTCGGATGCGTGTGGTACTACTTAATCGGAATAGAATTGTTTGTAATAATAGGTAATGTAGGAAGCTAGTAATTATAAACTTGAATGTCATAATCAAAATGTGTCACGCTCTCTCAAGCGAAATACGATACTTGAAATGTGCGAAACAGTGTTTCAAGTATTGAGTGAAAAACCAAATTGTGTGTGTTGGCAATCGTAGCTTCTCTGAATGGAACGTCATTGGCCATTCGAGCATAGTGATGCACAATTACGACGGCATGCGAGTGCGTCTCAGCGGCGTTATATCACGACACTAAACACTAGATAATCCAAATGTTTTAATTACACGCGATCTGCTTTTTGTTAATACGCTTTCGAGCAGTTAGCCGCATGTTATGTTTATTCATTTTATGCGTATGGTAATTTTATTCTGACGGAATTGCAGTGTAATTAGTTCAGTCGAGTAAACATTCTGAGGGAGGGCCGGTAGCAGTATTCGACTAGATGTATACGTACGTAGGTGTGTATAGTGTATTTGCATGCGTTGTTTATGTGTTGTCGTTTTATAAGGAGTGTAACAGTCGTAACAAAAACATAGTAATAATACTTTCTAAGATCTCAACCTTCGATAAAAGCCAAATACGGTTTTAAGAGAAACACTAAATGAGAAATTAGTTGTTGTCTGGTGGAGTGTAGGGTTTCATAGCCTTCTCATTATTCTAATTCCATAGTTTTCGCAGTTCAATGGTTATTGAAGTTACATTTGTAGGTACACCGTGAATGTAATTCCTCAGGGGAGTTATCGGCGGCGGCGATCTCTCGCGCCCGGCCTTTCGGCTTTCGGCCGGCGAGAAGGAACAGGGGGGTTTTTAGTCAGTAAGAGTCTGACACTCCCTCCCGCCCGGCCCTGGGCGGGAGAAGTCATTTGATGATTTTCCCCTCACAAAAAAAAACCGTGAATGTAATGACGCGTTTATAATCTAAGTAGCATTATAAGTTACCACGGCCCCGACTCGAAGCAGGAGTTGGGATAGGATCACCTGCCCCACTCACGTCACCCAGAGCAGGAAGGGGTCATTTGATAATTTTCCTCTATCAAAAAATACAGGTAGATATCCATCAATGTAAAATAAGGCAATATATAAAAGGACCAACAAAATGATTGAGGAAGGAAGAACTTTGAAAGAAATTATCAAATTACTATAATTAGTTCCACGTTATAGTGTGTTGCCGACCTTTTGAGGATTAAGGATGTTGAGATTGGGCCTCCGGTAACCTCACTCAAACGGCGAAACACAACGCTTTGGTTGTTTGACGCCGGTGTATGACGCCGGGTTTCTGTGAAGCAACCCATTCGAGCCGAGGCACGGCTCTTCCCACACACAAGTTAAATATAAGTAAAAAAGTTTACTAATTCCATTTCCAAACTATCTATAGGCACATTTGAATATATTTATTTGAATATAGACATTTATTGCAAATACGCACAAAAACAACAATATTCCCAGATCATTTCAATGGAAGTGGGTAAGTCTGTGAGTCCACACGTAGCTTTTAAGTAAAGAAATAGTTCTTTAATTTTAAGAATTTCCGTGACTGATAGCCATCTTTGTTTGTATTGTAATGTTAAGTTGAAAATCGCTCAGTCGCGGTCTGGCGGGCCCAGTTCCCCCTTCCACGTAGCGGGACTAAGACGTGGTATGACTCACTCGACCACCGATTCTAAAGTTCAGGGCTGCTACACTATCATTTAATTTTTATTTACAAAAATATTACATTTAATATTTTTTTTAATCTACTTTGGTAACAAAGCAACCGGCATGAAAAAGGCCGTTAGGCTGTGCTTGCTTTTTTCATTTAAGATCCTTGTACCTATATGACCTTGAAATTCAGATAAAGAATTTCAAGTTTGAGATTAACTAGGTGAATGTCGTGGTGGCCCGGAGGTTAAGGAGCCCGCTTCTCAAGCATGAGGTGTGGGTTCGAAACCTGGCAAGTTCCAATGTGACTTTTTCCGAGTTATATGTACTTTCCATGATTATTTAGACACCACTGACGTACGGTGAAGGTAAACATCGTGAGGAAACCTGGACTTATAATTTCTAATTGTAAGTTTGAAATCGCCAACCCGCATTGAGCAAGCGTGGTGATTAATGCTCAAACCTTCGTATGAGAAGAGGCCTTTGCTCAGCAGTGGGCACTTATAGGCTGATGATGTAGGTAGGTATCAAATTGTAGTTTATGGTTTTAACTAAGTCGGTAAGTCTATTAACTAACTAATTCAAGATCGTAACATGATAAGCTTACAAACCTGCATTTTTGGTTGAAATGAATAGGTCTCTTTATTATGACACTGTATCAGTCTGTCAAGCGTACTTTCTCATAAAAGTTATCTATGACTTCGAAGTGGTTTTAATCCGTCACCGAAAATTAGAAAGCGCGTATTTTAATTAACTGAACTCTGGAGAAGGGGCATTAGGATGTTGTTGTTGTCATTCATGTGTTGACGGTTTGTTTAACGTTTCAACATTGTGACAATAACAACAATACCTAATGTTTTTGAAGGTGAGACCTGAGTGCCGGTAATACGGCTATTATTTCAGTAGGTCAGGTTCTTGTAGCCAAAATAACAACTTATTTTAAGAGCATAATATTTATATTCTTATGTTGCATACTGGGCCTTTAGCTAACCCTGTAAACAACAATATCTAAGGTACATGCGGGTATTAAAGCCTGTCGGCTAATAAGGCCTAAACATTAAAAATCTTGCTTAGAATACGATTTTGCGCTCAATCTCACGCACATACATGTATATTACACGTAAAAGGCGCCACCATGCGGCAAGTGTTGGCTACCACACTCGCTCTCGCTAATGGCGTGTTAAACGTTGTCAAAAGTAGCCGCACGTCACGTTTTTACAAATATTGGCTTCGGTTAAACATAAATATTTCTTAAATTATTATACTTATCTCTTTGCACTTACTGTCTGTATTATCGTTAACTCATGCTCGTCCCACATTGCCTTATTTATTAACGTTCTACAGTCCAAATTGTATTTATTTCGTTTTCCATAAATACCTAACCTATGGGTAATAAGGCCTATAAAATTTTATAGTAGGCCTTATTATACTTATAGATATATATTCTTCAATGTTTGCATTATTTTCAAATTATTTCAATAGGTATATCATACATTATTCACAGTTCCTACGTTCACGATGCTTCCTAAGCGAGCATTGTGATCAAAAGATGTCTAATTTATGGCATTTCCTCTGAAGACATCGTCTTCCACTTGCACGACTAGAAAGAGAAAGAGAACAATAATATCTGGGTTTCAAGAAAGCATAAGGCTTTTAATTTTCGGGGTACTCCATCGAACAAAGATCGTTTTGATAAATTTAATGAATGTAAGAAAAGCAATGCAGGGAATAAAAGTACAAATTCAGAAGAAGAAGAAAACCAAGGGATCTAGGAAATTCTAACCTTCAAACACCTTTAAGAGCAATTAAAACAAAGTCTTTTCGCGGATCTGATCGAACCAAGGACACTGAAGGCACTCTTGGTTGGTACTGCCATGCCTATGAAGAAAACATACGGTTTTCTTCATGACACCCATGTTTTCTTTACGTTCACAGTACACAGTATGGATGACATAAGGCAGTGCTCTCAATGCCCCAAGTGGTATCATGAGGAGTGTGTTGGTTTATCAGTGGATGATTATGATGACTTCGTATGCCCTGGTGGATGTTAGATGAGGCTACTCATTTAATTCTAAAGTATTATTCTGCCATTGACTGGATAATGATTGATATCAAATACCAAATTATGTTATTTTAGTTGATTAATTGCACAGTTAAAGAAGCAGGCCTTGTTACCCTACCGAATTATAATAAGGCCAATTAAGAGCGTTTAAAAAATGTTAAATATTGTTTAGGTTTCATGCAGAAGTTGCTATTTTTTTGTTATAATTTTGTAGTTACCTAAATAAACGACTGATTACCGAATAAAACTTGTTGATTCTATTACCAGTTTTGATTTTACAACAAATTTCCCTTAGCTAGGCCTTAATACCCTCATGTACCTTATGCCAACAGTGGTCTTCCGTTACAATAGATACAAGTCGTCTTGTACTCGGCCATTATTTATCTTTATAGAACACACCCGTTAATTAATTTATTGGAGAAATTGTTAACACAGTGTTTAACACACACACAACTATGAACACACGAAATAAATTAGTAGCTGTCCGTTTTATTAGGATTTATTAAACACCTCGTTTGCACGGTGCAAACAAGTTAGAACTTTAAAAAAAATCGGGGCGCGCTATTTAAGCGTTTTTTTTTCGCCGTAAAATCATCAAGTACTACTCACTCCGGGGAGAGAGTCTCAGACTCTTACTGACTAAAACCAACCCCGTTTTTTTATGTAAGTAATAGGTCGGCAAATGAGCATACGGATTACCTGATGGTATGCAATCAGCGCCGCCCAAAACGGAGGAGTTACGAGTGCGTTGCCGACCTTTTAGGGATTAGGGTTTTTTTGGGTTTTTTAGGGATTAGGGTGGGTTAGGGATTGGGAGGGATCGCTAACCAATCCCTAAATCACCAACCTTCCCCTCGGAAGGATTGGGCCTCCGGTAATCTCACTCACACGGCGAAACACAACACTAAGGTTGTTTCACGCCGGTTTTCTGTAAGGCCGGGGTATCAGTCCGGTCGAGCCGACCCGTTTGTGCCGAAGCTTGGCTCTTCCACACTTAACCCCGTCCTTCTCAAGCTCCAGGCTGGGGCCATGGCTCATTACCTACTGTTATAATATGAACACTTCGAGAAGACTAGACCGATATACTGCTGTTTTTTTTTTGTAAATTAGTGAATTAGTAACTGATGCGCATAGTGTTTAGTTTAGCAATTGTTTCAAGTAGGTTGGACCTACATGGGGAGAAATAGTTAATGATATCAATGCGTGCTCACAATTTTCTCCGCAATAGTTTAAGTTCAAAATTAGTGTTTATTAAGCGCACGAACATATTCGATGTTGTTTAGCTATAAAAGTATACTAATAAAAGTAAAAAGTCACATCTAATCAAAATTGCAATTGAACGTAGACAGGTAATGCCGTCAAATGACTAGAAAATCGATTTCGTTAGCTCTAAACAGATATAAAATACATCGGAAAGTAGGTAATAGATGATAAAATAGTAATAATGTTCTTGTGTATGTGGTTGCAAATGATGGCTGGACCGCTGTACGAATGTTTGCATCGCATTGCGCGCGGCTAATAAGCGTGGTGCGCCTGCGCAGCGTCCATGCCGATGCCGCTTAGCATGCATCTCGCTGCAATTTATCGTTATGTTGAATTGTATACTTTCTCTTGTCACTCTGTTGTAAGTATACAAGAGAATTATTACCATTATCAGTTAGACGTATTTTGCAATAAAAATACTTGAATTATTTTGCTTTATTTTCTAATATTCTGTGCTTCCTAGACACTGACTAGCCTTTCTACTATTTTATGAGTCATAACAGAGATAAACACAAAGACAGCAAACGAAGACAATTAACACTTTCACATACATAAATACCTAATTATCTTAGATCTGTTTAGTTGCAATACTTGGCTTGATTAATAAACTGAAGTAAGTTTAAACGAGTGAATAATGGTATAAAAGAATAGGTTTGTGAAATGAATTAAAGTTAAGTAAAGTACCTACTCGCTCGTTACATAAAGATGTTTGGAAATGTAAAAGTTTTTCTCAAGAAATCTTCAAATGTATACAGATCAACGTTTCAACATTTTGTCTGCAAAAGTTATTGTATGGGTTTGGTGAGAAAACATCGCTTACCTACTGTGTTGACCTTTCACACGTTCTACTAAATTAAGGAAATGATCACGCACACTCATTGAAGTTAAAAGCGTGAATATATTTTTCTCTTTTGTTCCAGTTATTTGACAATCTTATTAAATAAACAACTTAGTGAATAATAAAAACTAAATGGGTTCAATATAAATGAAACGATACACTAAAACTGTAGATACTGCAGAACACGTATATTCCTAATGGAGAACTATACAATATATGACAATCAGACGTCTCTCTTTATTACAAAAAAAAAAAAACAAAATAAAGCACAAAAATTAGCGAAGTGTGTCGTTGGTGTCGCCAAATGATTTGCCCTGTGATTGAGTTTTAAGAACCTGCTCTAAGTGAATTAAGTTTTGTACAGTTTCAAATACAGTTAATTGAACCGAACTTCTTTTATGTGCACTTAAACTTAAAATTAACTGCTGTTAATTCAACTGCTTTCTGTCAACGCCTGGGTAAATTATCTAGAGATTTACGATCAAACGGATGTCACTGCCAGTTATCCTCTTTGAGCAATTCGCCTAGGTTTAATTAAGTATTTGCGGTATCCTCATTAGCAATTTAAATAGGTACCTACCTAAGCCAAAAATTTTTTTTTATTAGTATCTATAAATAAGGATTAATGTTGCTGTCTACATTACAAAAATACGGTAGTTTCCAACTAGTCAAATTCAATACTTTTATCTAAACGTCAAAAACGATCTAGAGGTGCCGACCTATCGGAAAATCTAAAACTTAGTGTATCGATCGATCGATCAATAAAAGTATACTTATTTTTCAATATTTTATTGTATTGAAGCGTCGAATTAATTTATTTTTGACCTAGGAAACTACCCAATTGTTATATAACAAAATTCGTGAAACATTTTACGTCAGTCGTCATCAAGAATACGTACTGTACAAACAAAAGTAGGTATCTGCAATACTCTGAATGACAGCGATCATACACAGCACGAGATGATGACTATACTTTTGTCTTCACCAGTGAAAGCAAAATTTGTTATGTTCGAGCAAAAACTGTGGCGTGTAGTTATGTATCTGTACCTACCTAACTATCAAATATAATTGAATGTGCGCTACGAATGTCTCGCGTGATAGGTCAATTTAAGTTCATTATTGTTACTTGGTGGAAAACGTGACTATTACTTTTAGGTACATGTAACTCTAGAATAGGTACGATCAAGGACGATTTTATCTATATTTAGAAGGGAGAGACATTATTTTCGCAAATCCAACCACGTTTAGCAAAACAATTATTATATTTTAGTAAGTACCTACTCGTATATTATAATAATATTCCTTACCGTGATCCTCCAAACAAGGAAGGTGGTGTGGTCTCGGGGCACTGTGCGAAATGCTGCTTCAGCGGCGCGTGCGCTACCGCTTTCATCTCCATCCTGCTGGATTAATAAAACATTCGTTACAAATGGGAAAAGAAGGCTTGTAATATGGGGTTGCCTTAGTAAAACTACTTGTCCAGATAGTCAAACGAAGATTTCACTGAACTTTATGTAACTACTTATTTCTTTTTACTGCAACTTAACTTTGCAACCATTATCATCCACCTACATACCTTTATAACAACTGAAACAAAGATCACTAGAACAATTTAGATCTAGTACATTGCTAAGCACTGAGAACAACACCTCAATTGTATTGTTCGCTTATTCAGATTGAATTCAGTAACACACAACAATGTATGTAGGTATGTATCTAGTTTATTATTCTAGACTATTGTTTTGCAAAATAAAGGCGTGACTAACGACTGAAATTACGGAAACCCTTTATTTTGATAGGCAATAATATAGGGTAGGGCAGATTACAGAGTGGGAGCGTCTCAAGGACATGTTGGATAAGTTGGATAAATGGATGACCGTCAGTGGATTGTAGGTCGTCCGACTACGACAATAGACCCGTGGGTGCGCCGGCTACTGGTTAGCGTTTGAAACCTAAAGAGGTAGGTAGGTATCTACTTACTTACGAAAGGCAGTAATTTCCATAATAAAGAGCATTGTAGATTATATTTTTTTTACATATTGGAATTACAATTTATATTGTGACTGGGCTAAACGACAGTTCTCTTATATTATCTTCTTGAGATTCTGGGTCGAAACTTATTTGATTTTCACAACAATAAAAAATATTTTTAAGCTAAATGCACCGTACGGTTAACGCGACTGGCAGCTGTAAATCGTTCGTGGGTTTTTTTTCCGAACATTTAGATTGTCAAGTAAAGTTAGATGTTCCACCAGGTCCAGATGTTACCTATGTGTTTGTTTTTTCTACGAACCTGCAGGAAAGCAGCCTGGTGTTCATTTACTTTTTTGTTACAAGGCTTGAAACAAAACTGACGAACACTATCTAGGTAGGTACTATCGAGTATCCTATCGGTAGTATCGAGCTCGATTTTCGATTTTCGATGTTAGCCGTGTCGTAGGCTTACGGTACCTAAACGTTCTTGGACTTCTGTTATATGTCAACATTTTATAGGGACGGTCCTTGTAGTGAATAAATTATATATTTTTGGTAACCTATCAATATACTTACTATTATTGAGGTATTCTATCTCGTCTTATCGAGTTTCTCCATTTTAAGAAGTCTAGAATATACCTAAATATCTTATACTTTCTTGTTACTATTTACGTAACTAACAATCTGTGCTTCTTCTATGCTATAAAATAACCGGCAACGAGAGGGTATTGAAATAAAATAACTTATATTATACCTTAGTACCTATTACTGTTACCAAGTTACAAAGAAGTATTTTAGCACGACAGTTAATTTAGATTATGAACTTATTAGGTACCGTACCAACGTAGTAGAAGCTATATTTGTGAAATACGTGTATCTGGATATTTATATGACTTCAATAAATGCAGTCCGGCTGAATATGTATGCTCATGAAATTAGATTGAGTTTTTGATTCGTTATAAACAATCTCAAAACTTACGTCCTATGTACCTATAGGTATATAGGCGTGATAAGTACCTATAGGCAAGTACCTATTTACCTAAATACCTGACTATGTGCATCCTTAGTGCATACCTACCAAGCTGTACTACTTGTCGGTAGGTAATATAAGACTTTCACATCTTTGGTCAATATTGGGTAGGTACGTATGTTAATTGAGCTACACCGAAGGTTTAAAGTTACCAGTAATAATAATGCATGCTTCTGCTCTCTCCGCAAAATAAATAGAGCGTAAAGATACACAAAGTACCTACTTAATTAGAAATGCGTTTGAGTGTGCGATTAGTAGGTACCTCCGGCGTCGATATGAAAAATTTTATCTGATAATGAAATGCACATTTGGTAGAATTGGGAGTAACGTACTTAAATAAGAATTTGCAAATTCGAAAAAATACAAATAACATACCTAGTTACCTACAAATAAAGTTAAAATACCTAATACTTAGGTAGAAATAAATAAATAGCTAAACTCAGAAAAGTGGGAAGGTAGCAAAATATTAACTGAAGCTCAGCAAATTAATCGCACGAATGCATCCAGTTATTAAAGCTCATCATTGTAAGGTAATTGTGCGTTATGGTAATTAGATACATCAACACTTGAGGACCACTTCGCATTCAAAGTTGAACGCACTCGAGACACTTTCCGTTTCTAACACTGTTTGTATACAAATATCACATAATTACTTGGTCGGCACCAATCTCCAGGATGTGCATTTTCCTGTGGATTTTCAGCAGTCGACTGGTTCCATAACAACACGATCACCGCGACAAACACCCGCGTCAGCGTTAGTATCGGACGGCAGCGGACTATTAGCAACACGGTAAGACACGACCAGACGACCGCGACGCCCATGCACTCCTCACAGACTAACCACTCTCGGCCGACGGTCGAGCGAACCACAAAAAGAAAATTGTTTCACGCTTCTTGCACTTACATATTTTAATAAAACTTGGAGAGGAATGAATTAATTCCCGCGAAAGTCTGGGCGGCACCCGTTCAGATTGATATGTGGCTGTGGTGGCTATCGCGTTTTCATCGCTAGTTATCGGCAGCTCTTAACAACTCAATTAGAACATCGACAAATTGACGTAGCGGAACCAACGTTGTTTGTTTAGCATATTACCGATAAATAAAAGGCTTAAGTCACCGAGACAGATAAAAGCACTCTTTATCGATCAACAGCCGTAGGTAACCTACCTACTAATAGGTTTTAAGAAGTATTTTATTCCAACAAAATCTTATATAAAAAATATTCTAGTCAAAATGGAGATTTACTCATGTGAATCGTAGATGCGCGGGTAGTTTAATATTTAATAAATATAAACAATAAAGTAGACCATGCATTCATACAGATAGTTCGAAAGTAAGAGCTACTTAGCACTACTACTACAGCTCGGTAGGTCTACATGCTCGATACAATATAATTAAATAGGTAGATACTTAATTAAGTAAAGTATTTGAATGCACCACCTGATATTCGTCCATTAACGGTATAATTATGCAATTTTATCTCACTTTCTCATTTATAATGACTACGAGTATGGAACGGAGTGATCACTATCAATTATGTTGTTCGTCAAACCATTTCGGAACGGAGATGTGGACTGGCCGCTTGGCTGCAATGACCATGTGGTGATGATTCGCCAGTGACGCAGTGACGCTGCCATTCTGTCACACAGGACAGGAACTACGGTCAGACGCGCACTTTGTTCATTATAATTCCGCACTCACTTTCATTTGTTATTTGCTCAATAATCCCTTGTTGGGAAACATTGTGATTTATCATGGGTATTTACTATTTAGTGTGTAACCTCACTCACACTGCGCAACAAAAGTCTTGTATTACACTCTGAGCACTATACATGGTCTCAAATTTTTCTTCATCTATCTAGATGTATATACCTACAATAAACAAAAACAGGTACACTATTATGACAAAGTACCTACAATAGGTTCAGGAGACAAACCTATTGTGGCACAGTGTGAAAAAATAAGAATTAAAAAGTAAAGTAGGTACTTATTAGGTATTATCTTTATATGATTTTATTGGTAATAAGGACCTAATCATTACTTTAATCGACTTAGGTGCGGGCACGCTTTTATAGCAGTGGTGGTAACCCCTCTTTTAGTAGTGGCTAGAGGCTAGAGGATCCGCCTGACGCAGGATGCCTAACAGACACGAAAGCTTCAGTAGGTATCTGATTCAGATCTGTCGGTCTGGGTGTCATCACTTTCATGATCACCCTGAGGACACGGTGGCATTGAGCACTGCTTGGGCTGAGCACCACCGGACCGCCATGTTCTAATGGAAGTGATCGGCGGCGGCGACCTCTCGTGGTCAGGGTGCAGGGCCTCCTTTCTCTGCGAAGCAGTGATGTACCACTTCGGTAGTCTGGGATCGACTGACGATCTCCAGTCACCGTAAGCACGTAACTCTGGACGGCGAGCAAGGGTAGCTCTAGTAGCATCAAAGTCAGTAAATCACCACAGATGTGGCCCAACAGAGCTGATGTTCAGCCGGGGTTGCGAGCCAATCGTAATAGGGCACCTAACGAGTCCTCGGGCTGGAGCAGAAAATGAAACGGAGGAGTTTTAGCGAGCAAGAGTTTGGCACTCTCTCTCGCCTTACCATGGGCGAGAAAGTCGTTTGATGATTTTAATCTTAAAAAAACCTACTTAGATGCTCTAGGTATAGGCATCTTTTATTTAGTTATCCACTGAAACTTTTCTAGGTAGGTACGTTTCGGAGCATCGGATGTAGTTGTCCTAGATTCGCATTTACCGTTATATCTGTGTAAGACCTACCCGCAGCACGAGCGGTACATGATGCGATCATAAATCGATTCGACGCGGTCGAATGCTCACAGACTGACCTATATTGTTATTTACTTTATTATTTAGACACACTGATTACCTACATGTAAGTTTCAATGATTAATGATAAGGGTAAGAATCTTTGATAGATGGATAGATACACCATTAAGAATTTTTTTATTCATAAAGCTTTCCGAATTTAGCCAAGGAGAGCCATGCTTTGGTACCAATGGGCCGGCTCGACTGGACTGATACCACGGCCTCACAGAATACCGGCGTGAAGCAATGCTTACGTTGTTTCGTCCTGTGAGTAAGGTTACCTGACGCCCAATCCTCCCCCCTCCATCATCAAATCCCCTATCCGTAAATTCCTAACAATCCACATGAGGCTGGCAACACACATAAAGTAACTTCGCTTTGCTTTACGTACCTACTTACCGACATAAAAAAAGTCTACCAATATTCTTTTCTTTTTTTGGAGTTTCCTTTGTTTCGGACAAAATTGTAAGTAGTAAATCCTTTTTACTCTTTTTAAATGTGAATTTCCAAAAATCTATTCTTAGCTCCCAACTCCTATGTAAAAAGAAGCATTCGCGCGAATTCAGTGCGAAAACTGGATATTTTCTCGATGTGCGAAATATATGCTAAGGTTGTGCGTTTTTCATTACTTCACGCCTTTTGTCTTCAAAGGCTAGGGCAAAGCTGTAGTACAGTTACCGGCTTATAATACCACATGTCTAATAAAGTACCTTATAGTGGACAGTCACTACGCATCAGTCACGTTAAAGTTCCTTGTGCGACAATTATACTTTACCCGGGAATCGAGCTTGAGACCCGTTGCTCAGTAGTCGGACTCGCGACCATTCGACCATCGAAGCAGTTCTTCTTAGATATTAGAAAATAGATATCATTAAAAACTTTTTGGCTGCAATTTTTGTCTTTGGATAATCGTAATCAAGCAATTATATTTATTATACTCTTTGGTCGAGCATTTTGCAGAGGCGGGGAACAAACGACGGCAACTGTCAATTCAAATCCGTAAAAAAAGCAATTTTTTTACAACAGTCATGTACACAGATGATAATTCTGATAAAGAAAGCGAGTTCGAAGACAGAAGTCCGGAGGACAGTCCGAATATCACAAAGAAATCCCTATCGACCGTTGGTTTCAGAAACAATCCAGAGAACCAAAATGCGAGGCCTCTCGCTCTGCGGGCAACGCAATCCTTCACAGGAGCCGTCGAAGAACTCAGGTTATGTGCAAATTTCCAAAGAATAAACGTATGCAATCGAATGAATGTTATGTCGACGCCTAAAATAGCAACCGTATGTCCGTGTGGCTGCCTACTTAGACCAGCCACTACGTGCCCCTTTAGGACGAGGGAACAGAACACGTTGGCGCTCCACGTCGTCTCGCCCGAGGTGCTCAGCTATCATGGCTACTGTTTCGAACCCTGCCAAATTGCAATGTTTTGGAAAAAGGACTGCAGGATGTTCCTCTGGAAGGGCAAAGCCAAGATGAAGAATGTTATTCATGCGGATTCATACAGAAAATGATAATAGTGGATATATTTCTTCTAAGAACTTTTTGTAATTATTAAATTTGATCAACCATGTTTTACATGAAATTCAAACAGTTTTATTATTTAATATTTTATTCCTTAACAATATAAATTAAATATGATTTGGTTATTACATTATGTAATAAGTTGAAATAATTATGTAACTACTTGTAACTGAGTATGCTATGCATAGCTATAACTTTTTATTGTAAGGTTTGGACTGTATCTAATGGCTGCTTCTCCACACCAGGCATATTCGCTTCAATGACTTCCCCACATGAGAATCTTATGTAATCAATGACCTCGACTTTATGTTTCTCTAATACTTCTTCGATTGTATATGATGGGTCGAGTAAGTATTCTTGGTAAATAAGACATGTTTCATCATCAGCATCTTTGGCAGGCTCGTCTGTCTTTTTGTTTCCGATTTTTCTAGGGCCCATACCAACAATGTGTTGACAAAGCTGTCTTCCGACATCTTCCGTGTCATTAGATTGTTTGTATGCGAGTAATGCTCCATACTTCCCTGCAGAGTAATCGGCAGACGTCGCAGGCGCGGGGTGAGTGTACCCGGTGATTTTCACGTCTTTGTCGTTGGCCTTCCAACATTCAGCCCTCCTCAAAACAGCGTTTTCGCCAACATTTCCAATGAACAATGCTAGTTCTTCTGACAACTTCTTTCCACTTTGAGTTGCTAGATTGGCTAATTGTTCACTGTCTAATTGCATCTGAAAATATATACAAGGCATATTTTATATTTTCATAGATTCAATTAGAATTAGAAGTCAATTAAAATATACTTTTTCATCACCTTTGCTAACACAAAATGCTCTTTGTGTTAAGAGTTCTTGTCAGAAATGAGATGTATAAAAGATTGCCAATTGGCTACCAAAACTTTGATAGTACAGTTTTATTCTGTCTGGTTGGTAACCAAAATAACAATAATGTCTTTCAAATCATTCAGTTAAACTAAGAATATCTGCATTAACCTTTCAATTGCGGTAATTAGAGCAACAATAGAAAAAAGAATAGGGCTTGGGGTTTGATCAATTAATATGAAATGTGTGTATGAAAGCAAATACAAATTCAACAACTCAAGATTACAAAAAGTAATATGGATTAAAAGAAACACCTTAGTAAGTGGTCCTTTTGCCTGCATGTGGGTGTGGGCAAACTTAAAGCATGCTAAAGTTGTTTCTTCTATCATTTTATGGAACTTTTCATTTTTAGCCACAAAATCTGTTTCACAGTTGAGCTCCACCAAGGCACCATGGTTCTTGTCAAACTTTACAGCAACAAGACCTTGCAGGGCGGTGCGGCCTGCAAGCTTGGTGGCCTTAGCCCAACCCATAGCTTGGGCCTGATCATTCAACCACGACTCAGCCTGAAATATGAACAGTAATTTCAATTAGATGTTTTGAATTACATGAATACAAATCCATTCTATTATTTGATAGTTAAGATATTTCGTTTACCCATAGCTTCAGCCTATGTTATTCTCTATATTGTACAGCTACACTAGCTAATCTCGCGCGGTTTCACCCGCTGCTCAGCTGCATTTAATCGTAGCGTGATCTTTTATAGACTCAGCACTCAGGAACATTGTAGCTTTCTATCAGTGAAAGAATTTTGGCAATCCGACCAGCGGTTCCAAAGATTACCCCCTACATACAAACTTACATACCTCTTTATAATATTAGTATAGATATAAAAGCATTAAATATGTATGTCACCGGAAAATAACAAGATCCGTAAGTTTATCATTTTACTAGGAAGTTTATAAACTTTCATAAGATTATTTTACGTGTGAGTTCAGTAAGTTTATCAATTTACGAAAATGTGGACGTAAAATATTACAATTTATCTCCCGTTTAGAATCTTACGAAAGTTAATAAAGTTCCTAGTAAATTGATAAACTTACTGATCTTGTTATTTTCCGGTGACATGTACATATACAGTGAGTTAGGGACATATTGAAATGTGAGTTAGGGACATATTGAAATGTCCCTCATTTAACCTAACTCACTGTAAATGAGGAGCTGATTTTGGAGCTCAATCACAACAACTTTTTCCATGGGATGAATATGCGAATCACAAAAATAAATTGCAACAACAAGCTGACTGATCATTTTGCATGGAGAAGTAAACATTTATTTTAGATTTCCATATTGGTCTTATGGAAAAAGTTGTTAAGATTGGTGCACCAAAGTGGTATCCTTGAATATGTCCCTCGTTTAACGTAACTCACTGTATTTACATAAACATTTTAATTTTATTTTTGTTCATACCTTATCAGCATCATTGTTGTGCATTTCTAGGGCTTTCTTGCAGTTAGCAATTGTGTAACCTGTTTTCTTCCTCAGTTTAGCTAACAGAGATGATTCAGCTGCCCTGCACACTGGACCAGCGTGAAACCTACGGACCAATTGGAAGATCATCTGAAAACCAAACATAAAACATACTTAGTAAATATTTATCAAAAAGAGATATAATTATAGTGAATTGAAATAATAAAAAGTATGGTATATTGTAGAAGAATGAGTAAGAGCAAACAGTGTCTGAGTTTCATACAATAACTCCTTAGCACTAAGTTTCTGGCACAAATAAAGTTTAAGCAAACCATATTAGCACTTAAAAACTTAGAAAGACAAAGTCAACTCACACAAACTCAAATTTTAAGCAGATTATAAGTCCAGTGGATGAACTGTACCAAAAAATTACAATATAGATTACTTTATGCTACAAATAAACAGATGATACTCAATGTGCCTTTGTATTCTGTCACTATATGACTATATATTATACATACTGGAAGTACATATACAGCCAGCTAGTATGACATCATCTGAGCAAGACAGAAACACTGAATTTGTCCAATGAAGGCCAGAGGCTGTTTATAAACTTTACTTTTGAATAGCAGCAGGGTTATTGTGTTTGGATTAGTAATTTAACGATCCACAATAGCGCGATTTACCTTTGAATATGTTTGGACTGTTAGCTTCATTTATTTACCAAACCGATAACCTAAAAATTGCAATAATATTGACATATAAAAATAAATGTTATTGACACTGAATAATATTTTTTCTGCTCATTATACTGGCCGTTTCACAATAAACGAATCAAAAAGAAATTAATGTGTTGTCATGGAGAAATCAATACTTGACAATAACAGTTTGTGCAATGCATAATCCTGTCATAGGAATAAAAATGAATTTATCCGTAATTTAGTTAATTTTATTCACTTTTGTTGGATTAATTAAGTAATAATAGTCGTAATTTGCGTAAAGACAGATAACCAAAAAGTTTTAGGCAAAAGTGCTTACCTTTTTGAGACCAAGACAAAACAGGTAAAGTACTTGCTGATATAAATTAATTTCCTGGTTTTAGTTTCATGTATTATGAACTAAATTTATGAAATTTTCATTGATTTTGTACTCTATTTGTAATTTAGCTAGAGATTACGAAAATTCAAAAGTGAGGTTACAGGCTGTCAAACGTTTAGTTATTACTACAGCCGGTGTCCATTCTTTTACTTGTTTATCAATTGTTTTAAATGAAGTAAATTTGTTGAACTAAATTGTTACAATTAAAAAACGAAGCATTTTTTATACATTACAAATACCCATGTTAGTAGATAATGTTTTGGTTTGTATTATTTTAGTAAGTTTTTGGCAAATGAGTAATAACTAATCGTAACGACATTGTGCGGGCGGCCTTCTTTACAATATATTTATATATATAATATATTTTTTTTCTATAGTTTATACGGCGTATTACTGTTTAATTGACAGGCTGATTAGTTACCAAATGATAGAGCTTTATAAGAAAATATAAGTAGTTTTTGTGCTAGATGGGCCTTAAAATTTAGTAAATAGTTTTGTTTGTGCCCAGTATATTTAATTATTGCATTTTAAAATATCGTTAGACGGAAAAGTCAATATATCGAGGTAGATAAAAAAATACTTTTCAGAGCGACCAAATACAACATAATTTTTTTAAAATATCTGTCTAGCCGTGACATGTGTGGCAAATCAGCTTATGTTTAAAAAAAGTAATAAACGAAAGGGCACTGGCGAAATTTTACCCTTATTGTCTGTTTGAACAGTAATGCAATATATGTAAAAAATATAATGTATTATTGTTGTAATTCAATTTTATTTGTTTACACATGTATATAATATGGCAAATAATACTATTACGAAAAATATAATAAGTTTACTTCTAAAAATTTACCTATTTGGGTTATTTAAAATTTTCAATTTTTTCAATTGTTAATTGAATAGAAAAGTAATAAAATACCAAACAAAACTGTAAAAAATCATAGAAAAATAAAAACAACATCGACTGCTTTTTTTTTAAACAGATAATTAATTTGAACCTAAAAGCGGGAAGGTTGAAAAAAAAACAAACAACCACAAACTTACCATAACAATCTTTATATTTTTTATAAAACAATGATATATCAATGATAAAACAAATATGTACCAAATACTGCAGAACGCTAGAGGAATAAAGATTATCAACATAATTCATCTAATATTTTTACGCCACACCACATTGGCGGAAAAATATTAGGTACCTACAACTGCTACAACGACCATTTTGCTTTGAATCAACCGAACTACAGGTTCGTACACTTAGACGTAACTACAGGGTCGTGTTATTGTTCAGCCGGGGTTGTGGGGTAAGCGCAATGAGGCACCGCGACCTCGGCCCAGAGCAGGAGAAGGAACAGGGGGGTTTTTAGTCAGTAAGAGTCTGACACTCCCACCCGCCCGGCCCAGGGCGGGAGAAGGCATTTGATGATTTTCCCCTCACAAAAAAAACCGTGAATGTAATGACGCGTTTATAATCTAAGTAGCATTATAAGTTACCACGGCCCCGACTCGAAGCAGGAGTTGGGATAGGATCACCTGCCCCACTCACGTCACCCAGAGCAGGAAGGGGTCATTTGATAATTTTCCTCTATCAAAAAATACAGGTAGATATCCATCAGCCGGGGTTGTGGGGTAAGCGCAATGAGGCACCGCGACCTCGGCCCAGAGCAGGAGAAGGAACAGGGGGGTTTTTAGTCAGTAAGAGTCTGACACTCCCACCCGCCCGGCCCAGGGCGGGAGAAGGCATTTGAAGATTTTCCCTTCACAAAAAAGGGTCGTGTTATTATACATTTCCTCAATAATTACCTACTTAATTATTTTCTTGAATGCATTCGTAGGGCAATAAATTAGTTCAGTGAGTTTCGCTTCAGAAAATAAGCGATTGTAGGTACCTACGTTGCTTACCATTTAGCACTTGTGTACTTATAGTTAAAAGCAATGACGTATTTGGTTAAAAGTTAAACTTGAAGAAAGCTACTGCGTATTTGATTAGTCTAGTTTGAGGTTGTTTAGGGGTTACTGAGTACGATGTGTTTTATTCATCATTTCATTTATCAACTCTTAATGCACATAAAATAATATTGTTTTACACTACAAATATTTTTTAGGGTCAACCATGCAGAAAAACAACAAACCAACGCGTAAAAAAGGCCAGCCATCCCCGACGCCTTCCACGTCCGATGTAAAATTACCTAAAATACCGAAGCTTTCTATGCCTGAAGATTTTAAAATACGGACGCGGCCTCTCTTTTCATTGCCCGAAGAAGTTTTAAAATTACCTGCGCCCGCTACCAAAGCCGCAAAACTACAGGCTGCTAAAGTTGCGCCCAGGAAGAGGTCCAGCGGTAACTAAGTTTCGTCTTACTTATTTTACTTTTGAAGTTAGGTACCTTATCTTGTACGACCAGCTGCACCTCGCTGCTACGCTGTTCTTTATTTAAATTCTAACAATTTAAATCGTCTCTCCAGTAAAATGTTTTCTATTTACGCGGTTTTAGGATATTAGGTAATAGAATCATGTCATCCATAGGTACTAATATTATAAAGAGGTAAAATTTGTAAGTTTGTATGTAGGGGGTAATCTTTGGAACCGCTGGTCGGATTGCCAAAATTCTTTCACTGATAGATAGCTACAATGTTCCTGAGTGCTATAGGCATAAAACGTCACGCTACGATCAAATGGAACTGACCAGCAGGTGAAACCGCGCGAGAGTAGCTAGTGTATTATATAAATGGTCTTATTTATCTTTTAATTTAAAATAACCTCATTTGTAAGTACGTAGGTACTTATTAAAGTAGTTATGAGAGAGATGAAGTACTTATGGGCTAATGAGAAATCCAATTTACAATGCAACGTCAATATTAGAAAGGTAGGCTTAGATAGACGTGCTTACTTAGCGTTGACTGCGTTCAGACCTATTGAGTCGGATTCCCAAATATATTAGTGGTGTGTATATGTCATATGCATAATGTGGATCAATATTTGTCTTTGTAATGTGTTTGTCGAGATATTGAGTTGAATATGTATCAAATTTTTTTACGTGAGTCATCGTGGGCACCACTAGGCCACCTCGAAAGTTTTGTTACTACAACCATGGCTTTAAAGAAAACTGGCGTGAAACAACGCTTACGTCAAGTTTCGCCGTGCCAGGGAGGTTACTGAGGGCCCCTCCCCCATCTACGATCTCTGAATCCAATAAGGCTGAAAAGCAATTCATTTGTTACTCCTCTGCCGCGCCGCGCATGGTCTAGTCGACTAGTCGTTTGCTGATCATTTCTTCCATAAATAATTGAGCTGGTTAATTTTATTAGGTAAAATTCTCTTCTACTTCAATTAAACTTTGGCTATTTAAAACAGCTTAAGAAGAGAGAAGGATGAAACATTTTAAGTAATTTTTTCAGCAATGCAAAGCTTCACGCAAATGCGAAAGGCTCGTGAAGAATTTAGATTAAAACTGGTGAATCTGATATGTCAGACTGGTGATGAACAGGGTAGCCACGAGATGGGGATGCCTACTGGCGAAGAACAGAATTTGCTGAGATATTATTATTACCTGCGATACGGTATTGATACTATACATGTTGCTCCTTTGGATAACAAGATAATATTAAGGTACTGACTCTTCTGTTGCTTTATGTTTACCTATTACCTTTTCCAAGGTCTTTTTTCCAGAGTTATTTCAGTATTTTTGTATTAAATTGTTGACGATTGATTAACACGCATTGATTTCATTCTTGTGGGATTTCCGAGATTAAAATGATGTTTTGTCGTTTCTCGGAATTTAAATTAACGATGTTTCTTATACCTATTTAACTTACACAGTTCCGTGGTTTAAAAGATAATTATTAAATTATAAGTGATGATTTGAAAAGAATGATAATATTTTACAGAGTACACAATCTTATACCTCCAAATTTGAAGAAATGGAAAGAAACGCTTTTTACGTGCACAGACGAGATGCGCGAAGATTTTATGATGAGTATGAAAAAAGCGATCGTGGATTTTGTGCTGAAAGACCCTAATACGGTACGATATTGAACCTTCTATTCAACTTATGCAGAGTGTAAATGTCAATACAAAGCCTAAATGAGATAGGTACTTTAGACCTTTGGAAGAGTCATTTAATGATTTTTTGGAGAAGTCATTTAATGATTTTCCCCCTAACAAAAGAGGCGTATTACATATACATTATATAACTTTGCAGGAAGAGTCGTTGGAAGACGATAACACACCGTTAAAGCAAGAGCTAGCAGCCAAAGATGACGCTTGGAGAAATCGATACGCTTTAGCACATAAGCACTTGACTAAAAATCTACACAGCGTTAATCCTTGTATCGCACAAGTGCTTCAAATCTGGTGGAAACAATTCAAGTAAGATCATGTAGGAAGTAAGGTTATCACTCGACTGAGCGTACGTCGTGAAGCGGTCCGCTCCCGCCCCACAGAGCCAATAGACCACCGTAGATGGGCCCCACAAAGCCAATGTATAGCCGGGGTTGTGGGTCAAGCGCAATAAGAACGAAGAAGAGAGAAGGAACGGGGTGTCATTAAGAGTCTGACACTCCCTCTTGCCATTCCCTGGCGAGAGAAGCCATTTAATGAATTTCCCTCCTCAAAAAAAACAAGCGTGGTAAAAAAAGCTTGGTACACTTGTAAATAGCATGAATTTGTTGTACAAAATTGATGGAGTTATATAAATCTACATGTAATAGTGACAAATCATTGTGCTTTAGAAACAAAAAAAAAATGGAAGACGTATTGAGACATTCGAACAATCCACACTGGGTCGGCGTGATCGATTACGGACATTTTCTCTGTTTCGGATACTTGGGTCCCGAAGGACGTGATGTTGAATGACTGATAGCATATGTGATTTGTAGAATAGTATAAATAATATTAAGCTCTTTATTTCAGTGATTTAAGACTAATTAGTATGAAAGATATAATGACAACAAATGAAGCTTATGAGCTGCAAGACTTCTGTTTTGTTTGTAAGAGGCATATAGAAGCGGCTGGTAATGTGCTTACACACCAGTGGATCCCGACTATTCAGGCAGTTTTTCTTCAGGTGAGGCGAAGGCATTCCAAGGAGTTCACATGAATAATTTGCTGTAGCGAAAATCGATTTAATATCAACACTTTTAGTATAGTATTAAGGTCGAATTAACGTCTTCTTTAACTTTTAGGGTAGCAAAAAGAAATTGATCCCAGAACCGAAGCATGCAGCCAAAATGAAGCATTTTTATAACTGTTTGGCCTGCATAATGACTTATAATCTTCAAACGTTGTGTTTGAAATCTATGAAGGAGTTTACTGACTATGTTGTGGACGTTGGTGTAAGTATCTTTAGGAGGAAAACTTCCAAATTGCGATCAGTCAAACCAGTATTACGAAAAACTCTTTTAAACTCCATCAGTAAACAATAAATTTGCATACATTTAAAGCACATTTCTAATTACAGGGCACAAACCAAGGTTTCATTATAAATTTGGGATTTCAAAATGAGGCCATCGAGTTTGACCCTACATTTCGGCAGTTTAAAGATCAGTTGTGCCTATTGTACGATTACCTGATAGATGCATGTCGGCGGTCACCTCGTTTGGAGACTATGCTCTATCAGGACTTTACAGAAGCTACAAGAGCTACACTAAAGGTACGGAAATATGTATTTGTATAAATATAAAATTAAAACTACATTTCCAGAAATCTTCTCTCATTTCCACAGTGGAATGATTCCATGATTGTGTTAAAAACTGAGCTTAAAAGCTTTTTACTTTTTAATATGCTTTTGGAACATATTTTATTACAAATTGATAAACTATGTTGTACAATATTCTCTTCCAGCCAATAATAGATAGTGAATTGGTAGACGAATACAAGCAGATTATTGCTGATTTGATTGCGGATCAAAGAATCGGACCAGAATTGAGAGTTCAAGATTTCGATGACTACATTTGTTTATTGAACGGCGAGGTAACACACTTACACCCGGTTTCTGAAAGGCTTGTCAACGTTAAGATTAACTAATCTCCTGTTAAATCTCTTGTCAAGTCATCTGATTGGTTGTTGATAATTCAGTCAACCAATCAGATGACTTGACAAGAGATTAAATTGATTTTAACATTGATCGGCCTTTCGGAAACCGGGTGTTAATCATTGTTATTTTCTGGCTTTAAAAATGTATGGCACAACATAACTTTGTTTGTGCTTGTTTGGCAGTCTCAAAGTAAAGTGGATGCATTTATAAACTCGGACCCGGTAAAAACATTTGAAGAGTTCTGCGCGGAGGCTGTGAAATACGTTGAACTAGCGAAAGAGATCCCTTCCAAACTTGAGGGGACTATCGTCATCGGCATGTTTCAAATGCAGCGCGGAGAGCTGATTAATTCTTTGCGATCAGCAGCGACTAGAATGGCCAATACCTTGCTGAAGAGAATGACTGAGGATTACCAGCTGATGATCAAAGCGTAAGCATAGTCTATTATAGAAGAATACACAGGACTTAATATACACATATAATTGTTAACTGCACGGTTGTCGAGGTGACTGGGTGCGATTCCCGCACGGAACAACTCTTTGTGTGATCCAGAAATTGTTGTTCCGGGTCTGGGTGTGACAAACGCTTTTACTTCTACCAAATTGCATACCAGTTTAATGTAATTTAATGTATATTTTTAAACTTCATTATAAATATAAAATTTAAATTTTTAGAAATTGTATGTTTGTAAACGCACCTACGATACAGGTGAGAACCCTAGTTTGGGGCAACGTATAAAATAACGTAACGATAACGTTAAAAAATATATAAAAGGCGTCAATTTGCAGGATCTATGATGAATACGCAGTAATAGCTAATACTCTGTTGACACCACCGGGCAACACTGCGGCTCTGATGGACCTGATGGCGTACGTCAAGAAAGTGGAGGACGTTCTCCTAGCTGATATGGAGGATAAATTGCGCAATGTTATGAGATACATCGTCTTTTTAGGAGACTACACCAATTTCACACCGTTAGAGCTGAAATCTAACAACCAGACCTTTCACTGGTAAGGAAATTTCTATAAAATTAGTATTAGATATTCTCAGATCTCCGTCATTAATTTTTATCGATATTTAGACAACATTTATTTCTTGGCAGATAATAAATTGTCTTTGTTTTGAAGGAGAGAAATACTAAAATGACTTTTCTTGATTCTTCTCTAAGCTCTCGCACAATATAATTTATAGGGGATTGATAATTTATATATTAGGAATATATAATAAATATTGCAAAATTTCGAGAAAATCTATCTTTTATCCATGCTTGCATTGATACAATACTGAGCTTCAATTATAATATACTTTATATCATTTTAAGGTATGCTCGTATGCCAGGTATCATAGAAGAGGCTAAGAATATTTGTGACCAGAAGAAATCGGAATACCAAGAACTATTAAAGGTCAGTACGAATACTTTACTCACTATACTTTCTATGACAAATTAAATAATGTTTTATTTATATATTTGTAAAAATCATTTTCGCATGCAGGTTCGCATTTCCAAGTTTATTGATGATTTGGACATTTATGAATTGCAAGTTAATGAAGTGCAATACTGGGGAGAAATTAACGAATTGCCAAAATATGTTTCGCGGGCTCGTCACCTGGATGAGAAGTGAGTAACACCTGTTTCTGCAAGTAAATGATACTTATTAACGTAACTTAATTATTGGAAAATATTCTTTATTTGAAACATTATTTTTAGGCATCTGTGGCCCATAGGCCTTACAAACTAGCAAAAATATTGTAATACACAATTGATGTTAATATGTTAATAATCTTAAGCCTATTTTAGTAGCAATTCACTAGCACCAGCTCACTGCGTTTTCTCGTATTCTCCTGCCTTGATGTTGATGTTTAAGCTGACTCTAACTGCACTATCACCCTGTATCTGGTATTTTGTAGCGCAATATTCTCGGCATGGTAGTGTATTGAAGGCGGCAGATGTACACCAGGGTGTTCGGTTGGGTGGCTTCCTCTTTGATATTAGGCTCCACAGAACCGTAGCTGCATAGGTTGACTTTTTTTTTAATGTAATAAGTCGGCAAACGAGCAGGCGGATTACCTGATGGTAAGCAATCAACGCCGCCCATGGACACCCGCAACGGAGGAGTTACGAGTGCGTTGCCGACCTTATAGAGATTAGGGATTTGGAAATTTGGGGATTGGGGAAGGGTCCGGGAAGGGGAAGAATTGGGCCTCCGGTAACCTCACTCACACGGCGAAACACAACGCTGTGGTTGTTTCACGCCGGTTTTCTGTGAGGCCGTGGTATCACTCCGGTCGAGCCGACCCATTCGTGCCGAAGCATGACTCTCCCTCACTTAAAACGGTTAACACTTTTAACGGCTCTTTCGCCCTTACACCGTGAAAAACCCGTGCCGTCTTCGTCAGTCCTAATCGTTTCCTTTTCAGCTATACCTACATCACTTTTTATTTTTTATTTGTAGGTTATCAAACGCTCTTGTGAAGATCGATCAATTTAATGAAGAAGAGTCGTCGTTTGGGTGGGATTTGTCTCAGTACCCCAAAAGGAAGGCTATCTTTGATAGATTAGTACCGTTCAAGAAACTTTTCGATGCTGGATACGACTTTCTTGGGAAGCATCATACCTGGATGTCTTCAAAAGTATGTAGCCACGTGAAAAATATAATACTAATAGTTTGAAAAAGTGAAGTCTGTAAAAGTGTCGCTATAACTTTGGAATATTTTAGGTTGGCAGTTTTGATCCTGAGGATATAGAAGGAGATGTCAGTTTTTATTACAAGATTGTCTATAAACTGGAGAAGGCATTTGCGGATGTTCCAGAGACTCATCGCCTTGCCGTTTCTGTTAGGTGATTCTTTTATATATTTTTAATATCAAATTCTTATTTTGTTGTGTCATTACGTCTTTCTTTTATTTAGAAATGAAAAGGTAGAGTAGATATTTGAAATGTACCATGATATCCGGAATATTTTGATTATAATGATAAAATATATTTTGCAATTATGGTTAATGACCTCTGAACTTATAATGTCTGTATTTCAGGGAAAAAATAGATGAGTTCAAGAGTAACATGCCAATTATACAGACATTGGGTAACCCTGGAATGAAGCCGAGACATTGGGAAAAGATTTCAGAAATTGTGGGATTCCCCATTGTTGTGGATGACGAACTGTCTCTAGAGAAAGTAATTGATTTCAACCTGGGTGACTACATAGATAAATTCGAGAGCATTTCTGAAGCAGCTACCAAAGAGAACAACCTCGAGAGGGCTCTAGATAAGATGATGAAAGAATGGGCCGACCTTAGATTTGAAATTCTCATTTACAAGTGCGTAAAACAATATTTTTGACAATATACTTATCTACATCGATACATTTCAGCTAAATGTTTGGCTCAAAAGTATTGGAAGCTATCATAAATTATAACTGATTTACAATTACAGGGATACCGGTACCTACATTCTATCAAGTGTGGATGAAATTCAATTGTTACTAGATGACCACATTGTAAAAACTCAGACTATGAAAAACTCTCCGTATATCAAACCGTTTGAAGCTGTTATTTAGTAAGTCATGCATGGGTATATTGATTTAGAAGTATAGTAGTATTTAGTCCAAAACTTATCTAATGTTAATTTATATGTACAGTGATTGGGAGGGCAAACTAGTTCTACTGCAAGAGATTCTTGATGAATGGCTAAAGGTTCAAGCGACTTGGATGTACTTAGAACCAATCTTTTCTTCGCCCGATATCCAGCAGCAGATTCCTGAAGAAGGACGAAGGTTCAGTGCTGTTGATAAGGTACGATAGTAGAGATTATCATATAGGTGAACTTGTTTTATGACTGAATCAAAAAGAAATCAGCTACCATTTAAAATTACCTCAGATGTGGCGTGAGATTATGAAAGCAGCTTTTTCTGAGCCGAGGGTACTCGATGTCATCACAATAGAGAAGATGTTGGACCGCCTTAAGAAGTCCAACAACTTGTTGGAGATGGTCCAACGCGGATTAAACGCGTACTTGGAGAAGAAACGATTGTACTTCCCTCGGTTTTTCTTCTTGTCCAACGACGAATTGCTTGAAATTTTGTCTGAAACTAAGGATCCTACTCGGTGAGTGAACAAACATCCTACTAATATTAATAATTTGGTTTTCGGACAGGACTTTGCGCATCATCAGTATCAGACGAAGCTCTCTTTGACAGAGTTAATACCTAGGTACTACCGCATTTATTATCTAGGTCTCTTAGAAGGGGGTCGAATATATCATGCTTATATATAGACGCACATAAAAAGTTACAGTGCCGTTAATAGGTGGCCTGCCCACGCAATGTCTGCCTGCTGGTTGCCGTTCGAGCACTTTGCTGGCTTATCGGCTATCAGTCATTCGAGCCATGTAGCCAGTCCTAAGTAGTACCTATTTCAGATAACTCTAGAAGATGACCCAACACATTTAGCACAATTCTTTCTTCTGCTTAACAATCTTCTGATCGTTCCTCAGTATGCGGATGTTATGTGTTGCCGGAGCTATGGGGGGTCACGATTAGGTTACCGAAGTACATATAATTGTATTAAAGAATGCTGCTGTCTATTCTTTGGTCTCTTATCACATTAATAATGGGTGGGGAATTTTAACAGTGTGCAGCCTCATCTCAAGAAATGTTTCGAGGGTATGGCCAGACTCACCTTTACTGACGAAATGGTGGTGACGCAAATGAGGTCTTCTGAGGGAGAGATTGTGACGCTTACGATATCTGTAAATACAGTCGCCGCTAGAGGACAGGTGAGAAAATATAATTATACATATATACTTTGACAATTTAACGAATCCGGAAAACTTGATAATGATCTGATAAATTTCTTGTAGGTAGAGAAATGGCTATTGGAATTGGAGAAATCAATGAAATCTTCAGTTCATAATGTAGTGGCCCAATCATACGATGATTATTTGCAACGCCAACGAGACCAATGGGTGTTAATTTGGCCTGGCCAAACAGTAAGTAATACAAACAGTACATGATAGAGTATTTTTATTTACTGAGCTTTTAATAAGTTTAATAATAAAATATTTTTGGGGTTTTATAAACCATAATCTTCGATGCTTCTATTCATTAATTTCTATTTATTTAATAACCAATCTTTTTCCAAAGTCTCTGTCCGATCTAAGTGTTGATATCTAGGTACTGAACTTTAAACATCTTTTTTTTTATATAATAGGTCGGCAAACGAGCAGACTGATTATCTGATGGTAAGCAATTAACGCCGCCCATGGACATCCGCAACAACAGAGAAGTTACGAGTGCATTGCCGGCCTTTTGGGTGTGATTTTGGAGATTTAGGGATTGGGGAGGGATTTGGGCAGGGGAAGAAGGATTGGGCTTCCGGTAACCTCATTCACGCGGCGAAACACAACGCTGTGGTTGTTTCACGCCGGTTTTCTGTGTGGCCGTGGTATCACTTCGGTCGAGCCGACCCATTTGTGCCGAAACATGGCTCTCCCACACTTAAAATGTGCCTAAAAATAAGTTTTTATGTTTAAAATAAAGACATGTTGATGGATTGATGACACACCTTAATTGGCAAAACAGGCTAACTCTTTATGAGAACATTTTCAGAAGAGACTTAAAAGTATACCTGATTACTTAAAAGTATATATATTAGTTTGTAGTTATCTGGCGTTGGTGGATGTCCAAATAGCGAATTATTAAAAATGTGATTACACTGGAGTTGAGGTTTCTGCAAATGAAGCCGCATTTCTATTGTGCACTGTACAAACAAAACAAAATTATTTTCGTTTGCTGAATAAGGTATCGATTTAAGCATTTATCTTTATGTTTTGTCAAGGTTCAATGTATCGCAATGACATTCTGGACATCCGAAGTAACAGAAGCTATTCATATCAACAAAGCAGCCATGAAGCAATATTGGGAGAAGTGTAACTTTCAAATATCTAAAATTGTTGACTTAGTCCGTGGCGAACTCAATTTACAGAACAGGATCACTCTCGGTAATCTATTTAGACGTATTTTATTTAATTTTACCGTAAAAGTTTCTATGTTTAAATATGTTAAAAAAGTAGTACTTATGATTTTTTTGCTTAAAAGATTTACCAATTTGTAAATTAAAAATTTATAAATATTTTGTAACTATTTGAATTTATTGAAAATGACGACGATAAAATTAATCAGTAATTGAAAATTAATTGGGGAAAGCTCTACTAGTTGGAAGTCACAGCGTAACTCTTTTGAGCAGTGTATATCACGGTGACGTCGCGAAGCGGACTATTGTGGTTAGATACTATGATTTAGCACAAATCTATAATCGACACCGATCGACCGACCGACCGACCGACCGACCGACACGACACGACATGACACGCCACGACACGACACGACACGACAGAAAGTCATTATTCCCGTAAATGTCATATACATTGTTGTTTAATTTGAAAATAAAACATTGTATGTTATAATTTTAGGAGCATTGGTCGTGCTGGACGTCCATGCAAGAGACGTGTTGATGCTGCTCATTGAACTTAACGTGCAACAGGACAATGACTTCAATTGGCTCTCGCAGATACGATATTACTGGGAGGTACGATGATGCTCAATATTTTGATACATTTACAAACATCAGATAATCCGTTTGCAATAAAAACCTGATGAGAGCTAGAGCAAAAGCACTAAGTTTCATCAAATTGGCTTGGAGCTAATTCAAAATCACCCTTTTTTGGACACTGGCGTAGTCTTATAAAGAAATTGTGTGACTCCATTTTTCTGGTCAAAGAAAGGATCATCTGAAATCAGAATTAATAAAATACTCATACGCAAGGTGTTTTCTTATAGGAACAAGAAGATAAAACAATGCAGGAGTTGACCCGCATGATAAACTCGACGCTGATGTACGGCTATGAGTATCTTGGCAACACGGGCAGACTGGTCGTCACTCCGCTTACTGACAGATGTTTTAGAACTTTGTTTGGTGCCTTGCATCTCAACTTAGGTATGTTGTAATAGATATTGTATAGACTAATCTGCTACCTATTGAAGCAGCAGTTGATAGGAATAAGTAGATTGTAGAGAATGCTTAACTAAACGATTAGTATAATAAAGGTTATAAAAATGTTTACAGGAGGGGCTCCTGAAGGGCCTGCCGGTACCGGGAAAACAGAGACGGTCAAAGATTTGGCTAAAGCTGTGGCAAAGCAGTGTGTTGTATTCAATTGTTCAGATGGGCTTGACTATATCGCTCTCGGGAAATTCTTCAAAGTACGTAATGTGCCTTCTATGATGATCGCTTTAGTGTAAAGACTACATAAAATAACTACCAAACTTAAGGATATCGAGGGAATGCCACTATCCGATTTGTAATTTGCTATAATTCAAACTATAATATTATAAATGCGAAAGTAACTGTGTCTGTCTGTCTTTTCTTCGCGCCGAACCGATTTCCGTGAAATTTGGTACAGATATAGTTTGGAACTCGAGAAAGGACATAGGGTAGTTTTTATACCAAAATTTGCAAGAAGTCACTATTCCACGCGAACGGAGTCGCGGGCAAAAGCTAGTTAATAATATTTTTTTCACTTTCTCTCAGGGCTTGGCATCTTGTGGTGCGTGGTCGTGCTTTGACGAGTTTAACCGTATCGATCTGGAAGTGCTTTCCGTGGTTGCTCAGCAAATCCTCTCGATTCAGCGTGGTATTAACTCTGGAGCTACAGAACTATTGTTTGAAGGAACACTAATACAGTTGGAAAAGTCCTGTGCAACATTTATCACTATGAATCCTGGTTATGCTGGACGATCTGAACTTCCTGATAATCTGAAGGTAACACAATAGCTTAATTTTATTTTGTGTAATCGCCTGGTTAAGGCCCTCTCTTCAAGTACATACTTGCGGGCTCGAAACCTGGCAAGTACCAATGTGACTTTTTTCGATAATCATAGCAAATACATATGTACGGTAAAACGGGGTGAATAGAATTTGAGGGGTGAATAGATACAAGAAAGGGGTGAATAGATGTTGGCGAATTTTCCTTGTATCTATTCAACCCTCTTCCGTGTCTATTTACCCCTCGAATTCTATTCACCCCGTTTTACGGTATGTATTTGCTATGCTTACGCTCAGCAGTCAGCCCCTATAGGCTGATGATGTGATGTGATTGTATTGGAATGTTCAGGTATTCTTATTCATAATGTATTGTTTTTTCGATGCAGGCTCTGTTCCGTTCGGTGGCTATGATGGTGCCGGATTACGTACTCATCTCTGAAATCGAGTTGTACGCGTTTGGTTATCTCAATGCTAAGCCGCTCGCCGTCAAAATTGTGGCCACTTACAAGTTGTGCTCGGAACAACTTTCTTCACAGTTCCATTACGATTATGGTAATAAAGCTTATAATAATTGGGTAGTTTTCTAGGTTAAAAATAAATTAATTCGACGTTTCAATACAATAAAATATTGAAATATTTTAATTCATCGATCGATTGATACACAAAGTTTTAGATATTTTGTAGCTAATTATTAAGAAATAAGTAAGCTATTTGACGCAAAAATACTATGACGTTATAACTCAGTTTTTCATAGAAAAGTATCGTTTTTGACATTTGGATAAAATTATTGAATTTGACTAGTTGGAAACTACCGTATTAACAATAAGGAAAGTAATGTTGCGTTAATTTTCCAGCATTATCATACTTGAAATATCCAACATCGTATCTACGAGTATTTACTTCAAGATACTTAAAAGTTTGGGTACTTTTGGAACCCAATTTGATTTTGAACCTAAAGTTTTTCAATTATTGGTTTTTTTGTCATAGGACGGCAAACGATCCTACAGTTTACCTGTTGGTAAGCAATCAGTGCCGCCCATGGACATTCGTAGTACCAAATCAGTTACTATAAGTGCGTTCCTGACCTCTTGTGGGTTATATAATTAGGGAAAGGATTAGGCCTCCGCTAACCTCGCTCACACAGAGAAATACAAAGTAAGTGTTGCTTCACGCTGGTTTTTTGTGAGGCCGTGGTATCACTCCGATCGAGCCCACCTATTCGTGCCGAAGCATGTCTCTTCCACATTTATTTAGTAATAGGCTGTAATTCTTTACGTCAGGCATGCGCGCAGTGAAGTCAGTGTTACGAGCGGCTGGAGCGCTAAAACTGCGCTACCCTGACGAAGTTGAAGACTTGATCCTTCTGCGTTCTATTAAGGACGTTAACCTGCCGAAATTCTTGGAACACGACGTGCCTCTGTTTATGGTTTGTTTATAAATTAATTTAGATTTTTTATTTATGTTGGCAGACAGTTTAATAACTAAGTAGCAAGTGATTTTACTTCTTACTAATATTATAAATGCGAAAGTTACGATGTTTGGATGTTTGTTACTCAATCACCCCAAAACGGTTATACGAGTCTGGATGACATTTGGCACAGGCATTGGAATAAGACAAAGGTGTTATTTTTTGTGTTTTTTATCAACATACAACGCGGGCGAAGGTGCGAGCGGAAGCTAGAGTTCTATAAAATAAAGTTATTATAAAGTGAAAATAATAAAACAAAAATACTACTAATTTAATAAACCAATTTAATAAAACGAACTTTTTATTTTTAAGATAAGCTTATTTTTGAAATAAACTTTCATTATTAAATCGCATTGGTTTGTTAAATGCTATCAAAGCGCCTGTCACGCGCAAACACGCGGGCGTTTGCTGCTATTGTAACGAGCGTGTTGTGATCCGGAGCCCGCTTTTACGAAAATTGACGCCTGCGGCGAATGTTGTTTTTGCAGCGTGCCTGCAAATGAATGTTCAATTTTGTATTTTCAAAAATCAATGTCTAGACCCCCTCGGCTTTTGACGGTTGGGGCGGTGTCCTAACAACCCCCACCCCACCTAGGGCTGCGGGAGTTTTTGATGACTACATGTATGTATCACCAATTAACCGTACTTTGTGCATACATTTGTTTGATATGGTTTTAGCAGATTGATCACTCGCGTTGGTTTGTCAATAGATAGGTGCTTTGAAATTGACGGGCCGAGTTTGTTTACCCTTTTTAGATTTAGATATATTTGTTATATGCACGAATTCAAACTAGATTTAATATATCATAGATATAAAATATATTATTATTATAAATATTGATAAAGTATGAGGGGTAAAACCTTTATTATTATGTTTTATAGGGTATCATCGGTGACTTATTCCCTGGCATGCCGCTTCCGCTGGCAGGTTTGCCTCATTTGGTCGACTGCCTTAAGGAAGTCTGTGTTACACTCAACTTACAATGTAACGAATTCTTCATTGAAAAGGTAAATCCATAAAATAGTATGAAAATATAGTAGATACATTGTTATTTTACGAGTATTCTTACATTTTGAAACTTTTTTAGGTACTGCAATTATACGAAATGATTCTGGTGAGGCACGGATTGATGTTGGTTGGATATCCATTCGCTGGGAAGACTAAATCCTATCATGCACTTGGACATGCTCTGAAATGTGTTTCAGAAAAAGTATGTGAATTTTTATACTTAGTACTTTGATTTTACACGTATTTTTTTGAGTATTTGAAATAAAGAAATAACAGAAAACCAAACATTGATTATAACATTTAAACAATTATAGGGAAAAAACAATTAACTTGGTGATTGGTGCGATATATGGATACATACGTTACGATAAATGGTCTACAACAAAAATTGCAGGGTAAAATAAAATGCTCAATTCATCGACGTTTTATCCTTAAGTCAACGAGGCATACAGGGTAGAGAGTTTTAGGCAACACATTGGAAAATGCACTCAATACAGTAGTTTCCAATTTGTCAAATTTAGTACTTTAATCCATATGTCAAAAACGACACTTGATGAAATTTGTATGTAATTAACATAAAATGACTATGAAATTTGTATGAAACGCTTAGTTATGACGTCAAATCAAGCTTACTTATTTCTTAAAAATTAGTTAGTAAATATCTAAAATTTAGTGAGTTTATTTTTGACCTAGAAAACTACCCAATTCAGTATAAACTATGTCCATGATCTCTGAACGCTTTCTGTAACTTTTCTTCAAAACTTATCTGGATACAAAGAACATTTTGGAGTAATATTAATTGTCCATTTAAGTCGTATTGGGCAAAAAGTTTTTCAAATATAACGCATTTCATTCTGAAAAATATTCCATGTAGTTAGTTTTAATAACAATATTTAAAATGAAATTGTCGAAAGGTTTATGTAACATATGGTTATTTGGGATTACTTTCACAGACGTAGCAATGCTCTCCCATCTAAGCCATTGTGTCAATCTATCTATTGAGATGTCCAGCTCTACTAACTTTTAAACTTTCGAGTTTCATGCTATATTATGAAATTTATTATTAAACGGGGATTAACGTGTAAAAAAAATATTATCTAAATACCTTGAAAGGCTTGACGGTGTTGACCTGGTTCCACAGGTCGTGGTCGCAAGCATATTGCAAGCAGACTGGCGACAGTCAGCAAGGCAAGGCATTTAAATATTTTTTTTTCTCGTTAAGACCTGTTTAATAATATTTGGTAAAGCTCTTGTGATAATCGTCTGCTGTTAACGAAATGCTTTAATTTGTAGGGTTTAATGGATGAACACGCAGTGGAGTGGACGGTGATAAACCCGAAGTCGATCACAATGGGCCAGTTATATGGTCAGTTCGATCCAGTGTCACACGAGTGGTCTGACGGTATCCTCGCCGTCAGTTATCGAGCCTTCGCAGTCTCTACTAATACCAACAGGTATGTTATTTTGTTTATATGAAGTTAACCTATCTTTTTTATGATATAGGTCGGCAAACGAGCTGATGGATTACTTGATGGTGAGCAATCGGCGCCGCCCATGGACACCTAACACCAAAGCAGTTACGGATGCGTTGCCGGCCTTTTGGGGATATGGGTTTTGGATATTTGAAGTTTGGGGGGGATGGGGGTTAGGGAGAGGTATTGGGCTTATTTCCCACTCACACAGCGAAGCACAACGCTGTGATTGTTTCACGTATTCTGTGAGGATATTAATCCGGTCCAGCCGACCCATTCGTGCCGAAACTTGGCTCTTCCACACTTAAAATCATTACATAGTATAAAATAGTCACTTTCTATGCCCCTATGTATGCTTAAATCTTTAAAATTACGCAATGAATTTTGATGCGGTTTTTTTTAATAAATATGGATTGAAGAGAAAGGTTTATATGTATGTATAATAACAAATCACAACCTTTAAAAAGTGGTTAAATATAGTATCAGCATTGCTCCTGTGCAAATCCAGGGCGGGTTCATATTGCTAGATTTTTATGGCTCGTAACATTACTTTAGACTATAAAGCTTATAGGAAGTGGTTGGTGTTCGACGGTCCTGTGGATGCGATCTGGATAGAGAATCTAAACACGGTGCTTGACGATAACAAGAAGCTATGTCTGATGAGTGGTGAGATCATACAGTTGGCACCCACTACCAATCTTATTTTCGAACCAATGGACTTAGAAGCGGCTTCGCCAGCTACGGTAAGTACTTAGCATTAGTTAATTCATCATCAACATGATAGAGATGAATACTATTAGGGTAACCAATAGTTACATTGAAATTAAAAAATATTTGCTGTTGTAGGAATTTTCTGTGAGACAACTTAGTTATGACGTCTTTATTTTTAGCGTTAAACGTAATAATTAATAGATCCCCTATTAATTATTCCGTTTGACGGACCTATGTCCAACAGTCGACGGAATCAAGCTACTAACGATGACAAAACCATATTTTTTATGATAGTCACTTTATTTTAATTCTCTCGTATACTTATTTTTAGAAATAATTTACTTTTCACTATGTCCTCATACTCATTTATTATTTTGTATTAAGGATGGTTTACGTGGCACATTTTTCGGACTTTAAAATTTCTATAGGAATTCTGCAACTGCTGCTGCCGCTGTACCTAAACAACAACAGAGTCGATCGCTGTGTCCTCACACATGCTCAGCAGAAGCACACGTACTCGTAAACGCTCTGAAATATATGTAATTGGCATAAGTAAAGGACACCAAAAAAGTTGTTTATATTCCTGAAAAATAATTGTGGTTTTTATTCACAAGGTTACGCCAACCTGGTATTGTTTTATTTTATTGTCTTGAAATTCGCAACATTGCATGAGTATTTGTCTCATTGGAACCAGGTTTCAAGATGTGGTATGATCTACTTAGAACCCAAAGGTCTGGGATGGAAGGCTCTGTTGGAGTCCTGGCTGAACATGCTGCCCCCTACTCTCCACACGGTCAACCGTAATCATATACGCAATCTGTTCCATCGATTCATGTCACCGCTTCTTTGGCTCGTCGAACTTTCTGGATTGGTTAAGGTAAGATCTATTGTCCCGAAATAGATGATAATAAACAAAACTAATAGAAACCATAGTCAGACGCAGTAACTTGTTTCCAAATAGTCAAATTCAATACTTTTATTGAAATGTCAAAACGATACTTTACAACAGATATTTATTTAAAAAAAACTAGCAAGAACATAAAGTTAAGTAAATTGTTAAATCAAAAGTATATCATATTTTCATTCGGGCAGTGTGATTATATTTTAATATGATACTGAAAAGTCAATAATTTATTTTTGTCCTTGAAAAGTACCTACCCAATTGGGCCCACTGTTTTACATGTTTAAGCAAAATAAAATCGATGGTTGAAATTATTTCAGCAAATGTATATAACGTCTCGAACTAACCTGGTTCAAGCGTGCATGAATCTCTTCGACTGCTTTATGGACGATTTTTATGATGAGAAGTACTTGGAACAAATATCCGATCTCGACATACGAGCACAACTTGAGGTAAGGAGGTATTTTTTCGAATCTTGTAAGTTTTTGATAAAGGTTCAAGTTAGTTCTTTTTCATAGTGATTTTTACTTTTTTTATTATTGTAAGTTTTAACATTACAGGGCGTTTTCTTCTTCTCGTGTATATGGTCTATTGGAGCAACATTAGAAAGTGCCGGTCGACCAAAATTTGACCTTCTCTTCAGAGGTCTGCTCGAAAAGGATTTCCCTGAAAAAGTATACCAAAATTCTTATTATCAATTATTTCTAATACATTTTTGTAATTGAATTCGAAATTTAAATTGTTTGGTTTGTTTTCAGATAAAAACTACGTTGGGAATGCCAAAAGTAATTGCTAAACCAGAAAAACAGTACATATTTGTAATCCCAAAGGAGGGTACGGTTTACGACTACAGGTTTATTAAGGAGGTAGGACGATTGTAATTCTTATTTTAAGCCAACACAATATTCTTCATAATTGAACTTGGTTGTGTGATGTGAGATAAAACAAAGAACCATCAGACTACTACAGAAGGGTAACACCCTTAAGCCAATGTCCAGCTAAGGTTGCAAGCGCAATGAGGATCAATCTTCATCTACCCTTGATGTTAATAAATGTGGTACAGTCGTTAAATCCCGTAAAAAAGTATGAGAAGACATATTTCTATTAAAAAATGCCTCATGCGTTAATATTTCCAGGGCAAAGGCAAATGGAAGCCTTGGATTGATGATGCCCTTACTGCGCCCCCTATCAGCCGTGACACCCCTCCTAACCAGATCCTGGTGACGACGCTGGATAGCGTGCGATACCTCGCGTTGTTCAGGCTCATGGTGACGCACCATAAACTAGTCATGATGGTCGGACCTACCGGCACCGGGAAATCCGCTTACGTCATTGTAAGTATCTATTCAAGTAGGGAAAGGAGTCAGAACGAGAGCGCATTTTTTATGGTATAGGCCGGCGAACGAGCAGACGGATTACCTGATGATAAGCAATCAGCGCCGCCCATGGACAGCGCGACATCAAAGGAGTTGTTGTCGAGTGCATTGCCGGCCTTTTAGCGATACATTTTTAGGATATTTAAGGATTGGGAAGGGTTGTTTCACGCCGGTTTTCTGTGAGGCGGTGGTATCACTCCAGTCGAACAGACCCATACGCGCCGAAACTTGGCTCTCCTACACTTAAAATGCGTGGACTACGCGCAGTACTTAAATTCGGGTAATTTGCTGCTCTTTTTACTTACCCAGATTTTCAGTTATATATCTTACCGAAATAAGTAGAAATATTTAACTTACAGGACTTTCTAGTAAAGAGAGTCGATACTAAAGTATATAAGGCTCTGATCATGGCTTTCTCTGCTCAAACGAATTGCAATCAAACTCAAGATATCATCATGGGAAAGTTGGATAAGAGGAGAAAAGGTAAAACGTTTTATTCTATAGACACCTCATTGCCTGATTTCGACAAATTAATGGTAATCGGGGTACGTAATAGAGTGATGCGAGACATAATCTAGTGTCTGGCAATAATATATTTGTAAAGAACAAAAAATAATATAGGAATATATATTAGGTGAATAAATTTAGTATGTCTACGATAGTTATCTACTATTCAAAAATGTATTTTCGATTGCAAAAGTAAAATGTAGGTATCTTTGCAAATGAAATGCTTCATTCAAATTATTCTTTTACGTAAACAAGTATCGGACAAAAAAAAAAAAATACGTCACACGACTCTCGAGAAAAAAATCATAGGACATTATATCTATATTAATATTTTGTCCATCTATGCTTTGCCATTTTTCTTATTAGGAAAAGTTTTTGCCACCTAGTCTCTATAGGGTAAGATGTCATTGGGTAGAATCTATTGTTAATAGGTATGACTCAATTCACTATTGCAATAAAATAACATTTCTCTCCAGGGGTATACGGTCCGCCTATCGGATGTTACTCAGTGGTCTTCGTAGATGACGTATCAATGCCACAGGCTGAGACGTATGGCGCTCAACCACCCATCGAAGTTCTAAGACAGGGCATTGACTTGGGACTCTGGTATGATCGGAAAACTAACCTTGCAATGCGCCTAATTGATGTTCAGGTGAATAGAGATATAATCGAGTTTGATATTTATAATATGTTTTTAGGTTGTATCATAATCTTATGTTTAATAATTTTCAGTTTATGTGCGCAATGGGCAAGCCGATGCCTGGAGCTAAAATAATAACTCCAAGATTTTCCCGTCACTTTTCTTTCTTTTGTATCGACGAGTTCGATGATGAAACACTTCAGACGATTTTCAGTAGGATAATGCTGTGGCATCTGGATACTAGGTTTGTATCATCAAATTGTTGTTCATTTTTTATATGATAGAACGGCAAACGAGCACACGGTTTACCTGATGGTAAGCAATCAACGTTACGAGTGCATTGCCGACTTTTTGGGGATGATGGATTTGGAGATTTTGGGATTGGGCATCCGGCACTCACACGGCGAAACACAACGCTGTGGTTGTTTCACGTGCGCATGGCTCTCCTACACTTAAGAGTTCGTGAAACTTAACCCCTGGTATTAACGAATTATTAAATAATTGAACGCAGATCTACGCGAGACACAATGTGTTTTCTATTGTTTGTCATATATCGGCACCCAAATGCAAAAATGCTTTGTTTCAGGGGATTTTCAAAGGAATTCGATCCTTGTATCGATGAACTGGTAAATGGAACGTTGGAAGTATACAAGGAATGTAAGATGAACCTTCTCCCCACGCCGTCCAAATCTCATTACACTTTCAACCTTCGAGATTTCTCCCGTGTAATATTGGTAAGGATTGAGAGAATGTACAATAATTTAAATTAATAAAGGTTAATTGTATTTTGAAGTAACTACTCACACGCGGTTCCACCCGCTGGTCGGTCCTTATCAGTTAGTGATGTTTTTTGGCCTATAGCCTTCCTCGATAATAGGACTAAAGGATATCTAACATAAAAATAATTGTTCAATCCGAACCAGCAGTTCCGGAGATTATCGCGTTTAAACAAACTCTACAGCTTTATAATATTATAAGTTTGGATTTTGTATTATTCTTTTCCTTACCAGGGCGTGTTGCTATCGGTGCCCGAGGTAACTCCAGACTTGCAGTCAATAAAGCGTCTGTGGGTGCACGAGTGTCTGCGCGTGTTCAGTGACCGATTGGTCGAGGATTCGGACCGTCAGTGGTTCGTCAGCTGTCTCCGTGCTGCTACTACTGCTCATTTAAACGATGATTTCGATGCAATGCTAAGCAGACTAACCGACACACCGGGTGAAGTAAGTGGTTTTTGTTTTTATAAAATTCTCTAATAGCTCTTACCCGCGTTTCGCTCCCGTCATTCGACTACCTCCACTTCCCAACCTGGTCACCTACCTTAGTTATTATGTTTTCGGCTTACTCACGTAATGATTTGACGAGATACTCGACTAGTTTCAAGCCATGCTCTGCACGGGACTCTCATTGATGAGTAGCGTGCGCGACGTGGTGACGTCACGGAGTAAGAACAAAGAGGAGATGTTATAACTAGATTTCCCTAAGAAACACCGCGTGATATTTTGCGGGGTGAGGGGGTATTAGACTCCGCCCACTTTTTTATTTGCCATCTGCTGATCTATAGCAAAACTACTTGCTCGTTCAAATTAATTCGTTTTGTAGTTATGTAACTATTTCGCAATAGATGTCACTAAATGCATAATGCATCAGGGTCGTACTCAGAATTACCGGGGGGTTGTAGTTTTTAGTCCTATATAATATTATTGGTGAATGAGGATCATTATACATTCATCAAAGCCATTTTATTGTAACATCATTTTCTTTTATAAGGGGAGAAACTCGTATACTATGGCTACCAACAGGCTGATGCCTTACTGATAGCTGGCTATTTGCACGGATTTCGTACATTATATTATTATTTTTCATATTGTCTGGACTTGAAAAGAGACGGACTTCTGAGTTTGTTTCGGTATTTTCTTAGAGTAGTCAGATAGGAAATGCCGGCTTTATCTTGTTTTTTACATATAATACGGTAAATGGACTATTTTCAAAAAATAAATTCATTGTTCCATTGTGATGACGAGTGTGTCGACTATATTCATGTGTAATTTGGAAATATGCGTTTAGACTGGTGCCATCTTCAAACATACCGATTCAGGGATGCGTCGACGAAATAAAATACTTCAAGTTTATCTTCTTAGGTCTTGAATGGACAAGGCCACTTACTACTTTATAACTATTAACGGTACGTGCTTCGCTACGTATTAAAATATTAAGTTCATTTATTAAAACAAAAAAAAAATAATTTTAAAATGAGCCAAATGGTAGTACATTGTTTATGTTAGTTGAATACGCGTAATTATTAATGTTCAGTGTCAATTTTCGTACATATCTCCAAAGAACTAATGACTTCAAACAGGTTTCCATCAGCAGGAGTTGATCGAGGAATGACAAGCAATGTTTGGGCACCACCAAAAAGCAGTCGAGTACCGCGTAAATTTTACATTATCTGATTAATTGCCTCTATTGATTTTTTTTTCAAATTCAAATTCAAATTACTTTATTTGTAATTTATTTATTTATATATATATTTGTCGCGATTGTGCACTCAAACCATAAAATAATTGACGTTAGCCGCAGAACTTTTGGAGTTTCAATGTGTTCCTGTACATTTAATTAATGGCAATGTTAATGCAGATTGTACGGTTCTACCACCTTCTAATAATGTAGCAGCAATTGTCTTAATATTGCCACTTGATTTGCATCATGCGTTCGCCGGCCTATGTTTGGTCCCCTTGCTCGGAATTAAACCTTCACTCAACAACACAACAATATTTTGGAAAATATAAAAACAAAACAATAACTCAACAATATTTTGGAACAATAATGTCTTTATGTTTGTTTTACTACTTGACAATAGATGGCTGGCTATTTGTAAAATGATATAAACGTTACAAAAATAATATTTTGGAGATTGAAGGATCTTTAGGAATGTATGTCGAGCAAATTACTCTACAAACAATCATTAAAATATATTAATACTGAACTATGCGTACCTATAAAAATTTAGTTCCTATGATACAAAGTGTCGCCATCTAGTGTCGCGTAGATTGATAATTGGAAACGCTGACAATAAGAGACTTTGTTAGAACTATTTTAATAAATTTCGAATAAAATAAGTTCCACATGAGAAGTGATGCCATCAATAGTACCGTAACGTTTATCATAGTAGTTTTTATAAGATAAAATACAATACTTCATTTTGTTTTCATCTGTCACGAGTAAAATGTATACTTTATCGGAGTTGTGCACAGTACGAACGACCACATTACACTGACGTAAGCCACGCCCACCTTGATGACGTGAGGGCCGACTTGTGTCACAGGGCCGAGTTGTTTAGGCCGTCTCCTCTTTGTTCTTACTCCGTGGGTGACGTCGCGCAGCCAACTGACCACTCGAGCTTGCGCGCTCAACGCCATAATGCTGAATAAGAGTCCCGATGTCACTTGAAACTACTCGAGCTTTTCTCAATTAATTCACATGAGTAAGTCGTTATTTTCAGTAAATTTAGCATACAAATCAAATAAATAATTGTCAACAGAAAATTACAGATTTACATCTACGAAAACTAATATTCTGCGATTTTGCGAATCCAAAAGTGGACACGCGCTTTTATATGGAGACTACAAACATGGAACATTTAAACTCAACGGTCGAAGCATTCCTTGTTGAGTTCAACAATATGACCAAGAAGCCAATGAACCTCGTGCTCTTCAGGTAAGGAACTGGTAGCTGCTTTAATGTGCACTATTTACTCTCACGTGGTTTCACCCGCTGCACGGCTCTTTTTGATCGTAGTGTGATGTTTTATAGCTATAGCACTCCAGAACATTGTAGCTATCTATCAGTGAAAGAATTTTGGCTATCCGACCAGCGGTTCCAAAGATTACCCCCTACATACAAACTTCTTCCTCTTTATAATATTAAGTATAGATTATGCCATGTTACATTTCAACGAGAGGGTATTTACTACTGGGGTTAAATAAACGTAAAATAAACGTAAAATGCTTTGATACCCTTATTTTTCGCACTTCAAATTGCATTCGAACACCAAAAGTAGTAAATGGTCACCAAATCTTAGCGAGGTAATTATTGCGTAAAATTTTATGTGAAATGTAACGCATAAACTTATTTATTTCTTGTAAATTGCATAAGTATGTGGGAAAAATACTTATAGGGCACCCTTGCTTGGATAAGTTAGGTTAGGTTAAGACTGTGATCTTTCTCATCAAACATGTCCTGATAATTTGTTTTTGGGTTAGCAATTAGTTTATTGGAGTCAGTTTCCTTAAAAAGGTAGCAAGATGTAAAAACTTTGATTATAATTTTACATTAAAATGCGGTCCTAATCTTGGTGGCCGTTTACTATTTTTGCCTGTTATATTTTACTATATCTGGTGGTAAGTTGCACATAAACCTTTAGTATTGTTTATATACAGATTTGCGATCGAGCACGTGTCCCGTATCTGCAGAGTGTTGACTCAGCCGCGTTCGCACGCCCTGCTGGTCGGGCTCGGCGGCTCTGGCCGACAGTCCCTTACACGACTCGCAGCACATATCAACGAATACGATCTCTTCCAGGTCTGTTACAACTGCTCTATTGGTCATTCAAACTTTTCTTATAATGTAATAATTAGCTTCACTAAGAAAACTGACCGACAGACTGACACTTTTTGTCTTTAAGCCTTGTTTGACGTTTAAAAGTGTCTGTAAGTGTCTAATTGAAATAAATGATGTTATTTTAGATTTTGACTTAACTTTTAATTATTTGAAAAAGCTTACTAAGAGGGTATTTATGTAGTAAGATGCTGAAAGAAGTATGCTGAGTAATTTATGATTTTGTAGGTGGAGATGAGTCGTACTTACGGTAAGAACGAGTGGCGAGAAGATTTGAAAACTCTACTACGTAAAACGAGTACTCCGGAATTGCTCATGGTTTTCTTATTTATTGAGTCGCAGGTGAATTATAAAATCTTTATTCGGAATAAACATTAAAAAGTAGCGTACATTATATTTTATAATTTTACAGACTAGCTATTCTCGCGCGGTTTCACCCGCTGCTTAGCTCCATTTGATCGTAGCGTGATTTTTTATAGCCTATAGCACTCAGGAACATTGGAGCTATCAATCAGTGAAAGAATTTTGGCAATCCGACCAGCGGTTCCAAAGATTACCCCCTACATACAAACTTACACATTGTACCTCTTTATAATATTAGTATACATAGATAGGTAGGTTACCTATCTTCCAAAAATCTACAATATACACATTTACTAATATTAATTATAGTTATACCTATTTATAAAAAAAAATGCGAAATATTTTCTCTAATATTTCATGTGGGGAATAAGACGGCATGACTTTTCAAATTTTAGATCAAAGAAGAGGGTTTTCTAGAAGATGTCAATAATATGCTTAACTCTGGAGAAGTACCAAATATCTTCAATGCTGATGAGAAAGCAGAACTGTGTGAGAAAATGAGAGTTGTAAGTACTATCAACAAACATTAGATTTTTTTTATGTCATCGGTCCGCAATTGAGCAGACGTATTACCTGAAGCAAAGCAATTGGCGCCACCCATGGACACTCGCAATACCAAAGAAGTTACTACGAGTGCGTTGCCGGCCTCTTCTTGGTTTTTGGGGATTTACCGATAGAGGATGGGGGAAGTGGAGTGGAGACCCAAATCCCCCCCCGGATTTGGGTCTCCACTAACCTCATTCACACGACCAAATAACAAAGTGGCATCGCTCCAGTAGAGCCGGCCCAAAGTATTGCTCTCCCATATAAAAAATATTAAAATTAATATTTTGTATGAGTTATGTCGGTTAAATTACACTTTATTTTTGAATAGATCGATAGACAGCGTGATAAGTCACTTCAGACGGACGGCAGTCCGACGGCTCTGTATGCTTTCTTCGTCTCCATAGTACGAGATCAATTACACATTGTGTTGGCTATGTCCCCTGCTGGTACTTCGCTGCGTACTCGAATTAGGAAGTTCCCATCACTCGTCAACTGCTGTACCATCGACTGGTTCCAAGTAAGTTTAATAATCAGTGCATTGTATAAAACATAGTCACTTTCCCTGTCTCTATATCCCTATGCATAAATCTTTGCTGCGTTAACAAACATACAATTTCACATACAATTTGTGGATCACACAAAGAGTTGTTCCGTACGGGAATCTAACCCGCATACATTGCGCATCCAGTGGCCCTGAAACCGCGCTAACCGTGCAGCCAAAAAAAACTACGCAGGGGATTTTAGTGCGGTTTTTTCAATGGATAGTGTAGTTGAAGGCTACGGTTTATATGTCCATTAAATAGTAAAATTAGTATCATCCTTACACCCGTGTGAAGCTTTGTGGGTCGGTGGCCTGCTTAACTTTCGCGAATACCATAGTGAAGACAACGGCGTTCATATTACATTGCCTCCTTACTAGGAATGGCCGCCAGATGCTTTGTTGGCAGTAGCAACAAGATTCTTGAAAGACGTGGAGCTGACCGACTTGGAACGAAACACAGCAATCAAGTTATGTCAAGTGTTCCACATGGACACCCAAGAGCTCACGAGGCAATTCCTGCGTCGGCTCAAGAGATATAACTATGTCACACCTACTGCCTACTTGGAGTTAATTAACATGTTTAAGACGTTGCTAACGAAAAAACGTTTGTAAGTACCTATATCATCAATTTTAACTCTTTTAAACTATTTCATCATCATCAACCTATAAGTGCCCACTGCTGAGCAAAGGCCCCTTCTCACACGGAGAAGGTTTCAGCATTTATCACCTCGCTTGCTCAGGGCCGATTGGAGATTTCAAACTTATGATTGGAAATTATAAGTCCAGTTTTCTTTAAGAAGTTTTCCTTCGCCGTTTATCAGTGGTGTCTAAATAATCTTAGAAAGTAAATATAACTCGGAAAAAGTGACATTGTACTTGGCCTTAATCTCCAGGCCAACACGATGACTTAAACTATTTAATATTGTTGTTTTTTATTGAAAGGTCGGCAGACGAGCATACGTTATACCTGATGGTAAGCAATTAGCGCTGCCCATGGACAAAAACAGAGCAGTTACGAGTGCGTTGCCAACCTTTTGGGGAGTTGGGATTCGGAGATTTAGGGACTGGGAGGAGGGACGGATTGTGCCTCAAGTAACCTCACTCACCGCGAAACACAAAGCTGGTTGTTTCACGCCAGTTCTCTGTGAAGCCGTGATATCACTGCGGTCGAGCAGGCCCATTCCTGCCGAAGCATGGCTCTCCCACACTTAATTATTGTATTGAAATAATGATTTAAATATAAATCTTATGAAACTAGGGAGCTGACAACAGCAGAGAAACGTTACCTAACAGGGCTGGACCAGCTCGCTATCGCAGCTAAGTCAGTGGAAGCTTTACAACAGGCATTGGAAGTATTACAGCCCAAACTAGCTACTGCCGCAAAAGCAGTGGCTGAGACCACTGCTGTGGTGGAAAAAGAAAAGGAAGGAGTAGCGTTGGTTGAGGCTGACGTCCTGGTTGACCAGAAAGCTGCAGAAGAACAGGTCAGTTTCTTATTCTTATTATATGTAATAGGAAGGTAAACGAATTGATGATTTTCCAGATGGTAAGCAATCGGCGCCGCCTTTGGACACCCACAACACCAGGGAAGTAACGAGTGCATTGTCGGCCTTTGGGGCAATTTAGGGATTGGAGTAGAAGTAGAGAAAGAAGGATTAGGCGGTTGTTTCACACCGATTTTCTTTAAGACCATGGTATCACTCCTGTCCAGCCTACCCGTTGGTGCCGAAGCATGTCTCTCCTACACTTTAATTTTAGGTCAATGAGTAGGTATTAAAGTAATAGGTATTTCGTGATTATAATATATGTTTGGTGTCAATAGGCACAAGAAGCCCAAGCTATAAAAGACGAGTGTGACGCTGATCTGGCAGAAGCAATGCCAATCCTGAATGCAGCTCTCGCGGCGCTCGACACCCTCACTCCTCAGGACATCACGTTCATCAAGACCATGAAAAGTCCCCCACGTGGTATCCGTATTGTTATGGAAGCTATCTGCATATTAAAGGTAAAGACGATTTTTTTTCAGAGAATTATCGTAACGAATAAATAAATTGCAAAGAACTAGAATAACATACAATTCTAGCCTGTCAAAAAAGTAGCAGGAAATTATCAACAATGCACAAAAGTAATGATTTATCACCTTCAAAGTATGCCCTTTCAGAAACGATATACTTAACGCATACGAATAGTCCAATCATAAAAACACTTTTTAAATGCTGTTTTCGAATCGAGTTCCAATCTCGAATCGAATTCTATCATATATCCGATACTTTTTTGACTGAATGTGTATATAACAGTGCATATTGCGTTTAAAATATAATATCTGCACATCATGCTGCATTATACCAAATGCGTAAATATTAACTTGGACATGATGCTTCCCATCCATTTCTCAATAAGACTGAGATGAAATATTTCTTCACAATAATTAAAATATGACTGAACATGTGATACCATTCTTTTATGTTTTAATGCTCTTCTGAAGGATGACCCGGTAAGCAGATTGCTTTCACACTCAGATTTGGTCGTTTTGATGTTGACTTGCAGTTCTTGCACCACTCAGATTTGGTCATTTTATTGTTGCCTTGCACATTTACACGATGCTTTTAACTTGTAGTAAAATTACATTTAACGATTTAAAATACTAACCAAGGCGTGTTTGAATTGTGAATTTTTCTCCTTCCTGACTGTCAGTATTAACTTTCACTTATCATTTAAAATAGGACGTTAAACCGGATAAGATTCCAAACCCGTCGGGCGTGGGGACTGTCGAAGACTACTGGGGTCCGTCGAAGAAGATTCTAAACGACATAAAGTTCTTAGAATCCCTACAGAACTATGACAAAGATAACATACCTCCAGCTGTGATGAAGAAGTTGATGACTACAGTCATGCAGGATGAGGGCTTCGTTCCTGAGAAGATTAAAACTGTGTCGGTAGCCGCAGAAGGTAAGCCACGTATTTCAGGAACGTTCGAAATGTAGCAAAGTGGCTCTGAGCGAATTCTATTAATTCTTAGCATCGATCCCAAAAATAAATAGGAATAGTCTAGGAAAAAGAAATACTGTGTAAACATTCTATTACATAAAATACCAGGTATGTGCAAGTGGGTAATTGCGATGACGAAGTACGACAAAGTTGCGAAGGTGGTAGCACCTAAAAAGCAGCGGTTGGCGGCTGCACAGGCTGTTTACGACAAGGCTATGGCCGCCCTAGCAGTCAAGCAGGCCCAGCTCAAGGAGGTAAGGGAAAGAAACAAAATATTTCATACACAAAATTAATTATTGGCAGAATTATTACATAATGGTATATTATTATTATTAGCAGTTTTAAGAAAATACTTTCATTTTAGGTACAAGCAAAATTAAAAGCTTTAGAAGACAATTTAGCTGAACAAAGTCGTCAGCAGAAAATATTAGACATGGAAGTAATGGATTGCAGTAATAAATTGAAACGAGCTGAAATGCTAATAGCTGGTCTGGGCGGAGAGAAGACACGATGGACGCAAATCGCTAAGGATCTCCGTGAAACATACAATACACTCACAGGCAAATAAATTTACTAGCAATCAATTGTGTTGTAAAGTTAAAGATATTGCAAGCCTTGTATTATTTGTAATTTCAGGAGATATTTTGATTGCTGCCGGCGTCATCGCGTATCTCGGGCCATTCACGGCACAGTTTCGAAATGAACAAGTAAGTTCTCCTCTGTTAAAGAAATCGTTTCGACATTGTTCGATGTTTTTGGTTATTATTTGTACTAAATAAATCTTTTTTTTATTGTTTAACTCGTATATGTTTTTTAGGTATAAATACCTCTCCATACTCATAGCCTTTTAACATATTATTCAATATTTTATTTGTTAGATAAAAAAATGGGCGCAAGAATGTTCCAACTGTGGGATAGTATGCAAGCTGGACTACAGTTTAATCAAGGTTCTGGGTGAACCCGTAACTATTCAACAGTGGAACATCGATGGACTGCCTGCAGACGACTTTAGTGTGGAGAGCGCCATCATTATTATGTATGTATGATATATCTTGACGGCTTCAGGCCAAGTCAGGCCGCACTAACTCTTGTATTCAAATAATTTTCATCATATTGATGAAAATCTTATCAAAGGTACAGATGTCCTCAGTGTCTAGGAGCTTAACAAATTGTTTCTATAACACAGGACCGCACGACGTTGGCCTTTGATGATTGATCCTCAAGGTCAAGCCAATCGCTGGATCAAAAATATGGAAAAACCAAACAATATCTGTGTAGCCCGTCTGACACAAGCTGACTTGGGACGCGTGTTGGAAAATGCAGTTCAGTTCGGACAACCGGTATAAAACATACAAACATGAGCTAAATGTAAAAAATAATATTAAAAATTTGTTTCACGTAAGCTTGTTTCGTACAGGTGTTGCTAGAAAATGTATTAGAAGACTTGGATCCTATGTTGGAACCTCTTCTACAGCAACAAACCTTCCGACAAGGCGGTGCGCTGTGCATAAAAATTGGTGATACTATTGTTGAGTACAGCAAGGACTTCAAGTAAGTACCAATATTAAAACACATTTAAATGTTGGATTAAGCAGTCAGGAAATAAAACTACAAACATACATTTTACAGATTATACATAAGTACAAAACTAGCGAATCCGCATTACCTGCCAGAGGTAGGAGTACGGGTAACTTTGGTCAACTTCATGTTGGCTATGGATGGCCTACAAGCACAACTGTTGTCACGAGTTGTGGCCAGAGAACGACCTGACCTGCAGCAAGCCAAAATAGACCTCACCACCCAGGGAGCGGAGCATAGAAGACTTCTACAGGAAATCGAGAAGAAAATATTGACAGTTCTTTCTACTTCCGAACATTTACTAGAGGATGAAGAGGCTGTCCAGGTAATTAAAATGCTTTGTATCGGTAATATGGGCTTTAACAAGGAAATTTGTGCTTTACCCCCTTACCAATAAAAAATTACACACATCTTATAACAGAGGTATAGCAGACTCATTACTAATAATCAATTTTTGACATTTCCCGCGTATACAGCTTTTATAACCATTGTCAAAATTGTATGAAATGTTAGACAAGACTTATTCAGCCCGTGGACCTAGTATAACGTGTGAATAAGCGATCATTTTCGTATTTTAACTGTCAGACTCATAAAATTGATTTTACATTATTTTGCTAAAATGTGTTTAGTGATTGTGAAATCCGAAAAATCAACAAAAAAGAAAGAAAATTAATTTCGCAATGATCCTAACGATGATATTTTCATTAGAAGGTGCAGAGTTTATAAAGAAAATATAAATTTTCAAAGAAACACAATATGGAATTTGTTGATCTGCTATCTCATGATATAGGTACAGCATAGGACTAAGGGTCACCCAGCAGAAATCCATGCCTGCATAGCTTTAGAGCCCTGCCTTTACACGACAAAAGATCAAGCCGATGCAGCTGATATTCATGGAATAAGTCAGTAATCTATTACAAATGTGTGTCGCAGAGTATCTATCGTATTGGCAAGTCGTGTCGCATATCGCAGAATTTGTTACTTTAGAAATGTGATTGCTTGAATAAGGCATATTTAATAAAATCAAACATCCAGTGTGTATTTTTATATTTGTCGGTACAACCAAGTTGTTATTCCTAAAAAGGCAAAACAACAATCGCATTACTATTTCCAAATAAACATAATCTTTTCTATTTTTACTAGAACATATTTATATGTGTCCGTTACCCAGGCCAGATGTTGTCGACAGTGGTCATTTGAATCTTATAGATAATTAGTTGTGCGGATTCTGTAATTGTTGCGCACATTTTTAAATTTGTTGCGCTTATAGTTTTTTAATTATTTCACAAAAACATTTCCTGCTGGCGTAACGTTACCACAGCCAGACCTTTTTCTTTCTAATGGGAATATTTAAATAAATATTAGCTATAAAATTAGTTGTCTAGATAAAGTAAATGTTGTGCCTTATTTTGTATTTGTTCTTTCTTCGGTTGCGAAGTTATTCGAGATTTTGCTGCGGTAACGTTTTTGGTTTTGCTAGATCTTTGAAATGGTTAAGCGGATTCTTATCATATTTTGTACACGACTTCCGAGGACTTAGTTTAAATTTGTTGTGCAATAATAAAACCAAAATAATGCATATTTTAAAGGTTATTTCATTAAATAGAAAAACACTTCAATTGGCCCCAGCACTCTTAATAAGAAGTCTAAAGACTTACTTTAAACGTAATTTTAAAGCTTGTATATGCCTTCAAATGTATGTGAAGTTTCATTAGTATCCCGTAAGTATTTAACAAGTTATGATGATATTCAGTTCTTCACGAGCACGGTTTTAATGCACGCGGTGTTATATGGCCACTGGATTGGATATATGAACTGAATGTTATGTCAATAATTAGTTGTTTAGATCAGTTGTATATTAGTAAAATTTCAGCTCAATACATTGGATAATTAATGAGATAATACTATTAAAGTCATTAGGAAGTGAATGACCGTGGTAAGCCGACCAAGTTAAGGTGGTTACGAAAAAGCGAAAACGCAGAACATTATGGTACCTTCTAAAATATGTAGGATATTGTTATAAATTTAGTACAGACATGTACAAAACTTTACGTTTTTAGTTTTAAGTAGAAGACGTACTAGGTTCTACTTTAGACTACCGTAAAAACAGACACAATTAAGTCAATAGATGTTTGAACGCCTGTGTTCGCTTCGGGGGGGGGGGGGGGGGGGATAGAATAGAATATTAGTTAACGATTGTTCCATTATAATATAATAATATTTAATTAAAAGTTAATTCTCTATATTCCGAAAAAAACAACTAAAGTTACCAGCTAGAGTTACCTATAAGTAACCGATGCAGTTCAAAAATCATCTAAAAGATTACAAAAGTAACCTTCTGGCAAGACTGAGTGCGTTATGCAAACAATATAGGTACCTATTACCCCTTCACCCCACTCCTCCCGCGTCCTACCGAACGGCATGCTCTAGCAGTGATTTTTGATAATTTTGTGGAACTGGAAGATAATGTTTTCTTTTATATTATTATTATATAGGTATTTAACAGTGTACGCGTCTGTACCAAAATTGTAAGGTGTATTATACTAAACATTTCAAAAGATAGTACAATGTTCTGCGTTTTCGCTTTTTCGTAACCACCTTAACTTGGTCGGCTTACCACGGTCATTCACTTCCTAATGACTTTAATAGTATTATCTCATTAATTATCCAATGTATTGAGCTGAAATTTTACTGATATACAACTGATCTAAACAACTAATTATTGACATAACATTCAGTTCATATATCCAATCCAGTGGCCATATAACACCGCGTGCATTAAGACCGTGCTCGTGAAGAACTGAATATCATCATAACTTGTTAAATACTTACGGGATACTAAATGAAACTTCACATACATTTGAAGGTAGTTACAAGCTTTAAAATTACGTTTAAAGTAAGTCTTTAGACTTCTTATTGAGAGTGCTGGGGCCAATTGAAGTGTTTTTCTATTTAATGAAATAACCTTTAAAATATGCATTATTTTGGTTTTATTATTGCACAACAAATTTAAACTAAGTCCTCGGAAGTCGTGTACAAAATATGATAAGAATCCGCTTAACCATTTCAAAGATCTAGCAAAACCAAAAACGTTACCGCAGCAAAATCTCGAATAACTTCGCAACCGAAGAAAGAACAAATACAAAATAAGGCACAACATTTACTTTATCTAGACAACTAATTTTATAGCTAATATTTATTTAAATATTCCCATTAGAAAGAAAAAGGTCTGGCTGTGGTAGCGTTACGCCAGCAGGAAATGTTTTTGTGAAATAATTAAAAAACTATAAGCGCAACAAATTTAAAAATGTGCGCAACAATTACAGAAGCCTCACAACTAATTATCTATAAGATTCAAATGACCATTGTCGACAACATCTGGCCTGGGTAACGGACACTATTTATATTCATTCAATTGTAAGTTTGTAATCGCCAACCCGCATTGAGCAAGCGTAGTGATTAATGCTCAAACCTTCTCAGTATTAAAAGAGGCCTTTTCTCAGCAGTGAGCACTTATAGGCTGATGATGATGATGATATTTATATTCACAACATCAAGCATCAAGCATAGGATAAAAATTAATACGTGGCATAGAAGTGTGACGAAATATCTGTAATAGATACAGATACGTATTACGAATACAATATTTGTAATACTTATTTATTTGTTCGTTCATTGATATATTAGGATAAACTAATTTAATTTCACATGTCTACTGGTGAGAACCAGCTGATTGGCAGTTGACTAACCAGAAAATGGGGTATGATGGCGATATAAACCGAAATTTTGAAGGAGATTGTGAAGTTTTAAAATTGTTTGACGTGGAGATAATGTATCTTAATACTTATAACATTATTTCACATCAATTATAGGTAAAGGAATATAAGATCAGCTGCCCTAATATTAGCTTGATATTCAGTAATAGGTATAACACCTATTATTAAAAGCTGTTACGAATATTTTCAGTACCTAATTGGGTTATCGAAGTATAATTCTAATGCCACGACTCTAATTTGTGTCAAATATGTATTTGACATTGATTAGGTACATTCGAAATATCAACATTTTTATCAAAAATGTTTCGCAAAGAATTGATAAATTAATATTTTAAAACTAAATTAAAAACCTAAAACCTTCTTTTTGTTTTACAAAATCAAGTATTTTATTGATTATTATAATTAAATAATTATAATAATACAAGAATATTGTCAAGAAGTGTTTCTGTTTGGAAGTTTCGGAACGCTTTCATCAATGTTGCTAGCAATCAGCAGTATAAGGAATAAATAGTTATTCAAGGTATACGCATTGTTTATTGGTAATGACTTGTATAAAGTATTACTAACTCCCTATTCAATGAATAGCTATCAAAGTGTTAAACAAGTGCGTAACCGAACTTTATTAGTAAGACCGTTAGTAATTTTACAGTATATTTTTATAACCAACAAAGCGACGACACCTAAGCTTTCTCCTGCTGAATCCTGAATGCCTGTAGAAAATTCCGTGTCCAGTTAAAACGCCTGGGTCAGGTGAAATCTGAGGACGCCGTAGTGTCTCTCAAGTTTCTCAAAAAGGGGTCTTAACGCAGCAATAATAGAGCATTTTATCAAATAAAAGAGTACTTAAGATGTCGGACATACAGACAAGCTGCTGTACATCTGCATAGATACTGATATGTTTTGTTATATTTTACATTCAATGTGTCTTGATTTTATTATCACCCTATAAGTGTCCATTGCTGAGCCAAGGGTATTTTCACACAGAGAAGGTTAGAGCGTTAATCACGCTTGTATAATTAGACATTATAAGTCTTGGTTTAATTATTATGTTTTCGGCTTACTTACGTAATTATTTGACGAGGAAGTCGACTAGTTTCAAGCCATGCTAGAGGTTTATAATCATGAGACACATTTCGCGACAAGCGACGCGGCGACTGTCGCGGATGCTCAATTAAACCTTTTCCGTGTGAGAAGAGGCTTTGCTCAGCAGTGGGCACTTATAGGTTGATGATGATTATGATGATTGTAGCTATCCAAAACTAAGGGTAACTTACACATGGCTCGGTGTAATTCGTTATCAGTTCAACAAAGCTCGTAAGTTGAGCTGTATTATTGTAAATATACACATGCCTCCTTGCCATCAGAACAGGCCCACTTAAAACCGCTAATTCTAAAAGACCACTACAGAATAAAAAAAAACATTTACACAACTCTTATGTATTTTTAAATAATTGATTTTGGTACATGTTTAGATTTTAAATTCCGCCAAAGAAACATCAAATGAGATCAAAGAGAAACAAGAAGTGGCCATGATCACAGAGGCAGCCATTGATGTAGCTCGGAATGACTACGTGCCCATTGCTGTGCACTCCACCGATCTGTTTTTCCTTATTGGTAAGTTCAATATTGTTCTTAATTGCTATTGAAATACGTAAAACTATGTGAAACCACATTGTATTAAATTAAGCGATAAATGCTTGCACGAGTCTTCTCGTTGGTAGTGGTCGAGTGTCATAACTCATTGTGTGTTCCACAAATTCTTACTACGTAACTTTTATATTTGTTAACGCACCCACGACACAAGAGAAAATCGTCGCATGGGGACGCTATTTAAGAAAAAGTCTGATAATATCCTTGTAACATTAAGTTTTTTGTCTGGACTTCAAAAAAGATTGTGAACTTAAAGTTAGGTTTTGCCGAAAACCCAGATCCCCAAAAAGAAAACAACACACGTAACGCACAAAGTCGAATTGCAAATAAAAATTTGTATTTGAATTTGGAGTTTAGAGATAATGAAGAATAGAGTACATAGAGTATTTAAGTGTGGGAGAGCCATGCTTCAGCACGAATGGGTCGGCTCGACCGGAGTGATAACACGGCCTCACAGAAAACCGGCGTGAAACAACCACAGCGTTGTGTTTCGCCGTGTGAGTGAGGTTACCGGAGGCCCAATCCTTCCCCTTCCCGGACCCTTCCCCAATCCCTAATTCTCCAAATCCCTAATCCCTAAAAGGTCGGCAACGCACTCGTAACTCCTCCATTGCGGGTGTCCATGGGCGGCGTTGATTGCTTACCATCAGGTAATCCGTCTGCTCGTTTGCCGACTTATAGTATTACATAAAAAAAAGAGTACAGTACCTACAAAAACAAAATATACATATTATTCTTTTTAATTTTGCATAACTCTATATTTCGTTTAAAAGCGTATTCATATTTGTTACAGCCTCGTTAGCGCACATTGATCCAATGTACCAGTACTCGCTCGGCTGGTTCGAAGGCTTGTTCGTAGCAGCTATAGATAATACTGAGAAAGTAGATGATATTACCGAACGCTTGACGATACTGAGGAGATACTTCACCTACTCTCTTTATGCAAATATTTGCAGGAGCTTGTTTGAAAAGGTTAATTTGTTTACGACAACTACCACTTTATTTCAGACGCACAGTGTTCATTTTATTACGACTTTCTTATTTCTATTATTGCAGGATAAAATTGTATTTTCTTTATTATTGGCTGTCACAATTATGATAGCAGAGAAAGATCTGAAGAGGAGTGACGTTATGTTCCTATTGGCGGGCGCAAATCCTAAAACAATAAAACCGAATCCAGTAAATTTCCTCAGTCCACAAGCTTGGGCTGAATTTAACGCGTAAGCTAAACTTGTTCCCCCTTATTACAAAACAGAATTTATCTTTAGTCTAGGTTTAAACCATTGAGTCGGGTAAACTTTGTTTTGTAATAAGGCCGGTTGTGCTTGATATTTCAATATAGTTTATTATAACTAGGTATTCATAATAAACTGTAAATCTTATAATCTTAGTTTGGTTTCTACTTTTACTAGTTGCAATTGGGATAAAGACCAACGGATTAGATTCATTCATTCATTCGTTCATTCGTTCATTCATTTAAATACCAACGGATTTGAATGTGAAAAAATAAAAGACACATGTTTTTTTCTTCGTCGTACTAAAAAATCTAAAAATCAGTGCTTTGATAAAACGAATGCAAGTTAAGGAGTCACTATATCACCGCTCAGCATAAAATGTATCTACTCAGGCGTAACGTCACACGATATTTCAAATTATAATAAAGTTCATAGTTCTTATTTTATTTCTTAACACGTTAACCGCCACGTAGGTCACCGGTGACCTACGGTAGCGGAGAACTTGCCTTAATAGTTTTCGGTCGGCAGTCAAAGGCTTAAATAAAGAAAAATACGTGTCTGATGTTCTGAATAAATATAACAGACGGTCACTAAGCCTTTGACTGCCGACCAAGAGCTATGGAAGGCATATCCTCCACTACCGTAGGTCATCGCTGACAAACGTGGCGGCTAATGCGTTGAAATTAAAAATTAGTGATCATCCGTTTTCCTAGTCTCATTGTTACTATTAATTGAAAACTTTTTTAACGCCGAAGACTAAATGAAGTGCCGAAGTTCCAAGGTATCCTTGAGCACTTTCTGGAGAACGTCAGCATATGGGAGGATTATTGTGATACGCCTAACCCACACGAACAACCGTTACCATCACCCTGGAACGAGAAGCTTGATATTTTTGAGGTACGACGTTATAGATCAGTAAAGGAAGGTAGTGATTTTGCCACAGTCAGTATCAAACGTCAATGAACATTTAAATTTTCAAAACCACTGTACACTAAATCACTTAATAAGATAGGACAAGTATTGATTGAACATCATTAAAGTTTAAAATTAACTGATACTGAATCCATTCTATATAAGTTTGAAAATCTAAATGTGGTCATCAACATCTTATGCTGATCGTACAGTCTTTTTGAAATTATGAAACTGTTTTTGAATGTTTACAGAAAATGTGCGTTTTGCGATGCATGCGTCTGGATATGATGGTACCAGCTGTACAAAACTACGTCGCAGGTAACATCATTATACATTTAACGGCTGATTTTTCAATGGTTAGATAAAAGTAACCCGGGAAATAATTATAACGCTGTCGCGTCAGAATGTTTGTATAAGACAACGACAGCAACAATTTTATTCCTCAGATAACATTTATCTGACAGTTGAAAAATCAGCCCTAAATGTAATACCTTGCTTATTAACTATTGGTATAACTCTGGTTTTAATGATTTTTAGTTAAAATGGGTCGCAAATTCGTGGAGCCCCCACTTTTTGACTTGGCGTCGTCATACGCGGACTCTCACTGCTGCATACCTTTGTTGTTTGTTCTAACACCTGGTTCTGATCCTATGGAGACTCTGCTCAAATTTGCTGATGATCAGGTGATTATCTCCTACTTTTTAATGAAATAGCTCTTACCCGCGGCTTCTTCCGTCGTTCGATTACCTGCACCAGCCAACCTAGTAACCTACTTAGACTTCTCATCCTATACTACCTACCTTACCTAGCCAACTCTACCTACCCTACACTAGCTACTCTACCTTACCTACCTTATCCTACCCTACCGTTCTTACACTGTCCCATGTGATTCCCCCAGTTCTTAGCTACCTCCCTACTAATTTTGAGCCAAATCGGTTCAGCCGTTCTTGTGTTGTAAATGGTATAACTAACTATAAATAGTGTAACTAACATGACTTTTTTGTATAGGTATAATTATATAATACAAATGTAATATGTAAGACACAAGTTAATGTAATAAATCTTGTCAGGGCTTTGGATCTTCGCGATTGTTCTCGCTATCTTTGGGCCAAGGGCAGGGACCTATCGCAGTAAAGCTTATTGATGAAGGCGTCCGCAGTGGCACATGGGTGGTACTGCAAAACTGTCACCTGGCTAAGAGTTGGATGCCAACGTTAGAAAAGGTAAAAATATAAATTCTACAAATAATTCTGCGTTTAAGTTTCAATTGTTCATTTCTATAAAAATGTAAGTAGAATAAATTAAACATTTATCAATAAAATTTGTTCAGATCTGTGAAGGGTTAACACCTGATGCTACACATCCAGACTTTAGGCTTTGGTTGACGTCATACCCTGCCGCACACTTTCCCGTCTATGTATTACAAAATGGTGTCAAAATGACCAATGAGCCGCCGAAAGGTAATTATTTTTCCTCGATTAAAGTATAACAAATTCTTTTTATTACAATAATTCGACCATGGCGTTCTTTTTTGTTAATTAATCCAGGTTTGAGAGCAAATATAGCACGTTCGTACAGTAGCGACCCCATAAATGACATTGAATGGTTTGAGGGTAACAAACAGTCAGAGATATTCAAAAAGCTGTTGTTTGCTCTGTGCTTCTTCCACGCGGTGGTGCAAGAGCGTCGACAGTTTGGTCCACTAGGTTGGAACATTAGCTATGAGTTCAACGAAACTGACCTTAGAATCAGCGTCACACAACTTTATATGTTCCTCAACGAGTATGATGTAAGTAACATTATTATTTGATAGACCACTAGCTTAGGAGCGCTTCGCAAGCGTATAAAAGTAATGTATTGCGACTTTAAAGCGATAGCTCGACTTAAAAAGTGCAAATCCAGTATAATTTATAGCCCATAGGACTCGGAAACATCACTATCTATCAGTGAAAGAATTTTGGAAATCTGACCAGCGGTTCCAAATATTGCACCTACATACAAACTTGCGAATTTTACCTCTTTTAATATAAGTATAGATTGTCTATAACTATGATTTAATTTTTGACATGTCCTGTCCATCCTATAGCAGTGTATCTCCTAAATAAATGAATGAAATTTGAGTTTGTAAACCAAACTCAAATTTCATTCATTCACAAGTCGAAAGTCGTTATTTTTAGTTTTATTTAACGAAAATTGGATCAGTAGTGCGAAAATAAGGTTCAATTTAGTTTGACACAATTATTTGCTTTGGCAATTTACTTTGAGAATTTTAAGCCTATATATTTTCACAATTGTTTGTCTATAGTTATTATGGTCAGATGTAAATGGCGTTAACTAGACCATTTTTTTATCAGGACGTGCAATTCATAGCGCTACGTTACCTAACGGGCGAGTGCAACTATGGCGGACGTGTGACAGATGATTGGGACCGGCGTACACTTAACACGATACTATATAAGTTTTATAATCCTAAAGCTATCGAAGAACATAACTATCCATTGGATCCTTCAGGTGATCTTTTGTGTTATTAACCAACTTCCAAAAGGCAAAAGCAGGTTTTTCAATTCGACCATATTTGTGCTTTTTATGTGTGTGTGTGTAAATAACTATAATATGACCTGACTAAAATATCAAATTACTAAGTACACACAATAATAAATTAATATTATTATTCAAAGAAAAAATAGATATCTAATATCTCACAATCAAACAGTTATGGTTTTACTTGGAACCGGCTTAAAAATTATGAAATAATTATTGATATTATTTTCTCTTTAACTAAATGTAAACACGTACCTATTACTTTGTGCAAAGTAAATTTATTTTTTGCTATCTAGTTCACTATGTGAATTTCTTTTTGTTTAACATTATTTATGATGTGATTATTTATCGTGTATGGGATGATATTAAGAATTGTCTAAATAGATGTTTAGCATGCTTGCTTTATATATGTATTAACGTTGCACATTTGTGTTAAATAACGAGCTATGTATGCAATATTAACTGACCAATATAGTACTTAACTAGGTATTCTAATCGAACTAATTAGACAAAGCATGCTTCAAAGACGTCTGATTAGGTTTAAGTAATTGTCATAGTTAATTTTCGTAGAAATGCCAATTTCAGAGACATAATAATGATAACTTTATGTTGTACATATGTCAAAATACTCTCATCTAAATTATAAATTAGTAATATTAATAAATTACAAATAATATTAGCACTATAATTAAAATTTCCAAAATTGGAACATTTGCGGTAAGTACCTATTAAATTTAATGAAAATAACGATGTATTCTGTGGGGAACAATTGACAGGTGTGTATCACATCCCAACTCTAAAGGAGCACAATGAGTTTGTGAACTTCGCTCGTTCATTGCCGGCTGCCACTCCACCTGCTGTTTTCGGCTTCCATTCAAATGCAGACATCACCAAGCACTTCAGAGAAGCTGAGGAACTTCTTGATACCGCTATACTCACACAGGTATTGTAACATTACATATTTTGATGATAAAATAAAGTTACAAGTTCTTACAGTTGTTTAGTTGAGAAATTGTTACAGAGTATGTATTATATTCATTCAGGTCTCAGCTACTTTTGGTTAGTATTTACATTTTGTAGCTAGATTAAAGAAAATCTTAAAAAATATTTTGTTATTTTCTGCTGCTTTTAACTAGTTAAAAGAAGATATAATAATAATTGTAGTTATAAACTTGTTCATACATTATGAATATCATTTTGTATTTTTTATGTTTCATTACTCACTGGCGCATCTTGACAGGACCGTACGGTAAGCCATTTGTAACTAATAGTTTCATTTATTTATTTAGTTTTGGTTTATTTTCATGTAGTAATACAATTTCGATTTTCATGCTACAAAGGATTTGGAGAAAAAGTATCAGGTAAGTTACTTTTCTTTATTCATAACCATAAAGTGGAAATGACTGTTATAAAATAAAATATCAATATTTTTCTTTTGATTCTTCATTTAAAAATTATAACCCAATATTGATCATTAAGGTAGACTGAAAGAGAATGCTCAATCCGCCTTATGCAAAATGTTTGATTGTGCATGAAGCTTTTAAATAAATAAAAGATAATTACTAATACTATTAAATAATGCAACAGGATACTGCAGCAGCCGGAGATGCAGCAACAACACCTGAAATGCAAGCGATGGCCATCGCTGAAGATGTCTTAGCTCGCTTGCCCGACAAGATCCTGACAGGGCCTTCCCATGAGGGGGACATAAAGCCGTCTGAAATGACGCCCATGTCCATCGTGGTCATCCAAGAGGCGGCCCGATACGATCGACTCGTCAAGGTCGTAAGGTCCAGTTCCAAGGCAGTGATCGGTGCTGTGCAGGGTAAGTTGACTCTCGATTTTTTATTGAGGGTTACTTTCATAGATAAGAAGGAAGGAAGTTATACTTTCATATATAAGAAATTAAGATAAGGTAACCTGGTTTAGGCTTCCATATCAAGAAAAGGCTTTGAAACCTAGCAAGTACCAACGCGACACCCGAGTTAAATATACTTTCTAAGTATATTTAGAACCGCTAACAAATAATAAGGGAAAACATCCCAAGCACGACAGCTTGGACTATTATTTCTATGTATATAAGTTTGAAATCCCTAATCTGGCTTGAAGCCAGATTAATGCTCAAACCTTCACCGTGTGGTAAGTTGCCCAGCAGTAGGTGATGCTCATAGGATAGCGATTCTAAAATTTCAGAGTAAGTGAAGTGATAATTTATTAATAAGAGACTTATTTCATATCAGGTCTTGATTATATTTGGCACGTTATTCTTATACAGGTGTAAGTGTACTAAATGACATAACGGAAGAAGTGTTGACCAGCATGGTGCGTGGCCGGATTCCCGCGCTATGGGCAGGCAAGAGCTATCCCTCGCTTAAGCCTTTCGCCTCGTACTTTAACGACTTGCTGGAGAGGCTCAAGTTCTTACAGGTAAGACAAATAAAGTAGACAACGGCATTTTTATAAGGGTTTAGCAATATAACTGAATGAACACAATATTTTTAACTGCACAGTTGACGCAGTGGCAAGGCTACTGGCTGCCGCGCAACGTGTCGTGGGCTCGATTCCCGCACGGAACAATTCTGTGTGATCCATAATTGTTATTCTTAGTCTGAGTGTGATGTGTATGTAAAATCGTATGTCCGTAAAAGCACCCACGACCACGACACAGTAGAAAATGGTGGTATGGAGCAACGTTTTTTCTTTAAAACACATTTTTTAGTTCACTTTAAAATGTTTGTCAGGCATAACATGAAAATTTGTGGTCAGTCAGCGAGCCCCACGAAACACTCAAGTAGCTACGAACTGGCTTTCCTTTTCAAAAACATTCCGATTCAGAATATTCTTGGAAGCGTGCCCGCTTAATACTCATGCACGCGTGCACATACACATCTGAGTCTGAAGTCACTCGTGTGATACATCCACATGAGTGACCCACGCAAATGTTGGCTGGTTTTATTTCGGTACCACGTTATGAATATGAAAATATTCCAAGAAAATGTATTTAGTATTCGGATTTTGGGTACTTAAGTGGGTATTACATTTACGTAACTAGTCTCACTCCTTGTATGTGATAGGTCGGCAAACGAGCAGACAGTACCTGGTGGTAAGCAATGTACGCCGCCCATGGACACTCGCAATAGCAAGTGTGTTGCCTACCTCTTGTGGGTTATAAGGGATTTGAGGATTGAGGATGGGGGTAGAAGGATTGGGTCCCGGGAACCTCAACCACACGGCGAAACAACAACAAAATGTTGCTTCACGCCAGTTTTCTGTGATGTCGTTGTCTCACTCCGGTCGAGCCAGCCCTTTCGTGCCGAAGCATGGCTCTCCTACAATTATACTCTACTGCAATACTGTGCTCTGTAAAGTACTACTTAACAGGATATCTTCTCTTTTATAATGTTTAGTACCAATGCTAAAATGTTGTCATATGACAATATGTATAATAATGTTGTCAGCACTGGCACGAGCACGGCCCTCCGACGGTGTTCTGGCTGTCTGGATTCTATTTCCCTCAAGCCTTCCTCACAGCCGCCCAGCAGAGCTTCGCGCGCAAGTACAAAATACCCATCGATCAACTCGCCTTCCACTATCAAGTAATTACAATCCTATAACAACATATATAACATGGTTCCTAACCAATTTCAACGAATTATTAGTCTTGAATTTATTTCGCTTAATTAATTTAATCGTCTTGGTGGTCCGGAGGTTAAGGCGCACAATTCTCATGCATGAGGGTTCGAAACCTGGCAAGTACCAATGACTTATATGTAATTTCTATGATTGTTAGACACCACTGACATACTGTGAAAGAAAACATCGTGCGATACCTGGACTTACAATTCCTAATTACAAGTTTGGAAACGTCAATCCGCCTTGAGCAAGCGTGATGAAATTTGCACAGTAGTAGACACTTATAGGCTGATGATGGATTCATTTAATATTTAGTGATTGAAGAGGATTAATACAAGTATTTACAATGGATGCGTGTCTTTTCTTACGCGCTTGTTTGAATTCATTGCGGAATTAACTTTAACAATCACTTTGTTTCCATTTTCGTTATTTTTACGTTTGCTCTACAATACAGGTGCAAAAAACATTTGTGCTTGATGAGCCGCCACCAGAAGGCGTATACATTCGCGGTCTGTTCATGGAAGGTGCAAGATGGAACATGGAAACGATGGCCATCGACGAGTCCATACCTAAGATACTCTACGACGAGTTCCCACCGGTCAGTATAGCATACATTACAACACTTTATTAGATTGACCTTTCTAATCCTACTCATATTTATAAGTTTGTGAGAATGTATGTTCGTTATTCTTTCACACAAAAATGGTTAGACGGACTTGGTGTGTAGATAGGTAGTAGCTTTGCTTATCACATACGCTTTTTATCAACATACCATGCGGGTGAAGCCGCGAGTCGAAGCTAGTCAGTAATAATCTTAAGTTAATGTCGCAATAGGCGTATTTAATGTTATACTTCTATCTATTATTTTGATATCAACAAGATTTGTACCATATTCTAGTCCAATAATGTGTATGTAGATTAGCTCAAGAAATCGCTCTTATACAGGTATGGCTAATTCCTCTTAAACGCGAAGAAGTACCGACAGACGTGTTCTACAATTGTCCTCTGTACAAGACTGGGGACAGGCGTGGGGTGTTGTCTACCACGGGACATTCCACCAACTACATCCTCTTCATGCTACTGCCTACACAAAAGGAACCCGACCACTGGATCATGAGAGGCGTGGCTCTTCTTACGCAACTACCATTCTAGAACATTCATCGAGGTATATGTAGGTAGGATCAAAAATTCATGTAGGTACAGTGAGGGTCAAAAGTTCAATTGTACTTTACCAATTAAAAAAACTAAAATTTTTTATAGTTGAAGTCTGAGGTTACTTGGTTAATTTAATTAGTAATTACACGAAAGGGATGAATAGATGTTGGCGAATTTTCCTAGTTTCTATCCACCCCTCTTCTGTCTCCATTTACCCCTCGAATTCTATTCACGTTGTACCGTAGCATAGATTGTAAAGTAATTGCAATGATAGGTTTTTAGATTCTTGAGAACTCTTCTTTTAGAACATGTGATAAGATTTTCACATTTTCGCATTTGTATCTAGAGTGCAATTACACTTTTGACCCTATACATTGAGACAATGAATTTGTAAATTCGGGATTTTTGACTTTAATCATTTTAATTCAACGATAAGCCTTGTTTTTCGATTGGTCTCTCGAATATATTCTACCGTCTGTTATGTTTTATTTTTGACCGAACATTTTTCGAAACGTCTTGACATAACTCATTTATGCGGCTTGGTTGCCAAAGAATTAAGTACACTTTTCACTATTTTTTATTAATAATCCTTCTTTATCAAAAATACCACGAGATCTTTATGTACTTATGAAAATTAGTATTAACGTATTTTGTACCTATCTTAGTTTATTTTATTCGTTATATTTGTTTTCGTTGTGGTTAAAGATGTTGAAATATTGAAGTGACTTTTACAAAGTCCTTTTTTTCGTCGTAATACTTTAATACACAGGTATGTTCAAAATGAAGTGTTACTGTTAAGAACGGTACTTCATTATTCGCTCTAGTCACCTAAAAATAATGATTGTTTTAGCTATTATTTGTAATGAATTTTCCATACGTGTACGTAGTTGGATTCTATTTTTATCCTATTTTAGTTTTAATACAAAGCTATCGTGTTGTCTATGGTATGTTTTTGAGAATTCTTTTTTTAAATAATTATGTGCTTATCTTATTTATTTTAAAAGGTCATGGAAATTATTTTTATGACACTTTTTAAACTTTCAATTAGGTTCTTGTTTTAATGTAATGTAATGTGTTATAAGATTATTAAGAAATAATATTATGTTTAATTGTTCATTAGTTTATTCTGCATTTATATTTTATTCTAAATAAAATACCATAATTTTAAATTATTGTTTTAAATGTTCATCACATTTAGCTTGTATTTTGGAAACAACATTTCGATAGTCCTAGTAAAGATAGTTTGAGGTTTGAGCACGTCTCAATCCACAAATAATATGGCTTGTTTAACTAGCAGTATTGGTGTAAAAGATATGTTTTTTTGAGATGGGGCGCTAAACGAGCCGTCGGATTTCCTAATGGTAAATCAGTAATCGGTGCCGCCCAAGGACGCACAACACTAAAGGAGTTGTGAGTGCGTTGCCGGCCTTTTAGGGATAAGGGTTTCAGATATTTAAGGATTGGAATATGATGGGGGAGGGAGAGGGATTGGGAATCCGGTAACCTCACTCATACGGCAAAACAACGTGTGGTTGTTACGAACCGGTATTTTGTGAGGCCGTGGTATCACTCCGGTCGAGCCGAAGCTTGGCTCTCCCACATTTAAAACTTTAAAATAAAAAGAACTATTGTCTTAGTGGCATGGTTCAATAACACTTCCCGTATAAACGCATTCGAGAAAATATTTATATGCTTTTTACGACCGTCTGTCTGACTCTTTTATCATCGACAGTGTCATACGTCTCTTTCAAACTTCTAGTCGAGTATTTTAGCTGGGTGTATGTATGTATGGATGTTCATATATTACATTAGTTACTCTCGCGCGGTTTCACCCGCTGCTCAGCTCCATTTGATCTTAGCGTTATGTTTTATAGCCTATAGCACTCAGGAACATTGTAGCTATCTATCAGTGAAATAATTTTGCCAATCCGACCAGCGGTTTCAAAGATTACCCCTACATACAAACTTACAAATTTTATCTCTTTATAATATTAGTATAGATAAGGATTTCGTACCAACGGGTAAAAAGGAAACTTAAGTCCGTCCCTTTTGGGTGTCTGTCACCAGGATGAACCTCGTAAACGCTGAACGGTTGAAACTTGGGTAAAAGATTGGGTTGAAGATATTGCTGTTGCAATAAATACTCAAAAAAGTTTCGTTAGGAAGGTCTCATATAGATACAACAAACATGGTTTCAGTACGGAATAGTTTGTGGTCGAATCCGATTCACACTTTTTTTAATGTGATCGAAATCCAAACGAGACGAGAGCGATTTTATGAACGCCGATTTCGCTTCCAGTATCCTCTCACAAGGTGAAACTTAACGAAAGACTTGACCGGTTTAAGTAATTATTATTAAATGATTTCTCATTACATTTTGCTTCATTATAAAAGCCAAATTTGTTCCCTTTTTCCGTCCTGATTATTATACTCCTCCGTTAGTACACCGCGGTTAATATTGGGTTACCTTTTTTATAGATTTTACATCGTTTTCACATTATATTTATTCACATACATAGCTATCTGATGGCAGGCCTTTCATGAAATAGGTAATTTTACCTTTGTTAAACGACTTCAAACAATAATTGAAAATTGAACAACATCAGTATGCTGCTTAGAATAAATAATAAATGATATCACGAATGAAAGGCAAAATAATCTTAATTGATAAGCGAATTTCAATTACTTTAGGTATATGGTTTCTACCTGCCTAGCTACGTGGCAGATACGAGATTATTAATAACGTGTCACTAACGTCATTATCATCAGCCGGGAGATGTCCACTGCTGAACAAAGGCCGGCCTCCCTATAGGGGGAGGGCTTGTATCTAATGCCTCAAGTGTACCCATATAATGATTGATTGATTGATCATCTAAAGTTTCACAAATAATTGTTATAAATTGTTATATGAAAAAGTTGAGGTTGAAGCTATTTTACCTAATATTTTTTGTGTATAGTAACTTATATCTGTCATAGTATGTTAAGCAGGGCTCAAATACCAAGCATTGTCTCCGTACATGAACAGTGATGCTATAAATTGGGCCCGGACGAAAATGGAAGTTTTCTTCGGGGAACGAGGTCAATGTCATCGTTATCGTTCCGCGGTTTTATGTTCGGCCAGGGGAACCACAACTCTATAGTTATGGCGCGAGCATTACGAGAGCGGTGACTTTGCGAATCGGCGTATTACGTTGCCCTGTCATTTAGCACGAAAAAGCTCGCATCCCAGATACGGCATGTATTAAATAAGCGAGTAGTGGGCAGGGCGGGTCGAGGGGGATGTAGTACGGGAGGCACTCGGTCTAGCGCGGCGTTGCCGGGCGACGCGAGATATCGATCTGCGCGTCCCGGGCGCGCAGCATCCCTCCCGGCCGCTCGTCCCCGCCCCGCGCCGCGCGCCCTTGATTCTGCCGCTCGACCACCGCCACCACGACCCACACCGCACCCCCCCTACAAATACTTATTACATTTCGCACTACATACTCCACGTAATCCGATGAAGAAATTTTGCTTATGCTTTACAATCATGCTCAAGCTCCTAACCTACATGTTCTCAAACTCGTCAACGTAACGGTATACTAAAGCCATTAAGTATTACTCGTACAACAAACTTGTGCAAATAAGAACAAAGGCGTAATAAAGTTGCTGGAGACTTAATTTAGTTTCTGGAATAAAATTGTGATGGAGAATGCTGAGACTTAGTTTCAGGACAAAGAATGTAACATTTAGAAGATTGACACGCATACTTATTTTATTTTAATATTAAAAAAGAGCCATTTTCGTATTTCGTGTAAGGCGTTTTACGAGGAATGGTATGAAGGAACCTATTGACGAATTAAACAGAACCAAGAACACATTTTGTGACGCAGAACAATACTGAGATCAATCCAGATCACAAGAGCTATGCGGCTCATTTAATGTGTCAGTGAGCGCGTAATCCGTGACAACTGGGTGAAGCAGCTATGTGCGAACGCTGAGCTACATCATGTGTGACATATATTAACGCATGCCTAAACCTAGAATACGGTAAGCGCATAGCCAACATAGCTCACTGTTACTGGTAAGCGTGACTTTACTACGTTTATATATTTTATTAACAATTTGTACTCCATGTCAAACATTTCGAAAACTCTTAGGCGAATTTTACTCATTTATGACGTAAATTGTTTGACACATTTTCATAAAATTGCCCTAACATATCTGTAGAGAGTCATCACCTTATTACCAAAAACCATTCGCATTTCAGTAACAGGATAAATAAAACGTATCGTACCTCTTATCATTTTACATTTATTCCCTCCTGGGACTGTCTGGACGTATTATTTGTACATAAACGTGTACATATATATTTTTTTGTAATCGCCTTATCATTTGTTTCCCGGGACACGCCACCCCCGGCCGCCCTCTGCCACCCTACAGACAGGTACCGACTGTTAACGCTCTCACAGTTCATTGTCTAATTTCCACGTTGCTATGACGAGAGACGCGGTGTAGGCTGGTAGGCACGAGTACCTCCGACCCGGCGGGAGCTCTATCGAGTTGTTGCTTGTTGCTACTAGTTCCAAACAAGTACCTAACGAGACCAATATGGAAATGTTTTGAAGCTTTGTTTTGTGCCGAACCCTGCTCATGTTTCATTTACGTTTTTGTAACTTTTAAATCAGATTGTGGAGTGCGACTGTTTCGAGTGGCGTATTCCAGCACTTGGATCAGTCGAGAGCAAATGAAAATGGCATGTCGTCTGTCCATGCCATTTTCATCTAGATACGATTGGAAAAGTACTTATGGTACCTATCTTTCAATGTATACAGACTAGGGGTATTGTTTGCGTATATCGAAGAGGAATTGGTTTTTCTTTTAACCAACTGGTTTTATATAAAAATACACTGAATTAAAATGTCAAAACTATATTTTTCTGAGATGGTGATTTTGTGAGAAATATTAAGGCAATGACTTGTAGCGTGAAATGGCATACTTATTTGTAAATAATTGGCAAGAAAATGCGAACATTAAGTAAGTGTATCGCAATAACCATCAATGAAAGTTGTTATTGTATTAATAAGTCGAAATATTTTGAATTGAGATACTTAGATTGATTCGAGATATTTTTATTGTACTTACATACATTGTTGTATTGTGTGATCTTTATATGTGATGTGGGGTATATTTGTTATATTTTTTATCTACTTATCGTAGTATACTGGTTTACGAATAACAATTGTGGCAGTTGTACAAAATTTTGTACAAGTAGGACATATTGTCATAGACAATTTTTGCCAGTCGCACCTTTGGGTGATACAGAAAGCAAATCCAAGTGATTACCAAGTTTACATACTATATAGACTTACATAGATGTAATTTAAAACTAAATAAAATTTAAATAAACATATCGACACTAAGTTATACCTTTACTGTTTACATTACTTACTACTTATGTGACAAATACTTAATATTACTCAGAATCATGACTCTACTAACCTCTTGATTAGAAGCTTACGAACTTTATCCTTGAACGTCATACGAATGGTACTCAAACAGTTCTCAACAACGAAGACACAAAAAGCTTAGGTGCATATAATACATTCACATCACAAATATAGTGAGATATCAAAAATTTATACCAAGTTACAATGCACGACGGAAACTAAGTAAAAATGAAAGAATCTCCCACAGCGTGCAACACTCAGCGGTGAAGATTTAATTAAAATGCAACACTTGCCCTAGAGGGTCGACTAACCTATTGCATATATTTTCCAACTCAAACCCTATTGTTTTATTCGTCAACTTCACTGCACTCTCATTTACATTTACAATTTTACTTTCCACGTGACATCATTTGAGCTACCACTATTGAGCCTGATAGCATGGAATATCGAACTAGCCTCATAATTCGAAAACACCAGAATTAATTAGTATGGAGGGGGAGATGCTGCCGAAGTTAGACCGTCTGATCCGATAAAAGCCGGCGGCTCCGGCTCCGTATTTAAACGAGCTATTTTAGGTGGCTTGTAACTGTAACGTTGGTCGCCAGCAAAGAGCTCACAGCCAATCGTTTATTGGGATTGGAAGCAAAGCCTTTCGGGTGGTTGCGGCGGCTCCGGCGGACTTCCAATTTTAATGTTATATAACTGAACCGAATTAATTCGCAGTGCGCTCTGCCGCCGCCGCTAGTTCAAACACCCGCTCTACGGACCAATTTCGATTAAATATTGCTTTTTAACAGTAAAACAAGAGTTGTGGTTTGAACGATGTAATTAAAAAGCTCGTTCAGTCAGAAAATCGGATTTAAATGTGGTTTCGGTCATATTATTAATTATTAATATATTGTAATTGCAATGCATTCACATTTTGCATTATCGAATATGGATTTAATTTAAATGGAATTCAACTTAATGAATATTTGTTTTGATCAATGATACGGTTTCTGCGTTTCTGTTGAAGATTCTAATTAATTTATTACGCTTCAGCGAACCACAAAAAAGATATCTAATTAAAGCAGTTTTATGCTGGAACAACATTTCACTATGTAATTAGAGTATCAGGAAAGCAAACCTTACTCTGTGAAATTTCCCAGCGGAAATAATTCATATGACGCTGTAGTTTGCTCGTAGTTCGCTTTGTACGTCAATAGTTAGTTGAGGGTGGATCTGCCGGCAACTGCGAACTCATTACATCGCCAACTTCTCTAGAAATTATACAGACTCCCGCGTCCGACACGGTTCCTAATTAGTGCGGCTCGATGAAAAACATCTACCTACTGGGACAAGTAGCAATCTATAGCACTGCTGCACTCGCAACATGTGGAGTGGGACTTCTTCATTCTGAGGATTTGTTGGACTAAAACGCATACATTTGTGCCAACAGATTGATTTATATTGGAGTTATAGTTAAGATTTATTGATATTATAATTAGTAGAGTGGGAAGCAATTGCAGCCGATCGTGATATCAAATCTCTTAAGAAATAGAATAATGACAAAGGGAAAGAGCGCGGACTACGCATTTCAAAATTAATATTCTCTTCAAGCAATTAAATCAATCAGATTGTTATCATCAAACACACCAGAAAATGTTTTTTTTTTGTACTTTTCCTCTAAAACTACTTTAACAGATTATGGATACATTACCAACAACTACAGCGCTTTAATGGGGTTTCAACTTGTTATTCGAAGGGACTTGCAAAATAAACAACACGCTGTGTGTAGACAGAGCAAATAGTCGTACTCATTGGCATCATTCCATTAGGTCGTAAGTTTACCCCAACGTGAATGTAAATAGCTTCTTTCGGTGTTCCACCCTCGATTGACGGGAGCAGTAGCTGGAAGCTTGTATCTTTTAAGAGCAGACTATAAGTATTTGACTCAAAGACTATGTGGCTACATATACATAAATAGTGACAAATAACAATTGATTATATGTATTAATGCAGATTTGCTTTATTGATCTTAGTTTTTTGACTTGTTCTAATTGCACGAGCCATCTCTCTTCACTGTACACTGCAATTATACTCAGTTTCAGCAACACTCATTAACATAATGATTGCAATAATTTTAGATCCATCTATGCTACGTATGTTCATCATCTCATCGCTTAACGTGTGAATCATTGTTTAATTGAGGGGAGTGGGCGGTGCGCGGAGGGCGGGCGCGCATCGATCGTCTCCCGTCGCCATGGCAACGGTCCCTCTCCCGCGCTCCGCAGCCCGATTCATTTGTAATCATTTGTTTCGCGGCCGTCGAATAATGGTGGTCATGAAACGGTGCGAAATTGATGGATTACCGTAAGGTACTTCCACACTTAGATACAATATTGTCATTTATCATATTATAAAATATGAAACATACGCGAATAATCCTGTTCTATACTGCATCGGAAAAAATCTTATTAATTCCAAAGAACTCTCATGTATACATGCATACATATGCGTTATGACGTAAAGTACCTACCCAACAATTTTCAGGCCATATTCACGCAGAAATTCAGAGAATTTGTTTTTGTCAGGAATCAAAATAATCCAAAATGGCATTTTCAACTCTTCTAAACTGCATTAATGTTTTTTTTAATGTAAAAAAACTTAAAAATCAATCTGAAATAGAAAAGGAAAACAACTATTCTTATGATAGATATCCTTTACATTTAAAAATTGTATAACGTGACATACTCATCATCATCATCATCAGCCTATAAGTGCCCACTGCTGAGCAAAGGCCTTTTCTCATACAGAGAAGGTTAGAGCATTGATCACCACGCTTGCTCAATGCGGGTTGGCGATTTCAAACTTATAATTAGAAATTATAAGTCCAGGTTTCCTCACGATGTTTACCTTTACCGTATGTCAGTGGTGTCTAAATAATCATAGAAAGTACATATTACTCGGAAAAAGTCACATTGGTACTTGCCAGGTTTCGAACCCGCACCCTCATGCATGAGAAGCGGGTTCGGTAACCTCCGAGCCACCACGACATACTCACCCCCTGGTTAATGTCTAATATAACCAAAATTAATATTAATTCAATATTATCAACTGACGTCGAAGTTGCTTAAATGCAAATGACTAAACGTCGAGGTTATTACAGCTGTTAACCAGCCTCCAAGCATACTCATTTGCTATAATCAACTTGCATATCATTATTACAAAATAATCAACATCAAAGAACCTTTTGAACGTTTCAACATAATAGAACAAACGGCTTCTACAATTTCCTTCAGTATCTACAATCATAAACACAATAACAGTATATTAAATACCAATATTACGTCGTGGAAATTAATTTCAGTAGAACTAATTGAATGTTAAGTCAAGCGTGGATCTACAAGTGCTACGAGACTACGCCGTAGCGAACTCGTAGCACATATTGTGAAAGTTGCTACATTTTTCTAAACCGTAGTCCATGTAATGTTACTTATTTTTTATAAACAAATATAAAAGTTTTGTAATAACAAAAGCTTATTAAATAATAATTACGTTAGGAACAGCAGCGCGGGCGGTTCAAAACAGATTACTTAGAAATGATTACTTTACTTTTCATAATTGTGTTAACAGAGTTAGGTGATTGATGGCATCAAATTAAATAATATCTACTTACACAACGTTGAGTATTAAAAACACCATCTTTTTTTATTATCTTTAATTGTTTATCTAAAATGTGTCAGTATTGTATATTACATCTCACCTGATGTCACTGAACTGAATCTGTTCATGCTTTTATTATATGCTATGAGTAAAATAGTCACAAAGCTTAGAGAAAAAACTGTGTTTAGGGCATGGTGCTAAATGAAAATTATGATAATCCGTATACTTAATTCAATATTTAGCCGTCACGTTTACCTCCATAAACATTTGACAGCAGCTTCGAATATAATTTCCTTTTTCAAGAATCTCGATAATATAATGCCAATCAAGTTAAATAATTTTACATGGCAAATGAGTATAATTAATCTCATTTTAACATCAAACGATAGTACGGCGACTATGAAAAAATATATGAATGGAAAATATATAATTACATAAAAAGCAAGCCACTTCAAAGGCCTTTTCCAATTATACCGTCGATATCGAACAACAAAAGAGCTATGAAGTATAAAACATGGTATAAATTGGAGCGAGCGGACGAGAGCGGATGTTCCCGGCCAAGTGTTGGGTTTTCTCAAATAATTTTAATAGATGTCCGGAGGGTGGCGCGCTGGGTGGGCGCGAGGGGGGGCCACGCGAAATGAGATTTCCTTTGAGCCAAAGAGCCGCTGACCGCGACACCCAGCTCCGCTTGAATCATGTCCCTCATATATCATGCAACTACGTATTCTGCTTATACATGCGTCTACGTGCCCTTTTTACGTTTATTTATATATCACAATATTTTGTGTCACTATATTTATGTCATATATGACAGTTATTATTAAAACGAAATCAGTAGGGTAAGGAGTTAATAAAATATATGCGTTAGTAAAAACAGGATTTCTTAGAGAGATATTATAGCTGATTTATTTATTATTTATTTATTAAATCCACACCACGCCACATAAAATTACATAGGCGGACTTAATGCCATAGGCATTCCTACCAGTCAACTTTAGGGCGATGCTATCATGGTTTATTCTATAATATGGTTTATTCTAAAATACCGTGGCTGTTGTTCTTTTGAAATTTAATTTTAATTATTTCTCAAATCTGATTACCATTATATTAATTAAAAGAACCCTAACTTGCACAAATATCCCTTCACCATCATGCTTAGAAAATATAATCAGACGCGAACAAAATAAAAAGGTAAGCTGAAGTCTTTCATAGAAGCCAATGTACTGCTAAAAATTGGGGGAGAGAGCTCTCGGCTGGCGTCCTCTTGATTTTAATTTCATCGTGGAACAAAACGAGCAAGCTTTATTGTGGATGCGCTCAAAGAGCTCGCCTCGCTTCGCAGAGCATGGGATCGCTTACACGTTGCAGCGAAATATTACTCCTTTAGCTTGCATTGTACGCCATCATGAATATTGGTTCTGACTTGAGATTTTACAAAGCCTGCATAAATTCACAACGCGAGTCTGAGAGTAAAGCTTTATTTAATAAAGGCGAGCAATTTCTCTCTTGAAAAGCGAGTATATTGACGGGAAACAGGGAAGATGACATTTTTCTCCTTGTTACTATAATGAGGCTTCTTTTTGAAGACTATTTCTATTCATATAACAATGTGTTAAAATTTAAAAAGCGAAATGTTTGAGCTAGTCTGAACAAGGTTCGCGTGACGACTCTAAATTGGAAGTATCGAAGAATCCAGAGTAACTTTCTTTTGACTTGTTACAAATGTTACATAGCGAAACTTAATCACAAAAATTTTAGATTGTTACATCCTAAACAAAGTCCCACGTTTTATGTATCGCGACGGGTGTGTTTAAGGACATAAACCTCGGATGTTTGAATACCGAAACCCGAAATATACGCACATAGGTCGTAAAAGTACTTGGTCCGTATAGAAATGTCACATTGGGTGGTGAAAAAGGTATTTACACAACATTACCAGTTTACAAACGCGTTACCAGGTTGTAGCGAAGTGTGACGCCGGGAGGGCTGAGGGTACTCTGTCTCTCTGCCTCCGAGCACACGTTTATAAACTCCATCGCCTCGCAGCTCATTATCCCGGCCCGTATCGTATCCAATTTTACTCAACATGTGCACTCACACAAACCATTATACATATCTGCCCTAGATATGACCTTACTTTCGTAGAACCAATGCAGTCAGAATTACCATTATAATTTAATTACACTTACTATTTTGTAGATATCTATAAGTTGTCAAAAATAAAACCCGTAATCAGTTTTTAGGACCCTATTTTTATTAATATTTATTAAAAGTTATTATTGCATTATTAGTCATATTATATATTGTAGCTTATAGTATAGGACATTCAAAGATTGAAATCAGCTTGTATCGATAATATGATAATATATGTATATGATATATTAAATGTTCGCGTAATATTAAAAATCACGTTCCATGCTATTTTTCAAACTACAGCTAATATCACAAGTAGTCCCCGGGCGCTATTTACAGGCAGCCTCCCGCTTTTGCCCCATCCCACCGCGAGCCACCGAGAGACCCATTAGAGCCTGTATCGAGGAGGGCTCCACTCAATCACGCCGGACGTCCGTCAACTTTTGTATACCGCCGGACGCCGCTGGCCCTCTGATATTACTGGTCTAGCCCTTCGGCATACCGGCTTTGACTAATTGGCGATATTAAATTACGTTGAAATTACTTACATTACAGTTACTATACACCAACATTCAAACGAGTCTTATTTATAATTTGAGATATTATATAAATTCCAAACAAATTCTCTATGAAATATAATACCCACAACTTTGAGATATACTTCAATGACACGATCGTAATTATTCTCAAAGCGATCCCGTCATAAAACAATGTAATGCGGTAACGTACAAACAATACTAAAACTTTATCTGTTTTCAAACGGCTGGTCACGTTTCACGTTAATGGCTTTGTTTACAAAGTTACGAATAAAAACCAAGTGTACATGTTCAACTGTAAGTTTTCGAGTGCGTATATTACACAGGAGTGGAGGAAAGTTGTCCGGATCCCGCCGCGCCCGGCCGAGGCTTAGCCAGCTGAGTTCGGAGTTAGAGCCACGTAAAGCCTCGTTGCGACAACTTTACTGCACGTTTTATATTATGTAGCATGTTCCGCGGCACCTGACACCGCTCCGATCTTTACACAAAGAACTTCCGTCTAGCTGTGAACTCGCTCCGGATGCTTCTCATCTTAAAGTAACTAGCTACATTGAGCGACTACTCGAATGCGACTATTGTGACTACAACATTGAAATTTGTCTTCCCTTGCACATTATTATAAAGTTTGTAACATACATACTTTTACACTTTTAGGCTGTCTGTGTTAGAGGAAGTGTTAGAGCAGTATTGTTAAATTAGCAAAAAGATTAGACAGAATTCGTGTGGTAGTGTTTTTTGTGGAAACATGAATATTTAGTTTTACATTATTTGCACCATTACTGTTTCGAATAGAACTACTTAATAAGTAATGTTTACCTTTAACTTTTTGCTCATTACACCAAACTAGGCAGATATCCCCGAAGCCACAATAATCGAGTAAAATATTTTTAAGTGTTTTTTTTTCTCGAGCTGCTTTATTACTATCCAAATCAATAAAATGCATATAAAATAAATCAATGACTACATATTCCGTATATATGAAATTTGATATTTTTAGCATTTGAATTTTTTCCTATACAGAGAATTTGATAATCTTTGTTTAAAATGACCTTATACTAAACTACAAGAAGCAGAAAGACCTAGAAGTTCATTTAAAATAGGGATGATTTTTCCTTCATGATGATGGTGAGTATTAAAATACAAAATCAAAAAGAAAATAACTCTTGTTTTAAATAAAACAATACATTTGGATAATATGAATATAAAAATAATTCATAACAATTCACCAAAAAAAGTGTGGGGTGGAAGTTTTCACACGAAGCTTTTCGCTTGAGCAATTTCAGCATTTCAGTGATTTTCAAACGTGTCAGCGGCAGCAACAGAGTGACGGCTGCGGTGCCAGCTGTATTGTTAAGTAAACCGTCTCTATTAGTACGCAGCCACGAAACTAACGTTTTTGTTTAAACCACAGGTCATTGAAAAATACGCTTAGTATGTTTTTATGCTATTAATAAATAATGTAGGAGCGGGTATAGAACAAACTCAATAAGTGATATTGAAGAAAATAACAAACATATGTATGTACATATGTTACATGAATGCATGAAGTTTCATTAATATTGTAATTGTTATCATTAAATTTGACGATTTAGTGAACTCGAACTCGAATTATTTTTATTCCCGTATTTAAATGTAATTAACTAGAAGTAAATTCACACTACAATTGTTGCTAATGTCATAAAGACATAATTATGCATATGGCATTAAGTCTAATGTATACAGTAATGTTTGTGCAACAGCGTAAATAAATAAATAAAGGGAGCCAGTGCTAGAATAAGTGTGTGGGGGAATTTATTTTAAACAGAAAAGCATCGAGACAGTTTCGGCTTGCGACCTCGTTCCAGTGGTAGTCGGGCTCATGAATTAAATTAGGTTTTCATCGGATCCAAAACTATTTCCGAACTTTAACACAGATCTAACTAAGTCTGCAGTTCAGACTATCTGACAATGATGTCTACACTATTTTGAGTACTTTATAATCAAAGTTTAGTTTACTATATTATCTCTTTTGGTGCAATCTTTTTTGTAACGAGAATTAGATTATTTTCTCTCTATCTTATAGCTACTAATTGTTTACCTATTATTTGTTATCTGGTGTTATCGTGAACCTTCATGAACTTTGCATAGCTGTTAGTTTTCCTGTACTATATTCGATTTTCCGATTTGAAAAAGATCAATTCTTATTTATAGGTATATTCATTTTATGTCAGTTTCTGTTTAAGTACTGCCTATTGATTTTTCACGAACTTACGTTACATAATACATTGTGTTCGAGATACAATAGCATCGGCAAACAACAAACCAGCAACGCAAATAATATGCGTATATTTGGAGAACAGTTTTTGTCCACTTCGCCGGCAGTGTAACCACGCCATCAGCGCAAAGTACCAGGAACGACACGATCAATGTAACCAGAACGAAGCCCCCTCAAACGCCGCGAAACACAAAATAACTTTGAACATTTTCCACAGCAATTCCCGTAATACACAAACTGTTTATTGCTTTGCTTGCCTCGAACAGGATTCCGTACAGTAACGAAAGACTGCTTTTAACTGAAACTCTTTGTGGGTAAACACAGCTTGCTATATGTGAGCCGCAGTAATCGAAAACTCGTTCGCTTGTAGCTTGCTTAATTTAAATTCCGCTTTTAATGTAGACTAGTTATGTTCTGAAAATCTTCCTAGTACAGTTTGCAGAAGCATTTGCATGAATTCTCGTACATATCAGTAATATAGAAGAAAAGAGTTTCATTTTAAATTTCATGGAAAATATTGTTTTGACTGTTTTAATTATTTACTATGTCCAAACTAATGAACGAGATTGGGTTTAGGTACCTGTTTCTCAATAAAGTGTTCACCATGCTACGCTTCGGTACGAATGGGTCGGCTCAACTGGTGTGATATCATTGCCTCACAAAAACTCCTTCTTTCCCCACCACCAATTCTTAAACCTTGGAAACTCTAATCCCTAATAGATCAAGACATGAACAGTCATGGCGACTGTAACAACGTCATTCTGATAACAACATTTAGATACAGAATCACACTTTAATTATTTGATTTGAACATGTTTAGTAAATAATTCTGTGTCAAATAAAGCTATCACAACCAACACGAGAAAAATATGAATTATACGTTCTGTATGTGCTTATGTTATACCTACACTGATACCAAAGCGCATGTGTGCGAACAGTACTAATGCATTTCCATTAATTTAAGCAGATTACTGTTACGGGGCGCAATATGCGCTTATAGAAATGTATGCATATTGCATGCACATATACGCTTATGGTTCGTATTCAATGCGCTAACAACATAGATGTCTTTATCTCCGCAATATTGAATACAAGCTTATGTACATAATGCGTCATGTAACTTTGATGAGGATTGAACTACATATGTTTAATACAATGTACATTAGTGTGGCACTTACGTTCATTATATTAACATATATTATCGAAGTACTTACGTACGTGTCGTGATGGCCCGGAGGTTAAAGCGCCCGCTTCTCATGCATGAGGGTGTGGGTTCGAAACCTGGCAAGTACCAATGTGACTTTTTCCGAATTATATGTACTTTCTATGATTATTTAGACACCACTGACATACGGTGAAGGTAAACATCGTGAGGAAACCTGGACTTATAATTTATAATTATAAGTCTGAAATCGCCAACCCGCATTGAGCAAGCGTGGTGATTAATGCTCTAGCCTTCTCCGTGTGAGAAGAGGCCTTTGCTCAGCAGTGGGCACTTATAGGCTGACGATGATATAGTAGGTATAAGTTAATTCGTTATCTCATGAATCTTATATGTGATGTGCACATATAGTTAAGTATCTTATAATGTGCAAACCAGTATCAATCTACACATCAGACGACAGCTTCTAAGTAAATTAAGTTCCTTTTCAATATTTACACAAACTTCAAAAGCCTTTGGGATGCAAGATTAAACACACTTCAACCGAGACGAATCCAATTGCGTTTGATTTGTAGCACAGACAGAATTTATTATAAGCCAAGCGGCGCGAGGCCGCAGCAGCGGACGGAGTCACGCTGATAACCTACCTTGTTAATTGCTCAAATCGGATTAGGAAGCGGTGAATGGTTCACGATATTGCAAGTGTTGGTGCTTCACCAGTTATACCATGATACTATTTTTATCACGACAGACATGATTGTCGACCAAATGCTGTCTAAATGGCAAATTCGGCTATGTACCTAAACGATAATGGGGACTCGATAAAAAGTACGCGTAGCACGATCATCCCAAATTCTCAATTCTCAAAATGACACAAAAAACGTCGAGTGTAAACGCTTATTTTCGCCAACAACAGCACTTTAGATAATCCAGAATCGAGATTCTCTTTCCATTTAAAAACAGGCACAATTCTGGAGACTGCGTTACGTCGGTCCCTAATTACGGAGCAGACGGTCGGGCTGGCGGCCTAAATTCTTTGTTCTCTACACTGCCTGTGGTTTTTGACGTACCTAATTATTATTTTTAACGCGTAGGTTCAAGGCGAGATGGGATGGTATCAGGGTGCGGGGGGCAGCTGTGGGGGCGGGTTAGCTGTTGGTGACGCTGCGACACCGCTGCGGCGGATAGCTTTTGGCGTTTATCGGATGAACACACGCATTTTACGGTTCAACACTCCAAAGCTGACCAAACAACATTTATGAGATAACGTGTTATGCCTTTATTTTCTGTCCTTTATTAAAAAACAATTAAAAAGTACAAGGCAACAACCGGTTCCATTCCAATATGCAAATCTCATTGTAATCCGGAAATGAAAGGAAAAACGAGTCAGTTTGTCACCCAGGCAGCTTGCAAAGATAATACGGAAATTAAATTTGGCGAAGCTGAGCTTTTACCTCACCCTTTGTCGTCGCCGCCTGTATTGTGCAGTCTCTAATGATGTTTCAACAACTTTTAATTATATTCAATCAAAATGTCACCCAATGAAAATGTATATTCCTTATGTGTACATAGATTAGGGTCAGTTTTGCGAATAAATCGATTCAGCTAAATATCATCCCAAAGATCACCGTGTGAAGCATATTCTAGGCATATTGCGATAGAATATAATATCAATATTTTTGAATGAAGGGTCTATATCACATGTCAAGAAGGAGAACGTTCGGTGGTAATGAAATTTGTGCTCAAAGGTCAAGTCACCTTACCTTCAAAAGAGAACTATGCATAACGAAGTATATTTACCTGTCTAGCCTCCCGAGCCCTTAGGCCTACATTATACTGAATGAATATATTCTGGTACGCCCGTTCGTGCTTTTAAAATTCTTAGTATCATTTTAATTTATACATTTAGTCATCATCATTTAAATCTTTCAGTTTGGTTGTAGTTAATTATGAGTTTATATTTTGAACTTGATATTAACGCAAAATCTCTTAAATTACCTTGCTACTGACATTATCGTCACTAATTTAATACCCCTTAAAAATACCGAATGTTGTTTGTTGATAATAATTTGATAATTGATAATAGTTTGTTTTTCTTCATAATAATGTATCGAAGAAGTAGTTTCATAAAACAATGATTTTTTTCAGTAAATATGCCATAAAGTAGCACTTTTACTTTTTAGATGAAGCCGAAAAAACTACATCGTACGACATTGTGCACTAATCTTTAGATGTCCCGGTCTAAGAGGATTACTTTTGAGGAGCAGACATAGACAAATCATAAGATAAACCTTCAAAACAGGGACATTCTTAATCTTCGTGTCCCTTACTGCAGGGCTAATTTATAAACCGCTTTAATCTTGTCAACTTGCTGACCCTTCTTATCGTAGTTATACATCTGACTAAACTTATGCAGAACCTTGTCAAATTACGCACATGTAATATATATTTTGTTAGTTTATGACGCCTGTTCCCTAGTTTATGTTAAAAGAAAAATAAAACTTTTCGAAGATAACAAAAATATACTTACATGGAACTATGATATCTTTATTTGTATAGAATATAAAGTTAGTTATGAGTATTTAAGAATAACTAAAAATAATAAGTTGCCGTGAAAGCTAATACAAAATGGAAGTTTTGCCGTAACAAGGAGCCACTCGATATCTCGTTCCCATGCACAAAGTTTTGTACACTTACTTTGACTCCATAACGAGTTCGCAATAAAAACTCCGCGGAATAATTTCCATTTTCCTCTAACCATTAAGTATGAACACAAATGGATCGAGGCTCTTCACATTTTTCCGGGTACTTACAATGAATAAATAACGGAAATATAAATGGAATTACGATCCGCTATTGAAATGGTGCTCTTCATTTATAAAATCTCATTTATTTAATAAGGACACGACCGCCGTCTGTTAATAATCGGCTTATATCGCTCCCCGCGGGTGTCGATGCAATGGGCCCCCCTGGCCATGGGGATGCTACTACCCCCAAACATTAAGCATACTTCACACAGAACTCAAGAGACTCGAGTGAAGATAATCTGACACTGGACTGTCTGCGATGTTTTGAAACAATGTTTGCGCGCTTATATGCGATTCCGGAAGGCTTTACAATGATTCAAACTTTCATGGATAACTGTTCTCACAGCTAATGTGTTGATTTATTACTAAATTTTTATCTCTATTTTCCTATATTCGGTGTCATTATTAACATATGACAACATTTTAACGCGTCCCAAGTCTTATTAAAATTACGTAGAGGGTCTACGAATTCTGCTACGATTGCTACGCGCGCTACGATTCGTAGCCATATTGAAAAATATTGCATAAATATAAACTTGAGTTTCTGATTCACATTACAACATTGAAGGAGCGTTTTTAATTTAGTTGTGCAAATAAAATGTAATTACATTGGGTACACAGGAGCACTTTGCACTGAGTCCGTACGTTCAGAAAGGCGGGCGGACGCGACGTGCGGCGGGAGACGCGGCTACTCGCAAGATACAGCACGTTGCTTATTACATTTAATTTATTGCTTTTTGCTTCCTACAGGTCATGGTCCAGAAAAGATGCAGATTTCTGTGATTTACATTCTAAATTGAAAAACACGCGATGATCATGATATCTTGATTTAATATTAAAGCATTACTAATTACGTAAATATTTATGTACGTACATTCTTATTAAATTACTGTTTTGGAATAGCGTTTTTAGGTATAAAAACTGTCCTGTCCTTTCTTGAGTTCCAAACTATGTCTGTACCAAATTTCACGGAAATCGGTTCAGTAGTTTAGGCGTGAAGAAAAGACAGACAGGCAGACAGAGTTACTTTCGAATTTATAATATGAGTTTAGAAGTTTAGATATTGACAGTGGCTATACACTATCATGAGGCCGATGTAAGCTTGTTTACAATATATATGTCATATACTTATAAACCTGGAACATTTAAGCAACGTTATTTTCGTTATTGTAATTGTATTCTGTAATTTGAAAATCAAAAATATATATGCAATTATGTGTTATGTATGACTCAGTACACCTTCGATGCCAAAGAATACAAGCACGTCGCCATGTAGGAATTAGTTTCACTGCTCCATTATTTCCAAGGAGCCCTCGTGCCTCCTGATGGTGTAATCAAATGTTAGATGTAGTCATGTTTTGAAGTTTAAATCAGTATGTACGATATTTATTCTATCTTCTATTTTTGGTAGTTTAAATTCAACGAGAGCGAAATAAATAAAATCCCGTATCTCATGCACTTCGTCTACAAATAGTGTTTCAGTGGAGAACGTAATAAAACATATCCAACAGGAGTCTGTAAAACATTATAATTAAAAGTTGTGTGTGTGTCGTCGGTAGCGAGCATCCTATATTTTGCTTTTATTTGCACACATCTATCTGTATATTAGATTCCGGCTGTCGCTATGGCGACGCAGCTCGCCCGGGACCCACCTCTGCCGCCCTGGGAAGCCAGGACGTGCCACTAATTCACCTGTCTCACGCACACAGCTACAGCGCGCACACTCCGACACAGCCTCACCTGGCTGGAGCGCGACGTACACCGACAACATTACACGCTTGTATGCACACGGCACAACCTTGCAGCTGCGCACCACCCTTCATAACCGACCTTATCATAACAACCGGAAAGTCCAATGTGCAGCGACGGCTCGAGAGTGGCGTAGCTTTTCATTTCGGCATACAATATAGTAGAGTGACAGCGAGGATGCGAGGTGCGGCGGCCCGGGCATCGGGCCGGGAAACACTCGTTAAACCCGTCCGCAGCCAACTGTAACTGCATCGGAAGCGAAGCAGTCACCTCAGGGATTGCATCGGCGGCCGGTGCTCGCGATTTCTGCCGCTTTTAGGCATTTCGTTCCCCGCTAGTTTCCGGATTCGCTTGGTAAAAGCTTTTCGAATGAGGAAATTCGATTCGAATGAGTTTACAAGTCGTCGCGTTTCGAGTTGTGAGCAGCAGCTGAAATTTCTTGTGCAGGTTAGTGGAAACTTCCTTTATACGGTCGGCTTGCTATGAATGTAGTTATCGGGAAACGTTAAGACTGTTGTTCACAAACATTGGCACTGTTCCAACTCACTGTTACCTAAGAGTACATCGGTATTGGTGCAGCGATCGCTTGGACTCAGCAGCTCAGAAAACAGGATTTAAGACTCGGCTCAATATTTATTTTCTGGTGTTAATAAATTCGATAAGTATCACAAGTAGTTTATGTTAAATTCTATGTAAGTTTTATAATAAGTTTATTTTTAAAAGCATTAGTTATTACTAATATAGTTAATTGTAACCTCTACATAATATACATAATGACCAATAGAATTACTGTTGTCATCAGTTTAAATTAATATTAATATCTATGCCAAAATTAAATAAACATTTGTTTAGATAAAGTATTTTTGGACGTATTTATTGAATATAAAGTGAAGATAATTTATGCCATATACGGTATGATTGATTATCGCTAAGCGATCGGTAACTGCTTTAAGTGTCGCGAGTTCTTTTTGTTTTGTTTAAAAGGCCTTGTATTTCTCTGATCTGCGGGTGTCATAAACATTTCTAGAAAATTCATGTATTTTCTCCGCATCCATTCTATGAATGTTAATTGTTATTATTGCTATACATAATAGTATTATTTTGTTTGTAAGATGCAGAGCATTGTATAATAAAACTGCGGGCAGTTAGTAAAAGAGTCATTAACACTATGAGTTGGGTTTAATGTTCCTTTTAGTACCGTACTGCCGTCGGAAGGTACTCACTGGTCTTCGCCGGGAGGCTGTTCGCACGTAATTATATAATTACAGTCTAATTTTTCCAATTAAGGAAGATTGGAAGCATAATGGAATGTATTTATTGCTCGCTGTACGCTGGAGAAGGTGATTTATTTTATGGACTTCTATTATTTTGCGTGGTTGGTTTCACAAAAGTTTGCAGGCGAACTAATGCTTTAACTATCAGCACGTCGATTCTATAAATTTTTTTATTAATATTTTTATAATTAGTTCAACTCGCAAGTGTAGCGCTAGTGTACTACTACTACTCACGGCGGATTCAGATTCGAAGTTTAGAATGAAGTCTTACAGAATCACACCCCAGATTTGGAACCGACCGTGATTTATGTTATAAAGATGAAAAGTAATTCCATAATGCAAAGGAGTTAAGTTGCATTGAGAGGGAAGAAAGACAATCTTGTACTTACAAACTGACAATAATTTTTGCAATTAATTATTTAAATAGATGCTTAACTCCGACTTTATTGCAAAGCTAAAGACTTAAACTATTGTTTTGTAATGCGAAAAAAGTGTCTAATATTTTTCCATAAATGATGAACTAGTTTTTATGTTCATTTTCATACAAATTACATCCGTTTATTTCGATATCATTTAGGTACTCGTTTCGTTTTCCTATAAAAGCTATAGGATTTTAACTAACATATTGCTTTCAAAAATGAAAAATGCATATGGATTATTGAACCAAATGGCTAATACGAAACAAAACGCTGAAGTACTTGTTCGCACAAAGGACTTTTTAGATTGACGAAAAATTAAATAACTTCTACTAAATAAAGTTAATAAATATTTATTCACATCGAATACGACCTGACCTTTGTTATTTCCTGTGGCCTTTAAAATTTTTTAAAGCTGGTTAAGACACACCGTGAATCTGTGGTATCGTACTAGTACCAATATATTATCGAAAGTTATTCAACTGTTCAGTAAAGTTCTAGTATAATTTCCAAGCGCACACATTTGTAATCTTTGCATAGCCCCAGACGTGTTCTCAACGGCTTAATACAAACAATCGTTACACCTGTTCATAAAGTAAGAATGGAGGCTAAGTCTCATTTAAATGTATAACAACTATACTGCTTATTTTGGGTCTAACGTCAATAACTTCTAATATAATTTATAGAATAAATCACAAGTCAAGTTGTCGTTGTTGACATGTCTGACAAACTACTTGAGTAAAACAAATACCATCTCATCTAAGCAATTTAGTTAGAAACGGTTTATCAATAGAAGATGCCGTTGCAAACTTACAGGATCAATATGACGAGTACACTAAACAAGAAAAAGAAATCTTTTGATTTTTTTCTTGATTTATCCAAAGCCTTTGATAAGGTTATTGCTAAAATGAAATATATTGGTATGCGTAGTCAAATTCAAGATACATTTAAAGACTATGAGACTGAAATACACAGCCGTTAGGATCAGCACTATATTTGTAGTGAGTGATGAAGAAGGAATAGATTATGGCGTTCCTCAAGGGACTTTTTTGGTTCCAACTTTATTTTAACACACATAAACGAAATATGCCATCTTAAAGTAACAATTTCTAACTTATGTAGACTGAAATTTTGTGTCTCACTCTGACACTTGAAAAATGCATAATTGACTAACTGACCTACTAATATTAAATGTAGAAAACTTTAAGCTGATCATCCTTTCCGTTTGATTGCCTCCCCCCCCCCCCCCCACCCAGTTTGCTTTGTTATTCTTAAAGCCAGTGCCCTGCACTAAAAAAATATGGTGGACGAGAGACTTGACTACCGTTTACAATTAGTTGCCCTCTCACACCGAATTGTAGAGCTTACGTTCATTTTTAAAAACCTGAGATATTATACACTATGATAATTTATATGGTTTATACCGCTCACTACCATTCTCTATTTATTGTGTATACATATATGAGGTGGTATTAAAACCCTAATTATTATATTGGAAAGAATACAGAGAGCAGTATTGAAACTGATTCATTTTAAGACAACACTATATCCAATCTAAATATAACTGTTTCTGCAAGCCATCAATATGAGGGTGCGACTTCGAGATTGTATAATCAGATTAAAAAAATAAGTATATAAAACTTAACCAAAAGCGAGGAAAATATAGGCTGAAAAGTTGTATTGGCTGGTTAGTTACATTGACTTACGATCAAACGGAGTTTGCTTTAAAGTTTAGTAAGTAAGTAGAAGGTAGCATAAAAATGCGTACCCACTAGGGGAGCATACACTGTGAATTATTTTACTCAACACAGTGAAATGAAATATGTCATTATTATTTACATGACACTCGGAATACATTGCTTTTTTAATCGAAACCAAAACTCAACGTTCAGGATTTCAATGAGATCACGTTTCTTATAAAATGCTATTCATGTGCGTGTTGCGTTACTCTTTTCAAGACATGAATTGGGGTACGTATGTGAAAATGAATAAGAATGTCGTATCCGTTGTCCCTAGAGGAAGCTCCAATTGGTTAGCCACCAAATTATTGCAAAACAGCATCTTTAAAAAAGGAGGTTTTTTTTGTCAGGGGACAATCATCCAGTGATTTCTCCCGCCCAGGGTAAGGCGAGAGAGAGTGTCAGACTCTTACTGACTAAAAACCGCCCGTTCCTTCTCCTGCTCTGGGCCGAGGTCGCGGTGCCTCATTGCGCTTACCTCGCAACCCCGGCTGAACATCAGCCCTGTTGGGCCCCGTCTGTGGTGGTCTATTGGCTCTTTGAGGCGCGCGCGGAACGCTACGCGCCGTAAGCTCGGGTCTGGTTCTGGTCGGGTGGCGAGCTACCCTTACTCGCCGTCCGCAGACCCGCGCTTACGGTGCCGGAGATCATCTCTCGATCCCCGACGCCCAGAATGTCGCCTTCTGCGGCAGCTGGGGCGCGAGGAGGATAGTTCCCTCATGCGCTCCGCCTCCTCCTTTGCGAGCATAACTGCTTCGCAGAAGGAGGCGATAGCTTCCCAGTTCCTCTCGCTATTAACCATGGCCTCGATGAAGACCGGGCGCGAGAGGTCACTTCTCTGAGAACACGGCAGTGCTCAGCCCAGGCAGGGCATACCGCCACCGTATGCTCCACCGTATCCTCTAGGTGGTCCTCGCAATGACGACACTCGGGCGTTTCCTCCCGCTAGATCTGAAACAGGAACCTACCGAAGCTGCCGTGCCCGGTAAGCACCTGCGTCAGGCAGAAGGTGAGGACGCCGTGGCGTCTCTCAAGCCACTCCTCAAAGAGGGGTCTTACCGCTGCTATAGTAGCGTGCCCGGCCCTCGGTTGCGGTGATCCGGCAAGGAGGTTCGCCGCCTCACCATGATTAAAGAAACCTAGACTTATAAGTTTGAAATCGCCAACCCGCAATGAGCAAGCGTGGTAATTAATGCTCAAACCTTCTCCGTATGAGAAGAGGCCTTTGCTCAGCAGGCAGCAAGCACTTATAGGCTGATGATGATGATGATGATGATCTTTAAAAAATATTATTCATAAAGAACTTAGTGATAGGACTTCAGTTTAAAAACATCGCGGATGGTGATGTAGTAGCACTCACCCTTGACTACCCAACCTAGGAGAGCCAAACATTTCCTGTCGGAGGTTGTGTTAGGAGGTTCGTGTGATTCACGGTCCTGGCTACGGGTCCGAATCTGCACTGCTGAATCTGGTGGAGAGCGAAAGGAACTGGGAAACAGTTTCTTAGAGATATTTGAGAATTTGAGGAAGAATTTTATCACTGGTAACAAACATGGTTTATGTGACATTTTAATCTCCAGAGCCTTCAGTCGATCCGGTTTTGTTAATTGTTAATATCACAATTTATAAACAAATACCTTACAATAACATAAGTAAAAGTAGAAAAATGTACACCACGAACAATTTCGTGCTGACATCATACGGAGGCAATATGTAAGCGCTAACGACGTTGTTCCCCGCACTGCCTGCGCGGTGACAATTAAGAACAGTGCCGGGTTACCCTTAACGGGCTGTTTAATGCCTTCTCTAAGTCGTTTCTGCTCTACTCTCGTACTTTACCCACGAATAACGTTGACCACCGTAACTTGACTTTCATGGGCACTCAGATGAAAATACTACCAACACACATATTCTATTTCATATTTTTGCTGTTTATTAATTTCAGGAAAACCTTAGGTATTTTTAATTTACTTTTTATTTTATTTCTAGAACTTTTTCTGTCTGAGTAGTGACGACTGTAGTTTCCGTTGCGTCATCGTCATATGACAAAGGGGGGAAAATGTAATCAAGGTTATTGAATAAAAGTGTAAAATTTTAAATTAATAATAACTATTAAAATATATCACTATCAAATTATTAATATTTACAATTTTCTAATATACAATTTCAAAATTACGTCCAGATTTAATAAAGATTTAAACTCAAATCATAATTTCATTATTTCTATGATCCATACAATATAACACCACCATACCACATAACATACCTGCACCTCCAATTCCATCTGTTGAATGCGAAAAGCAAGAAAAATCTGTTGATGTGTCCACATTTTTTATGTGATGGGACGCCTAACGAGCAGGCCATGGTAAGCAATCAACGCCGCCCATGGACACAAAAACACAACAAAAGAGGAGCGACGAGTGCGTTGCCATTGCCAACCTTTTGGAAATTAGGGATTTGGAGATTTAGTGACTAGGAGAGGGATTGGGCCTCCAGTAACACCTCACTTACACGGAGAACCACAACTTGTTGGTTGCTTGTTTCGCGCCGGTTTTCTGTAAGGCAGTGGTATCACTTCGGCAGAGCCGACTCATTCCTGCCGAAGCATAACACTCTCACACTTAAAAGCACTACCTTATGCAGAAGAAATGAAATGAGTTTGTCTTACATAGTCCAAGTTTGTATGCTGTATTTGATTTTTTATTTGGACTGGACCCGTGTTGGGCAACTATATCGTTTGGTGGTAAGCCAAAATACAGCTTATACATATATGGTATACACTGCACCTACTTTTTTGTGGTACTTTGCGGTTCTGATTAAATGAATTCAGATGAAACGCTTTGTAGTGGTATATCGCTTCATTGTAGATACCATGGTGGACTCCTTTCTCGTATTCGTAGTTATTAATTACGGTTGTATAAAAGTCGTGGACCAATCATATAAAATCTAGAAGTACGTAAAATATAGGCAATTTGTTGACAGCTTTTTCTTATTTCAAGCAGATATTTTCACTAGCGTGTTTTTTTTTTTTTGTAAGGGGAAAATGATTAAATGTCTTCTCCCGCCTAGGGTAGAGCGTTCTCCCGTTCCTTCTCCTGCTCTGGGCCGAAGTCGCGGTGCCTCATTGCGCTTACCCCGCAGCCCCGGCATTTTCACGAAGATGTGACTCAGATAAGAGTAGGTATTTTTTTCTGAATTGGTAATATTATTATATTTGTTTGAAATACGCATACTTTACGACGCTTAAAACAGTCTAAACAAACGTTCACGTCAAGATCTATTTAAATTAATTATTCGCAGTAGTTGGAATATACGTATGTTTAATGTTAATTTTCCACATATTTTTACATCATACTCGAAATACTTTAACCCGCGGCTTCGGTTTCTTCATATTAAGATATTTTTTAATTAAGGTTTTATCTGAGTGTACATTTACAAACATACAAATTCACATACACATAAGAAAGAGAGTTGTATCGTGCCTGAATCAAACGCGAGTCACAGTTGCCCAACGCGGCAGTTGAAAGAAAGTTAAAAATTGAACTGTTTCAAAAATTACAATTACTTTAAATTGTAAGTAAGATGGTTTATCTTTATTAACTCAATATTTGCGTAGACCCTGAAAACTTGTTTTAGGTAAAATTAATTTTACGTTTACTCTTAAATTAAATTAGTGAACCCGGCAGCATCCGGAATTAATCACGAAAGGCAGGAGATGGGAGATGAAAAGGTTTTTAAGGACCGTCATAAAAATTGACCTTTTTCGTAACAACATTTTACGTAGGTAGCCAAATTTTGTATAGCAATAGACATTTATTTTTACAATTTTCTAGCTCTTCTACCCGCTTCGTTGGTTTCGTAGAAATTATGGCTTATATAAAATTTATACCGCCCGTTTTAGGATTTATTTTATCAACTTGTGACTGAAGTTTCAGCCATAGCTTCGCTCACATTACTAAGAATAATGTCATTGTAGGTACTCGTATGTGTTGTCTAGGTCATGGTTTATTTTCTGTATATAACATATATATTTTACTGTGTTCCATATGGTTGTTTAATAAACTACAAGACATCATTTTATAGTTAGGTAACTTATTTTAGTAAATATCAGTATGCGAGGTACAGACTCTTTTTGAAAAGATAGAAATATTTTAAAATATTTTGGATCGGAATAATAAACTAGACGATGCCCTAGTGAGCTCCAAATCGTCTCAAAATGAACACATGTAGTACCATGTAGTATCTCAAATCTGAATAACAAAGTATCTAATAAATATCACGTATGAAAATGTTTTTTTTTTCATGTTTTCTGAGCATTTAAAACTTCCCTGAACTTCCACAAATAAAAGTAAGTACTATAAATTTTACCCAAACCCAAATAACTATGTCGGTTCAGCTAACAACGAATTTTAGTAAGAACTCAACTATTATAATAGTGTTTACTTTAATAATGTTTTGTAATCTATAAAAAATCTTACGATTGCCTAGTCATGATTTCTCCGACTTGGAGACTTCAAAGGGCAAGAAGCTTGTAAAGAGTATCAGCCGACTCATGATCCCATTGTGAAGGCGGTTTCACGCCATTGCAAGTTATGATGGATTTCTAAGTTTACATCGCCCGAAAAATATATTTCCGCGCGGGTTTCTTGACCAAGGAGAAAATTGAGATAAATATGTGTAGCCCGGGAAAACATTTATCAAAGCTAGTGAATGTGCATTTTCTACAAACATAACAAATATTTATAACGACTTCAAAAATAAGAAAGGAAATTTTATTTCCTCATACCTACCTGGACCTAGATCATAACGAAAAATAATAAAAAAAATATCCTGTATTTATAATATTGTACTTAATATTCAATGATATCTTATTTCATTATGTTCATGTCTTATTGGAAAAATATGTCTTAAAACTCATATTACGAAGCTCTATTCTAAATGGACAACTCGATGTCCAAGATATTCCAACGTAGCTCGACAAGTCTATTCAATTGTCGTGTATATGTAATTAAGCTACAGTATGGTCGTTTGCAAGTCTCTGAGGAGGTTGTAACGAGTTGCCGGTGCCCCTCGTCGCTGCTCGGGTAACATTGTTGCTTCATTCTCATTTCAAGTTAGAGCAGATTGTGTAGCGGGCGGTTATGTAAGAACAAAGAAAGATATACGAAACGAGTACTACTAGCATTCGCAAAGTCCTCTATATTACTCTGTCTCCGTCATCGAAAATGCCGTCCGATCCTTATTGGGGTTTCAGGTTTATATAATAGCTATCTATCTACCTATAAAAATTTATTCACAGGTGATATTGCATTTAAGTTCTTTATAGTAAAAATTCAAATTTTGATCTATTTCTGCCAACAGGGTAGCTAGGGTGGCCGAGCCCGGGGGCCAAATAAGAATAATGGTGATAGAGAGACCGTAATGAAGAGCACTCAAAGGCGGCTTCGGTCGGACGCGAGCCCGGCCGGCCGGGCCACATCGGCGATGCACCGAACAACCCTTAATTGAATAGCCCGGCCGGGGGCTAATCAGGGCTCAGCTGAGCGGTGCAGGCGAGGGAGGTGGGAGGCGGGCGCGCGGGGGGCGCGGGCCGGAGCCACGCGGGCTGGCCGCGCCCCCTGCGCGCGCCGCTCCGCCCGGGAGCTCATTCAAGTAGCGAGCGCGCCCCGTGCCAGCCGCCACCCTCAGGTATGTCCATTTTGCTTTTGGTGTTTGCACGTAACGTACCTATCGCGCGCGCTCCGCGAGTGTCAGTCGTGCAGTGAGTGAACTGTGCTGCTGCCGCCTCTCTCCTGACTCACCACAGCTGCCTGCTGACAAGGTACGTCCGCATGAAGCACCGCCACGCATTCAAGCCTGTGCCAGCACACGAATTTACGCGTTTTTTACATTTATTGTGCCACTGTTAACTTTTCCGACAGTTAGTTTCCGTGACGCGCATAAATTACGAGTAATAAAGTACCGGCGTGATATCATTGATAAAGCTCGAAAGCTATTAATATTTAATTCGACTACGATTTGTAAATTTACATTAAAATTAATAATCTACATATTTATTTTAAAATATCAATCAGTATTTCATTCATCGGATATAAAATAAACGCTGTAAAAATCTCGTCATAATTCGAAGTCTTCGCACAACGAGCAGTAAGTCAGAATAGTCTCGAGTTATCGCGATGTTAATTAAAACTCTAACGTCACTTTGCTTCCTGTGTCGCATGTCTTGCAGAATGTCTGCTTTAAGTGTTCTTTAAATCTGAATTTAAATTAACTTGTAAGAGATGGTTATAAACAAGATAATTGATCAGTTAAGTCATAATCTTGATGAAAACTTTCCACTCTCGCGTCCAATATCATGCCATCTGGACAAGTGATTAAAATTCAGAATCGATGTTGTAAGCCCATGTTGTATAATTGTATTGTTTCTTCACTTGCGACTTATGTTCAGCTATTTCGCCAAAGAGAAGTATGTTTCCATCCATATGGGATGACACAGATGTCTTCAACCAAGAAGAGGTGTACTTCTGAGGTTGTACTCACAACTTCCACATCGAGTTTTTAACTCTTCCACAATTTTTCCGTCATTATTGCATAGGTTTCCAGAGACTTGCAGAGAAGCGGCTGAAGATAGTTTTTACATATGTTGACTGTCTTTCTTTTTTAATAAATATCCTGAGCAGCGACTGTTTCCTGATTAACTTACGCTAGCGTTGTGCTATTAAAATGCCTCTTCTCAATATTCAGACTTAACTGATCCGATCTCAACATTCGCCGTTGGTTTTCATGTCATTTTGCATTTAAAAACTATTTAAATATTGTTTTTGAATAATCATACAAAGAAGCAGCATTGGTTCTACATTTGTCGTCTTTTGATTAAAAAGTTACGCTTGTAACTTATACGCTTGTCTCTGGAGATTTTCTTCATTAATCTTTTCGAGGTTTGGCATCGAAGAGGGTTGTATAGGCGCTTATAGATGTAGGGTTGGCGAGATGTCGGGAGGGTACGAGATGTTTCTGAGGGCGAGGACTTTCACTGGCGCCGCCACTTCACCTTGTCGGCTGGCGCTGTGCCAGCCTCCTCGCGCCCCGTACTCGGGCCGGCACCCCCATACCCCACACGATCCCCGAACGTATCTGACTTACGATACGACCGACGCATTTTATGCTAAACATTACGTTTCTGGCGTACTTTATTACAGCGCCAGCTTTTATATACCTACGTGACGCTATAAACCGTAAATACACTACAAGGATATTTACACAAAAGCATCATCAAACATACATACAAAGTCTATACGAAATTACATTAAATTACATTTTAATTCATCGTTATTACCGTACGTATACATTCACTAAGTTTTTATCTGATGGAATTACGTTAATTGGTCGTAAATAAAGGAGTATACACTAATCAGAAGTAACAATATCATTGACATTACGATGCAAATTTCGATAAAAAAAGTATTTTAATATTTAATATTACGGTGCAGTCTTCATTTATAAAGAATTTTATAAAAACCTCCTTTCAAGTTTTTGCTCGTTAACTATAAGAAAATAAAATAAAGTTTAGTAAAAAGGAATCGAATATTTTAGT